ACATGGTCTGGTGAATACCATGTACTATAGCAACATACGTGACAAATAATTTATGAGGTCAGAGTAAGACTTCCTGGGCGTAAACCAGTCTCCCCACATGATGGCGTCCCTCGTTTCCCTTCTGAGATTGTACATATTTCCAGATGTTTTTACATAAGTTTCGGCTCTGTCCATTACGTTCTGTAAATGCCTTACTAGTAGTGACATGCCTCTCATTGTTATATCCTTCACTTTTGCATCAATTTTCACTCGTTTTCCGCTGTTACGTGACTATTTTTGACCTGAAATCTCCCGATAACAACACAATTTCCGCCGTTTTTTCTTATCTCACGGCCATAAATTCGATTTCACTGCACTCTAACATCATATCTTGGAACATTTTTTGGCACGGATGTGTTTGCCGCAGGTCCCCAAATTGGGTTTGGCCTTTATTTGTGATTCAACGGGCCTTCAAGTGGTCCTAGTGGGTTCAGCAGGTCTTGCTTAGGTAATCTGTTTGCAGCATTTGATGACGTTCTTCTGAATTACGAATCTTTGATGACATTCGCGTCTTCCGATGACGTTTATCTTTCTTTTCAGGAGTTATTAGGGTCAACGAGGACTCCAGAAACCATTGTTTTAGGAACAAAAGGGGTCTTTGAGTTTTAAAGGAACAGGAAAATATTGTAAAAAGCTTGGCCATGGATGTTTCGAATGAACTTGTAGGCTTTATTCAGTGTTCCCTTCTTCAGCTGACGCTGGAAACGAACTTTGAGGAATTGCTAAGGAAGGGGTTGTTGATTAAGCGGGCTTTAATTTTTAATAACTCTATATTGTTATGGTAGCTACAAAGGGGAAATAAAACCAAAAACAAGTTGTAATTTTCATTCAGATCCGCCAAACAAACCGCGAAAGTTTATCAATAGTTACAGTAACCTTTACGCCCTCCTAAAAATAGAAAAGTTTGCAGAGCGTTGTGAACGGGTCCGTTCATTTCCAAACATCGAAGAGTATTCCTGGAGCACAAACAAAGGACTGAGAATTGGATGGAAATCTTTTTGTGTCCATATAAGTCTTTCTTTTGTGTCCGCAAAGCCTCTCCCACCTCTCATAAGACTGTGCCCTCGTTTCCTGAAGGGAAAGGCCCTTCAAAACTTTTACCCTCAGGACAAATGTCTGTCCTCAAATAATGGGCCCTGATATTTACTATGCCGTCCTTTTGATTCGCCCGGAAGCGGTATAATCTGGCAATTATCCGGGGTTCTTTCCTAATTTCTAACAATTTTGCAGCGTTTGAGCTGGGTGGCCGGGCGAGTTGGAGGGGTTGCAATGGGTGTATAGGTGTAATTTTTATAGATCTTTGAAAATGCAAACACCATCCTTTTTATTACAACAGGATGGGCCAAAAAATGGAATGATATTACATATTATGACAGTGCTACGGCAACGTTCTTCCATTATAGGTAGGTCTCCGTAAAGTAATTTTTCCCTCTTGATCCACGAAAACCATGGAAATTTTTTACGGCCTGTCCTTCTGGTAGTTGCGCATTTGCCAAACATTGAACCACGAAGGGAATGCGTTCACGTATCGAAACAGCAGCCCTACCCTTGAGTTTCCGGCATCCTCCGTACGCATTTCTTGTCATTCTTGAAAATTTTTTATGTAGCTTGGATAGCGTGAGGTTGAGCTCACCCTTGGCTATTCGACAAACCGATTGGTCGCAGATGTCGGCCTCGCGGTCAAGTTTTTCTTAAAAATTACGGATTTTGCTGTTGGTTATCTGCAGATTGGCAGAAGTGTTGGCAATGCGTTTTCTTTCAGTTCCTGTACATCGCTGCCAAAGTCTTTGAACCGTCCAAAATCGAGGCCCCTTGGTTTGAAATTCAAAAAAATACATGTCGCTTACTATCCGCGCTCAAGTTTTGACATTTTTCGCACCGTGCAAAAGTGCACGTGGCTAGTGCAAAAACCGGAAATTGTGACGACAAACGCGAAAAATATCTCAACTGAGCCGGCGCGAATTTAGAAATTGCACAGTGCAAAATTTTTCGAAAAGGATCGCGTTGCGCGGGAAACAGGCATTGTACTCACAAATTTTTATAAAAAAAGGTGCATTTTTTGATCGGGTGTCGAGGCCAGGAACCGCGGTGTTAGGCCTCTAGACAAGAAATGCGCGATTCTTTTTGCAAATTGCTTGACTTTGCGCAATATTGCGGAAATTCCTGCTCTCTCCCCGTGAAGATTTTTTCTCTGCTCACTAGGGAAGTGTACAAACGAACCCTCACCAAATGGCAAGTGATATACACCATTGGAAAGCCCTTGAAAAATGGTGCAAGATACCATTTTCATTTTTTGCAGAATGCCTTTCCGCGACGACATACTGTAAATTTCATTATTTTTAGGTCATTTCGCAATAAAAACCTTTCTTTCTCTTGAGCGGATAAAAATTCTGGAAGAGAGTTGCTTCGATAGTGTAGTGGTTGATGAGCAGCCAAACCAAGCTAGGTTCGATTCCCAGCTTGGGTAAAAACGTTTTGCGTTCTTACAGTTAGGATAATATTTGAGTTAAACTTTTACAAACGCTTTAATTTTTCTAGAAAACGGTCGATTACGGTTAAAACCATCAAACTTACATGTTTTTCAAAATTAAAAAAAGTGAAAAGTGTTTTTTCACGTTATGGGTGTTTAAAACCAGTAAATGTCATATGTAAAATGGTTTTACTGGCAATCGCCAAACTTCATAATGATTCTTAGGCCAACCTAGTAGCAATATTTACCATTTAGCGTTTTGAAATAAGATTTATTTTGCCCCACAGCCGATATTGTAACTACTTAAGGGACAAATCAACCGTTTATAATTTTTTGCCCTGAGGCATTCTGCAAAAAATGAAAATGGTACCTTTCATCATTTTTCAAAGGCTTTCCAATGGTGTATAACACTTGCCATTTGGTGAGGGTTCGTTTGTACACTTCCCTAGTCAGTCGAGAGTTGCGAATTTCTTGTCCAGAGGCCTAATAGGCAAAAAATCGCGGTTTCTGGCAACGACACACGATTTGATGCGAATGTCACCATCCTTATATATTCGAACAACGTCATCAATTTTCTTTCTATTCTTTATTTTAAATTCGTTTCTTTCCCCAAATCAGCTTCATCGTTTGCTTACGCAAAATTCTTGGAATCACAAACCGTGTACATTTATTTTTAATTGTTACTTTTGCTGGGCCTTTTCTCACTTCACCTGACCATAAACATGTCTCTTATACATAATACCAATTTCTCCGCCTGATTTGCTCCACAGTCTCTCAATTCTCACGCTCACAATTTGCTCAAAACTTTTCACATAATAGGACAAAAGACTATGCATAGCTATGTTTTAATTTCTCAAGCATCTTAGCTGTGGGACTTTGTCTCTGTTCCAAAAAACTTTTTGTGTCATCATTTTTTTACACTTCGTATTATTTTTCATTCTTCTGATTATTTTGATGATAAAAATTAGTAATGAATAACTTCTAGAAGGATTAGAGGCCCACAAATCCAGTATCAAAAAATAAAACACCTTCATTTTTGAATTCAGTTATAATTTAGTAATGTACAGCTTAATTTTTTCGAATATTCTAAAGTACACCCTGCCCTCTCAAAGATTACCGTCCAAGTTTTGTTTCCAACAACTTGTCTTCTCCGATTTTACTGCAAAAGAAATGAATCTTACGTGGGTTGGTGAATAATTCACCTGTTCATTTACTTTGCTAACCTCTGGCCCTCTTTTCTTCTCAATTTCCTTTTTAGGTATTCCATATTGTTTTCTCCAAACTTTTGTTCCGAACATTTCGTTTTTCTGCGTGTCCACAAAACCGGCAGAATTCTCTCGGATATCCAAAATCCCCATTTTTCACGGAGTTTTGGGTATCGGGGAAGGAATCTGCAAAGATCTTTCAAAACACCCCACAGCTATAGTAATATTTTTGGGGTCATTGGACACGGGCGGGACACGTTTAACATAATCTATAGTCATCAGTGCCTGAGGGCATGGTTGTTTTCTTGCGTCATGTTTACACGGCTATTCAGTTATCCACTGTTTATTAACAGCCGGACCGCGACGGTTGGGGGAAAATAAAACAATTTTTTTACTTTTTCGGCTAGCGAAGACCATACATCGTTAGCCGATCATTATAAAAACTTCATGTAAAACCTACCTGACATGCGTTTAATTTATCCCTCTGAAACAAATATTATATGTTGCTTTATAGAAATTCCAAATTTCGGGCCTTCTGCAGAAGTCGTTTCATGGCCAATTAAGGGCGTGGATAGCTGAAAGCAACTAAAATGGAGCTTTTGTAGGGATGGGTATCTTTAACACCCGATTTTGGACCGAACAAACTTTTTTTGTTTGTTTTTGTAGTTTAGCTACAGGAATTCTGAATGAATGACGTGATCCGGATCACAGGGCAACCGGGCACAACTGACCGGGCTGATTTGTTTTCGTCTGTATTTTCGTTTATTGTTTTGGGTTCCCTTCTTTTCTTCTTCTTTGTGCGTTGTAATCATGGTGATTGAGTTGACTTCGTTGTCGTGGCCACAAAAACCTTTCGTCGCTCTCTTAAATGGCATTACTTTTTTTCCTCGCGTTTTCGAAGGCTCTCAAAACGTTCAAAACTTTTGTTCTTCACCGTAGAATTGTCTTGAAGTAGTCGAACTGTGAAGGACGCCGGAGATTGGAGGGCTCTCCCTTACTTTTGCATGTCCTGAAGTTACAAGCAAGGCATTCTGATCGCATTTTCATCGGCGGATGACTTTCGGCACGGGTTTCTTGTATCCGAAACCGCCTTCCTCGCCTCAACAGCTGCGACTCTACACGTTGCATCGGTTGCGGAGGCGCTGAGTGAGTGTGCTTATACATATTGATTAATGTGAATAAAGTTGATTTGATCATCTCCAATCCTTTTTTCAGAGCTCAACTTGCAACTCGGATTCGTTGGCCAGCTCCATTAGCTTTCCAAAATCTTGTTTTACTCACATTGTATGTGTTGTTTTTGCTTCAATCTTCACCGTCATCAGATTCATCTGATCAGGTATGCTCTAAATTAAAGTCATCTTAATATCTCAGATGTGCATTATATTACATAATATATTTCATTTTACAGTTATGGGTGTGTCGCATTCAGCCTTATTTCCACGGGTCTCGTCTTCACAGTTTTTGCTATTTTTCAAAAGGACACACAGATCGGTAAGATCTGGCTAGCCGGGCCCACCACAATGGTCGTTGGATTGGTCTTGGTCGGAAAAGTAAGGCAAAATTTCCATTTAAAGAGACTTAAAGATGGGCACACTTAATGACAAAGGGCCCTTCAGATTGCATGTTAAATACACACTCAAACACAAAATTGTTTTTATTATGATGAAATAAGTTTAAAAATTTTTGTAGTCCATGGCTTAGTAAATACATACATCTGGCAAGTCTTCTGTATTTGTAAAGATGTAAGTGTAATTCCAAATTTTGAAAAACGTTTGAACTATGATGTAAGACTGTTAGAAGTGAAGTCTTCAAAACTACTTTTACATATTTCGACTTTAAAGAAATTTACACTTACATTTTCACACTTGAAAATTAGATTTGTCAAGCTAACCGCCACTCTGACAGGCTTACTTCAGAATTTCCACCTTTTTAAAATTAAAATTAAAACAAAAATAACATTAAAAAAATTATTAGGTGATCATTGATTGGGGTCCAGCGATGACTCATGGCCGTCATGGATCCATAGATTCCGCGTTTCTGGAGCAGATGCAAATGGGAATCCCCAACGGAGATCCCTCCAAGTTCGCGTTACCTCGCACTCCCATCATGATCGACAGGCCAGAATTCAAATTTAATGGTGCTTTGGGAGCAAATGGATATCGGCAATCATTAACGCAAACTCATCTCCCTCGCGAGATGAATCGACCGCCGAGTTTGGTAATTGCCAATCATATGAGTATTAAAAAAGATGGAAATGAAGTGTTAGATGAACAAGCCGGACTGAACGGAGCCATCGATTGTATTGTTTATGGCCAGTATGAAAGTACTTCTAACAGTAATGTAAGTTGATCTGCTTTCAGAGATATTTCGGATTGATAGTTTAATATAATACAATTATTGATTATTTGCAGGCTTCAAGTTATGCAGCTCTAAGTCAGAGTGATTCCCTGAAGAGAACAGGAAGTCTTATGAGTTCAAAACGAAGTCATTCCCTGAGATCTGGCCAAAGCACTCCGATGCCCCCATCTCTTCCGCCTCCCAATTATGGAGAATGTAATTGTACACATGTGATGGGAAAGAGTTGCACGGCTTCCCTCAACTCCAACAATAATAATTATCAGGTGATCCTTTCACAATCTCTATCTTTATACTCGGGAGGCCATTATTTAAACAATTATTTAGGACTATGGCAGTATTCATCGTGCATCAATCTCCCCTTCCGTTTCTTCGCCGACCCCACCTACAAAACGATCGGACTCTGTGAATTCAAATCGGACTCCGCCCAATGCCGGACCGTCAGCCAATCAGCGCTCGGGGAGTGATCGGCCTTTGATCCAACCAGTTCGGCCGCCTCCCCCTCCTCCGCCTCCTCGGAATGCCCATCTTTATCAAGGGGAGACCTTCATCATCAACGAAAGGAGTTATCTGATTTGATCTCGCATTAACTGGTGTTATGATATGTATTAAAAGATTTATATTTACACGCTGTTTTCTGTCAAAAAGTCGCCATTGGTGGGAGAGGCTGCATAAATGGTAAATGTCACAACTTCTTTTTCCATCCACGAGCTCGCCGAAGACATCACATGATTTTGGGAGTTGCACCAGCTTTATCCAAGCAATGGCTAGCGGATCCATTTCCCATTGGAAAACTCGTTCAATCGCTATAAAAACGTTGACACATCTTCGCAAACCCGAACGTTAGTGGTCAAAACGTTATAAACGTTTGATGCCGATTGCGTGATTTTTAAAGATTTCGAAACAGTGGTTAATTGTAAATAGATAGGGTATTTTACAATATTATTATATAACTAACTGTAAGGGGGTTTGATTACAATATTGTCTCGGTAAGGTTCCATGAATTCAGATTAAAGCCAGGAATAATTGTTACATCGAATGATGCAATTATTGTGATTATTGCATAACTAGGTTAGAAAAGGTCAAATGTTACCTTAAGATGGATGGGAAGGTGTTTGCTACTCACACGGGTTCTCTAAAATGTCCATAAAGGTAGTTTTTACACAGTTTTCTACTGTATTGTCATGAGACATATTGTAAGTTTTGGGAGTTTAAAGACAAACTTATTGGGGTCATCGGGATCGGAGTTTTGCTTTTTTACCGTAATCTCATTTTGTGTCGGGACTATCACGTAATCATAAAGGAATTACAATTTCATAATTAAAAATTTAAATAACGCGCTGTGAATTTATGGGTTGTGTCGCTGCAAAAAAACGTAATCTTGTTGCCGCGTTAAGTTTCCTTGGCCGAAAAATAGTTACAAGAAATTTTTGCGACGAAAGATGATTGATTTGTTTAAAGATGTTTATTAGATCGGATGTAGGTTTCATGATTCAATTCGTGACTATCAAAAAAATGTGTACGTGAGAATTAGACCGATGATCGATCAACAGTTCAGTGTAAATAGGAGACTTCTCTGACCATTTCCAACAACAAAACCTCTTGTTGCATATCTTTAGTCACGCACAATAACAGCTCTCAATATTCCTTGACCTTTAATTTATACAAAATATTCGCAGTTTCGATGAAAACTTTGTAAATTTCCTTTTATGGGCATCTCGGAACTTGCCTAAAAAACATGGGGGATTCGAAAGCCGCTGGAATTTCGTTGACACCGACGTTGTCGTTGATTTATCGATGGGAATGGTACGTTTCATCGACGTATCCATCGCCTCGAGTAGTTTTTCATATTCCACCGCACGTGTTTTCATCTTTGTGATCTTCGGCTCTTTTAAACCCAGAATTTATCCTTGAGGTCCCACATTTGTTGGAGACAATTGCTCTACGCTCTGTAAGATTTTTGTTACATTCTCCACCTTTTGTGGAAGGCTCTGTCTGCTGATTTGTGTAATAACAAAATACGCAGATCCTTTGAAGTCATGTTTCTTCTCTGTTCATTCAGTCAGATACCTCACTTCATGTTTAATGACAAAATGTTTTGATTGCAATGCTCATATTGCTATTGACTTTAAAACTAATGTTTATTCTAATTTTACTCCTCTCTAGACCTACTTAAGACAATTATGCATAATATAGAGCCGCAGACAGATTAATGTTTACAACTAACAGTCCTAGTAGAGATAGTAAAGTTTTTGAATACCACAGTTAAAGGATGAATTACCAGTTCGAAACAGTAACCCAATCGACTTCGGTCATATGACGGCAAGTTTTGATCGATATGATGATGAATCTGTTTGCGCGACAATTTTCTGATACTTAAAGTGGAAGTTTAAAACAATTTCTTGACTTTTAGCAGGAATGGACACGCTGGTGCGAAGACTCAGGGAGATCTTCGAGGACGACGAAGTGGATATTGACGAAGTGAGGTTGTTGTTGGAATCATACAGTAGTCACAAGGCCGACTGGAAGAAATATGCGCACTTCGACCCTCACAAGTAAGGATTTATGAAAACCAATGACGCTCAATTAAGTCAATATTTTATATATAGCAAGACTTGGAGAATAAATACAGGTCTAAAAGTTCTTATTCAGATACACCAGGAACCTTGTGGATAAAGGAAACGGGAAATACAATTTGATGATTCTTTGCTGGGCTCCGGGTTTGGGCAGCAAGTAAGTTGACATTAAGTGTACTTCTTACAAGTTTTTGCTCAAAATTTAATTTCTTGTTAAAGTATCCACGACCACACAAATTCCCATTGTTTTGTAAAAGTTCTGGACGGCACTCTGAGAGAAACTCGCTTTGCTTGGCCAGAGAATGAGGACACCGCTCCCATGAAACAGATCTCCCAGTCAGACGCTCTCATCAATGACGTCACTTATATGAGCGGTCAGTCGATTGATCCCTTCCCTTATTTTTGCTCTATTTCGTGGAAACACCACGGCTTTTTTGAAGGAAGCAAGAGTCATAAAGAATATAATATATCATTCTTCAGATGAACTCGGTCTTCATCGTATGGAAAACCCATCTCACGTCGAGAACGCGGTCTCATTACACTTGTATATTCCCCCATACCAGGACTGTCAGATCTTTGATCAACGTACTGGGGTCAAACAGAAGTGTACTGTAACATTCTATACAAAGTACGGTCGGAAGGTGGACTACCGAGGCAATAAAGAGGGAAGAGTCAAGCATGTGGACACTTCAGGGCCCTCAATTTGTGGTTCCAGTCATCCGGCGGCAAGTGGATAAACAAAAAAATCATTGAAATAATATGCGATCCATGTATATATACTTACTGTAAATATTATTGTTCTAAAACATATCACCCCCCTTGAAGGTGCTTACGTGTTTGACAATTGTGAAATGTCTAAATTAAGCAGCAAAATAAAATATGAATTTATTTCTCAAGCAAAATTTAAGCGAAATTCACAGAGATTTTAAAGATAAGCAGGATTAAAAAATATGTTGATCAAAAGAATAAAAATCGTGTCAACGGAAGAAAATATTCAAACTCAACAAAAAATTTGCAAAAAGTCAACAAGAAATAAGAAACAAACAACAAAATATTATATAAAGTATGATGAACAACAGGTCTAGAGTTTGAAAGCGGCCGCATTCTTCCCTCCGCTCTTGGTCTTTGTGATCTTTTTCATCTTCTTGGCCTTCGTAGTCTTTTCCTGAGCTTCTTTCTGATTCAATTCTTGAATCTTTTCGTAGAATTCCACCTGTTTCACCTTCTTGATGGGCTTCTTTTTGGCCTTTTCCTTTTCATCCAATTCCTTCGCAGCCTTATATTCTCCTTCCTTCTTCACACCTTTCTTAACCAAAGCACTGAAATACAAGCATTTAGCATCCTCATAATAATAATAAGAGTTACTAATCTCAAATTACACTTACTTCTGCTTTCTCTTCTTCTTTCGGCGTTCCCTAAGTTTATCAGTTTTATCCCTTTCTTCCTTCGATTTGATCACTCCCTTGGCTCTCTTCTTGATCTCTTCTGGAGCCAATAGATCTTCTTCTGGGGCAGTGGACGCCTTCTGGCCTACTTCTTCAACTTGGATGGCCGGTTTGTTGACAATCATTTTGGGTTCGTCATCAACAACTCCAGGTCTGAATTTGGCATGACTAAGTTGGTCGAGTTTGGAGAAGATATCGCTCATTTGAGCTTTTATTGCCTTCGATTCCTCGTCCAACTCCTCTTCCTCCTCCTCGTCTTGTTGAGCTTTTGAATTCTTCGAATCAACCTTGTTCTTATATTCCTGTTCATACATTTCCATCAACGATTTTCTCTCCACATCATCCAGCGTTTTGGCTCTGAATGTTTGAAGAGATTGGGCGACTCTCTTGGTTCTGATAGGATCATCAAAAGCCTAGAAAAACTTGAAGATCACGCAATTACAATCACCTTATCCTTGATCCTTTGCTTGACAATGGCTTCAATTCTCACATTAACATCTTCGTCAATGACCGGAGCTGTCTTTGCTTTGTAGTCGACTTCCACATACTTCTCCAACAGTCCATCCTGATCTCTCTGCGAGGCCTTAACTTCTCCACTCAATTCCCAAGGTCTGGGTGCCAGATTCTCTTCTTCCAATTCCTTGACCACCTTCTTCAACTAAAACACTGTGATATAATCCCATTCGAATCACTTACATTCTTCTGTTCTATCTTGAATCTAGAGAGTTCTTCTTCCTCCTCGTCTGATTGAACTGGCTCCAGTTCATTGTGCACAATAGTCTCCTCCTCCTCTTGATCTTCCTGTTCATCCAATTCCTCATTATCGTTAAAGTGGACCTTCTTAGATAATGAAGAAATATTGGTTACATTAACCTCATCATCTTCTCCTTCTTCGTTCGATCCTTCTAAATCCTCATCATATTCACTTTCATCCTCCGATTCTTGTATTAGTTTAGTTTGGGATGTTGTTGATGTGTCCTTCAGTGATTTGAGAGTAGTATCGACTTCCATAGGCTCCTCAAATTCCACATCCTGTTGGGCGAACAACTTCTTGAAGGGTTGATTGACAGATTTGTTTTGTTCCTCATCCGAATCTGGCTCATCCCAATCAAATCCTCGCTTCTCAGTTTCCGAATCCCTAAAAATCATCACATTACACATTGATTACTTACAATCCCATGTCGTCCAGTTCACTGCTTTCATCAGAACCGCCCTCGATTTCTTCTTCTTCATCCTTCCTCACTTTCTTGGCTGGTTGCTCATCTTCGTCGAAGAAGTCGGTGTACATAATTTCTTCATCGCTTTCATCGTCATCGTCCTACATTAAAAGATTACAACCACAAAAACAAACAACTTTAGTCGTAAACTCCGATTCTTACCAAAAGCCCAAGGATATTCTCGCTGGCTTCGTTCTTCTCCCATTCATCCAACTTTTCATTCATTTCTGCAACCGAGAAGAATTCATCGTCCACTTTACTTCTGCGCCCTCCTCTGTTAGTAACGGGTTTCTTTGGCACCTTTCTTTCCAATTCCCGCTTCTTGGGGTTTTGTTTAGGGCTTTCCGAGACTTTGGACTCCTCTTCAATATCATCAAGTTCGGATCTTGCTTTCGGATTTGACTCCTTTTCCACCAAAGTTTGAGCATTTTTGTCCATTTCAGACTTCTTTGAAAGTTTCTTCACTTGCGGAGTCGAAGGGATAACTGAAACAGATTACCAGAATGAAAAACATTTTCCCCAGGCAATTTTAAAAATTTTTTTACAAGCAACTGTTTTTTGTGTAGAAATGTCAAATAAAAAAGCTTCTATGCGAATGATGGGTATATAGATTAAATCGGCGGTCCAGACAGATGGCTCGTTTTTAGGTTCTTGATTGTCTACACTTATTTTAGGCCTTGGATAATGTTATGTGATTCACAAATATCAACCAATCATCTTCCCTAGTGAAACAACCCCTGTTCCTAAATTTAATAACGGACGAAATTTTAGGTTGAAACTTCAATTTTAATACTTTCTGAATCTATGACATGATTCTGTCACATGCGACACAAATCTGTTTGATTTTCTCTGAAAAAACATGAAATATAGACCCATCAGATTTTCCAAGAATAAAACCATTAAACTCACATGTAATGTTATCATCATCCTCTTTGCTATCCACTTTTGGAGTTCCAATCTTGGATTCCTTCTTTTTCAAGGCTTTCTTGGGGCTGGGAGTTTTCAGAACCGGAACGGTGTCCACTGTTGGAGTTCCGATCTTGGATTCTTTCTTTTTCAAGGCTTCCTTGGGGCTGGGAGTTTTGAGAACCGGAACTAAATTAAATAATAATAATGAAAAATAAAGACATACCATCAACAACCTGAATATCCTCATCTTCGTCCTTAAAATCGGATGTCGGTGTGTTCTTAGCTGGGATTGGCGTTTTCGGACTTTTAGACTTTGAAGAAGAACTCGTTACAGCGTCAATGGTGTTCTTGCTCGCTTCCAAACTCTTTCTTGGACTATTGGAAGGGGGTTTTGGGTCATCTTTATGTTCGATTGATGTGATGGTATCCTCTTCAGCGTCTTCAATCTTCTTCAAACCCTTTTTTGGAGATTTTGAGAGTACTGGACTCTCTTTTACCAAATCTAAAGTAATTATTAAGACGAATATCACTGGCTATACCATTAACGGCAATCTTATCCCCGCGAATTGACGTTTCCAAGCCTTTTCCTGCATTTTTTGGAGATTTAGTGGGAGTAGGGCTATCTAAAATAAAGATAGGCAAAATTTTTCATTAATGGAATCGTCTTACCAAGGTTAAGTTCAACTTGTTTTCCACGCAAACTCGATCTCTTTGCTGTTGATTTTCTACCGCCTCCAGTGTCAACCTCTGGCTTTCTTGGACTTCTTTGAGCTCTGGTGGGAGTTTTGGACACGGCTTGTTTTGCTAAATTTTATTTTTCAATCCAAAAAATTGTGATTTACCTTCTTCGATATCAAACTCCGGTTCTTCTTTTCTCAAGCGCCTTGAAGATCGAGTTGGAGTGCTAGCTCTCTCACTACGAGTAGGCGATTCAGACTAAAAAATTAAATACACGCTTAAACACCCAAGAAAAGCATATCTTAATGAAAATACTTACCATTATAAAAACAGCACCGGAATAAGTCAACTATACAATAACAACTATTAGAATTCTCCGCTAAAAAGAAGTTATCAAGTATTTTATTTTTTGCTGAGGTCGCGCCAATATTATTTTTTGTCCCGAAACGACTTATTTTCGTGCCAAATTCCTCTAAACTGCGGAAGTAGGGCGCGAGTTGAAGATGAAATGAAGTGATCTTATCAATGAGTTCAGAAACGATCGGCTTCATGGAAAGGCTAAAGTATCAAAAGTGCGACACTCAGGTTCAGAAAAAACTGCACAAATTTAGACTAGGTCTTTTCTAAGAAATATGTGGGATTTCTAGCTCGCTGTTTGTGGGAAACGACCGAGGTTTTTAATTTTAGGTCGAAAATTTAAGAAATGTGACTTTTTTTGCGAATTTTTGTCAAGTTTCCACAAAACATTACTTTTTTTCGTTAGCAAAGTTATAGCCAAAAGGTGTTTTTCTTCCGCGTGTGTGTACGCAATGTGATCATGGCAGAGAAAAAGATATACAAGAAATCAGCCCAATTTCACGCCCAACTGAGAGTTCTTATGAACTTCACATAAAAATCAAGTCAGTTTCAATATTCACATCTTTACAATAACAATAATAAAAAAAAATAATTTTAATGGTAGCTATGTGATGAATAACATTAATTGTCATCAAAATTTTGATTGAGTCAAGCTGACTTTGCCTTATTCATGTCAAGGTTTATATGCTTGTTAAAATAAAAATTGATCATTCTAAAGCTAGCCTCTTCAACTTTTATTTTTTTTTGCTTCCTTGAACGGATATTTGCAGGAAGAAGTTCATCATCAAGACGACCATCATTCATCAAAAACTGTTCTTTAAAATCTCCACTTTCTGCAGCGTTTTGTCCACAAGGAGACGTTGTTCAAGGTCAGTGAAGGTTAAAGAATAACAAATTCTGATTTCCGGACCTTCGTGATGTTATTGATGTCCATCTCCACAATACCTGTCATCCTGAGGGTCCAGTTCTAAAGTCATGTTTCATTTTGTGAAGCACGATCTCTTCTACCGTATTCATGCAATAAATTGATTACACTCCGGTTTCCGGTCACGCCCAATTCTTCGGACTTTTGTTGGAACTTTTCTTTTTCGGGGTCCAGAAATCTTGTAAATAATTACTTAAAACTAACTGCAAGTGTAATCGAATACAATTTTGTCACAACACATAAGGTGAAGGGTATCCCAGGAACCGGACTTCTCAAAACGTACAATTTGAATAAAGGAGTGAGGCTGTAATTAACTTGACTTGGCCATAATTAGCCGTTTTAAGGATAACTCTCGGAAAATAGGAGTTGTAGAGGTGGAGAGAGGCTGGTAGAAGAATGGTAGGAGCCTCCTCTTGGACTATGAGTTGCCAGAAGAGCTGTTAATGTCATCTCGTTTCTTTACAATATACTTCTTGTTACGTAATTGTGTAATATTTAGATTTATATGTTACTATAATAGTTTATTGTATGGAATAGGTGCTCGGAATTGTATGAGAGTGTAAGGGGTTTACTCCTGTTGGATGTATACGTGTGCTTGAGTAGGACAATATAAGTTTTGTTTTGAATCATCCTGTTGAATATCTTACTTTCTCTGTTTAAAGATTCCTACAGATTAAGCAACGAATCTGCCTTTTTCGGAATTACATCTCATTAATCAAGGGAGTCGAGATAGTGCTGATTATGTCCACTGACCGTCCTTTCCCCATTTTTTATGGACAAAACCGGTTTCCAAAAAGTTGGAAGTCCTTTTTTCCAAGGTTTCGAACCCTTCATTGAACTGTAAATTTTGTTTTGTAAGACTTTTCTGGAAGAATTAACCCTAAAAGTGGGAAAATAAATAGTCTTTGGATGGTTTTTTAAGTTCAAGAAGTGATGTAAGTAGTATTGTTACTGCTTTCATTAAGTATTTCCGATTGCATAACATCACTTTCTCTTCCCGTTCGGCGATTTCCTTGTTGGAAAGTGGTTTTCTCGTAATCTTGTTGTTCCCTGGTTCGAAAATTAAAAAGAAAAATTATTTCTTTGCCTTTCTTTTCCTGAATGGACGTCATGATTACTCTTACAACTTGACTACTTTTACAACTCAAGGGAATCCAGAAGGAAACCGAAAATGGGCGACGTTCCTGGAACCGGAGTCTAATCAGGAAGGCCGTTCGCTTAATGTGGCGATCGGAAAAGAACTCGAAAACATATTGATTTTTGAAAAATAATTTCTAAACCCTCTCCGGGCCTACGGTACTTTTGCAACGGTGAAATTGTAAGACCAAAAAGGACCCAAAGGAAGAGCGCGTCTCCGATAATTTGGAGCGTCGGGAAAGATGAGCATCCTGAGCTTGGACTGTAGCTCCCAAGTAATTGGAGTTTGTATTTTGGTGTGAGGGAGGCAGTTGTACTTACTTTTGGGTTCTACTATGTAAGGATGCGACTCTCCTACACTGTAAAGTCCGTTATTAGTCACAAGAGGCTTGTCATCGATGAGCGAGAATCCGAATGACCTCCCATTTCTTTTCAAGGATACTCTTCCTTCCCCTACAATTACAACTGTCTCCATTGGAAAGTTATTTTAAAAGGGCCTTCAGGACATCATGCGACTTCTTTTCCTTCGTTTATTTCATCCTAACCTTGGGTTTTATTTTAAATTTTAATTTTTTCTTTTGAATAATCAATTTATGTTATTTCCTTGGAATTTGCACTGCCGGAAACCTACTGCGTTACCTCGTACTGGGTGTAATGTACAACAATTTGTTGGGACTTATTTTGATTTTATTCAAACTTTGTAGCCCGATTGTAAATACAATGTTGCAAGGTTTTTGCACTTTAGGTTGATCTTCTGATGACATCCAACGTTTTTGTTTTGTATTCTCGTGGGATATGATTACTTTGAATGGAATTGGCGCCTCATGATCTGTGTCTACAATTTGTTTCTCGGATGCAAATGTTGGGGTTTCAGAAGGGCGTCTGTAGTATTGTTTTCTTCTTTTGGGGGAATACGATAACACGGCACTTGACAACAAACCGTATTTGTAGACTGATGTCTGCTTCGTGACTGCCTAAACCAACCGGATTCCCCTTATTCTACCGTATTAATGCACTAACGTGGGTGACAGAGTGGTATCTTTCGAGAAATGGGACTTAAAACTTAATGCTCATGATACGTATGATGCGTATACGTATGTTCAAGAGGGATGCTGGGGACGTGTCATCGGTGAACAGCGTACTATTATAGGTACGCCATAAAGTCTCGACACCTTTAGCGCGGACGTCGCGCGCGAAAAAATGGATTGAGCTCGCGCAAAAGTGCAAATCGCTACTGCAAAAACAGGGAACCGCCGCGGCAGGTGCGAAAGAAAAAGAAAAATACACTATGCAGACGTGCGGAACTTTATGGCGCGACTAGTACACGACAATGATTGTAGCATTTGTATTTGAGTGCAGATAAACTTACAGCTTTACATGCAGATCCGTTTAACGACGTAAAGGTCACTTTTCATGTTACTATTTTTGTACATCGTCTAGATTAGCAGATTAAGAGTTAGCCTACGATCCTTGAATTGCGATACCCTTGTTCTGCATTCACGGAAACGTGAACCCTTAGGCGCTGATTCGTTGCGGAACTCCTGACTTTTTTGGGAAGACCACTTTCTCTGCCCCCTCTACTACTTCAGAGCCCCCATTTCCTAGATGGACTTCCACTTCTCCGTAAACAAAATGAATCCGGAGGGGAGGGGGAGGGGGTTACGGTACAAACCTGTAAATTGCGTCAATTAAAAGAAGTGATGAGTGGATCCGTTGTAAACAGATGGTTCACAATCCCCTACCACACCTACGGAAAGGGAGTTTATGGATCCGTTAGAAAAAAAAACAAAAAAAGGATGGAGAAGATACAATAAAAACTTGAGAGGGGGCGGCCAAAATGTATAAATTAATACAACGAAATGGATTTACAAAGATCATAAGTAATCAAAGATTGAAAACGCAGACAAGTAATTGCAGCAGAATAACAGCGTAATCAATCTACAATTCAAAAGTCTGAACTGGGGGGTATGAAAATAGTTTTGGTTTTAAATCGGATGTATTGTAATTTTAGAAGATGTTTTATTGTTAAAGCAAACTAATGTTCTCCATTGTTCAGACATCCCCACTCCCATATCCATCCTCCGATCCCTCAAATCATTATCCAACTGTTGCACAAATCCAACTAATCCACATTTTTGTATCAGCGGACGAGTGATCGATTCGCCGGAATGAAACTTTTTACTTTGCGGAATGATACTTTTTTTCGTTACGTGTAAGTTCCACAAATCCCAAATCGGGCCGGATTTCGATAATTTAGAGTGGGCGGATTAGTCGGGAACAGAGGGATGGATGGATGGAAGTTCCCAGTTACTTTTACTTGTTAATATAATTTACTTTGTTTGTGGGGATACCGTATCCCCGGTGGTGTAGTTTATCTTGGGGATAAAAAATCCGCTTTCTTTTCCCATCCCAAATCTGCAAATACTCTGAGCTACCACAACGCAAACTTTCGGCAAATAAATTGTTTAAGGATAATTTTATTGTTTTAGTCATCTCATTCTAAATTTTGCATTTGAAATTTATTATCCTGTATTTTAAAGATTTTTCAAACAAATTCATTGACTTCTCAACTTTTTGATGTAATTTTGAGAGATCTTCTTTTATTTTCACCCGTTTTCAATGTTTACTTGGCCTCGTTTTAATCGAGGTACCCTGGCCTGGTCATCTAAAGGGCCCGTCTAAGCTCTCTTTTGTCCTTTAGCTTCCGGCGCCGACATTCCAAGAGCAAGACAAGTAAAGAGAACACTTCGAAGGAAGACCGGGCTTACTGTAATATACGCCCGTCCTATCTTTTCCTCTTCAATTATAACTAATTTAGGGGAGGAACGCCAAGTGGATCCTCTCGAAGATATTTTCAGCAGGTGATCCAAGAAATGCGGATTGGATTACGCATTTCCACAAACAGAAAAACGCCAAGACTTACGGGTTTGGCCATACGCAAATGGAGTTTGTGTAATCAAGGGCTTCACAGGTGTGTCGAGAGTCGAAAAAAGGGCGTTGTGGAGATTTGTAGATATTTTTGGCTTCCATTTGCTTGTTCTTTCGAATAATCAATCATAATCCCCTTGCGATCATGATTATGAAAGCCTTTGCAAGGTTGCGCAATCAATTTAGAGCCAAGACTTGTTGTCTAAACACGGTTAATTTTATTATTATTAATCCCATCACACATTAAATATTCTGCAAACGCTTCGTCTCAATTTACGTTTCCGAACACCCTCGTGGCCATAGCACAATCAGAGCCAGAGGCGAGGTCACAATCCGTGACGGTCAGTGCAAGTGAGAGAACAAAGTCAAGTGGAAGAGGAACGGTCTGTTTGTTGACCAATCCGTTCCTCCTCGGATCTGGTTACAGTAGGATCTTGAGTGACATGATTTGAGTGGAATTTATTTATGATTTCATCCTGCATGTATTCTTGCTCATTGTTCGTTTTTGATGTGTTCTTATAAAACGACGTTTTTATTTCTATCAGATTTTCAATTTAAATCAGCCTATATTTTATGGTGACCCGTCTTCTCTCTAAAGCTCGCCCTCCGTAACCAACTTAAGTCCTCTATTATTTATGGAGACCACCGTTTGTTATCCCATCTCGGCGCTTTCGGAAGATGGCCAAGTTTGTATTGGACACCTTTCCTTCCTTCGTACCATCGCGCTCTTGACCCCTGAGCGAGCGACTTAGGTCCTCGAGGAGGTCGCTCCCTATAACACTTCACTTTTAAATCCGACTCCGTACCGTTCGTCCACAAAACTTTGCGGCCAAATATTCGGACACAATGCGATGTTTGGATACGGAGAAAGAACGGGGAAATAGTGTGGAAAACGGAGAGAGATCACAAAGAGAAAAACCATGGTCAGAAGAAAAGGTAGAGAAAAAAATTACAGAAGGATTGGGAGATTGGGAAGGAGGCAGTAGCCAGAAGAATGCGATTTAAAAGAGACGACGAGGGACAAACAGAGAGCCGAGAGCGATGAGTGGCTTTCCCTCGGAATGACCGCAGCTCCAATCGTCAAGAGGTTAATATTACTAGCGTTCGCTTCACCTGACGTCATTTCACGATCTATTTCGAAGAGTTGTCCTAGAGCAAGGGGTCAGACTTCGAGATGAGTGCGTAAAAGCCATAGGTAAAACTTGTCTGTTTTTAAATTGAAATTGTCTTTTTGTACAGTAAATCATCCTTTTGTTATCAAAAATGTAAACAGCTCCCCACAAATGATTCCAAGCGTTCTTGTGTTAGCTTATTGATAAAATGCGCGTTCAGATCCGCTAGGAATGTTTTAGGTAATTTGGCAGAAGGTTTTTGGGGCAGATATTATTATATTAATCATGCTTTCAAAACGATTAAAACCGCTGTTTTAGATGCCGATTGTCTCTGTCCTTTTATTGAACTAATGCCGGGGTTACCTAGAGGAAAATTGGATGATACGATCGGATCTGGCGGCATTTTTCTGTGTTTTAATCTAAATTAATTGGGGTTTTGAATTTTTTTAAAATTTCTTTTGTTTCAACCTAATATTTTTCATTCCCCCTCCCTTTTCCGGATACCTTTCCAGACTCTTTTACCTGTCCGCACCCAAGGTCTCTCCCTTATTCGCGCGTATCCGTATCAACCGACATGATCTAATCAGAACGAAAGTGAATATTGTCGGTCTTCCTTTTCCATTATTTTCTCCTTTTTCGGCTGTCCCTCCAACAATAAAAAAGAAGACGAAGGTGGCCTTTCCATCTTTTTTGGCATTTCTCAGGAGTTGCGCATTTAAATCAGTTCAAGAATCTCCGATCAAAGGAAAGGAGGAATATCCACCAGAAAAGGGGCCAGAGTAATTATCGACATGGATGGATACAGTACCCATAGCTGTTTTTACAATCTATTATAACAGAAATTCATAATCGTATTACAATACCACTTATCACGTTAGATTTACGACTGACAATGTTTACGGCGCTATATATAGGTCCGCAAGATCGTTGATAACTGCATTCTCAGTGTTTAGATGCGTTTTTTATGAATCAATTGAGGTTTGCAACATGGGAATGAATAAAGAAATATAAACATCCAGATGAAGCATACTGTAAAGTAATTCCTGCGGGTTGCGTAACACGCGTTCCTCTGACATTAAATGGCAGTTGAACAAACGGACAAGGAATTGATGAACCGCCGAAAAAGGAAACCATTTTGTGGATACCGAAGGTGTCGAAACCAACTATAATACTTCACATCGAAAAGTTGGAAGTTTAGAATTTGACCAAAACTAGATCTTAACTGTAAGATCCCGGAATTCCATTGTGCCGTTTCGAATACTGTAAAAATATCTGAATTTACAATCCCCAGTCTTTGCAATTCCCCGACCTAACTCCATAAACGGTCGGAGAACAAAGTCGGGATCAGATATCAAATAAAGACATTCAGGTTTTATGAAAATGACCTTCGGATCGAGATCTTGATCTTGAGTTATTCTGATGGACAAAGCCCCAATTACACAATTCATCGATTTACGGAGACTTGTTGTTTACAGCCGAGATATAATTGATGGGCAATGGATAAGAATGGGTTATTGTGGGGATCATGGAGCGATCAGTGGGTCGCATGAGTTACGTAGATTGTCTCAGCTCTAAGACCACGATTAAAAAGAGAAATATGAAGTCTCGACTTAACCGGTTTAATACCTGGATCGGGAAATGGATTTAGACGCGGGATCCGCTAAAATTTTCGAAAAAATCCACGCGGTCTTACGTGAAATTTTCTCTAATTTAGACGAACCATAGAAAAACGAAGAATGGATTAAAATTTCCGATCTTGGAAGTTAAGTATTGATTTTTTTGATATTCCAAAAATGATTTTGATAAAAGTGGTCGAAATGTTCGGAATTTTGTTGGAGTCGATAGTTTTGCCTTTTGAAAGTTGTAAAGACTCATTTTATTTTCTGAATCAAAAATCTGGTTTGTAGAAGATTGAAAAATAATCTAAATCTTTTTTCTGCATGTATTTTATTTTTTATCACCAAAATTTAAGCGCCCCTATGTACCTAACCGTATTCCTATTCCAAAAATCCTCAATTTCCCGGATGCATCCTGAGTGGTTGTTTCTCCGCTCTTCGTTTGTTGTCCCCCTCCTTTTTTCCTTTTGCGGTTATGTTCGCCTTCTTCTCGGAGGGCGGGGCTGGCCAGATCCTTATTTTCCATATTCCTTTCGTATTCGCGACTACATTTGCGGGGATTGGGGAGGTGGATTTGTATGAATATTTACTCTCTGCATGATGCCCGTAAAAGTTCATAATCAAGTGTTTTTGCCAAACTCTGAGATTTCAACAGAATCGCAAAATTTCGTTAATTTTCATAATGTTTGACCTTTTATAGCATGAAAGACGCGTTCCCAGCATGTTCCATCTTTAGTATGCAGTATTGTAGCCAATCTCCAATGCACATCCTTACATCCCCTAGGGTCCTGGTGTCTTTTTCTATTGGCTTTGCACTCTAAGCACACCGTTTCAAGAATATCATGGGGAGAATCCAAAGCGGCGCATTCGGATTTAAAAGTAGCCTCTTTTACAGCAGCGTGTACATTTTACAATTCAACAAGAGGCCGGGTCCCCGCGTTTACAAAGGCCGACCTTTAAAAATACTCCATGAAAGGGGGTCTTGTGATTCCGAGTAGGGTTGTAGCAGTGCCCTAATTGACGTAAACACAATGTTTTTTACCGTAGGAATTTTGGATCAAGTTTTTGGAACTTGGAATTGTAATGAAAATTAATTGTGATGCCAATTAATTTTCATTACAATTTTTGCCAGCGCTATTTTCAATGCTAATATGTCTATCACAAGATTTTTTGTCCAAAACAGAAGTGCGAATGTCATTTGAAGAGTCAATTAAAGGGCCACCAGAATGAAAATACAAAAATAATCAAAACAACCCGATTATCCATATCGGCCACATCTCCCGAGGGATAGAGGTTCGTCTGGAGGTCCGGGCAGACTGTAAATGAGGTGTTTGGCTGAGATTAGACAATCTCCAGGGGTTTATGTTTGGGTAGACGTCGACTGCTTATGATGTATTTTCTGCTATACCGCATTCGGCATGGCGTTACATCCTTTTTTCACTTAAAACAGTACTGTTTCCTTCTAGAAGCTGATGAAGAAACTCCTTGATCATGCGTCAATTTTTTCTGTCCTGATTTTACGCCCATGTTTTCAAACAGTCCTGCCTTTCATTGGATGCAATTCTTTGACTCGTGCCGTTTATTTTACCTCAAGGTTGTGTTTACTCCCAATATTTTTACGTAATAATGAGCGTATAATAAAATAAGGTGGCGAAACGAAGAAGATGCATCTATTGTGGATACGAAAACACTGACTTGGGGTAAAATACGCGTTCCTTTTCATAATAAATTTGTGAAGACCGTTGTTTTGTTGTTGATATTATACGAAAATTACTCTGTATTCCCTTCAGGATTGATGTTTTTATTGGAATTCTTTTAAATCATACGCCTACTCACATTTTTCTTTGAATTAAATTGTATTTTTCGAGTATAATAACAACATCTTTTGAGTGTTACATGCAGTAATGTGCTTTATTGTTTTCAGTGCAATATCCTGACGAAACCTTAACCTTAAAAACGACAAATTACAAGTTTATTTTGTTTCCCAATGGAGACTCTGATGTGCGCGGAATGTGGATACAACACCAAGGATATGACAGAATTCACAAATCACGCCAAAAGTCATGAGGAATCAACTGTCAGAGTAAGTTTTGCATTCAAACAGGAACTACTGTAATCAACATCGAGACCGTTGTTTACAAACCCCTTTGGTTCCCCGACTCTTCGTTAATTGTTTGGATTAATCAGTCGTCAAAAAATGGCATCAATTGCGCAAACTAAAAAAATCGGGATTTTCTGGTTTTCAAGGTTAGGTCATAAAAAAGAAATAGTAAAAATTTGAAAGTAATCGTTTGAGTAGTGGTACTGTCTTGCTGATCCTTGTCTACTTGTCCTTTTTGCACACTTTTAATTTTATTTATACTGTAGTTTTTGATGCCAAAGTCTCCTTTACGATCGGCAGATCAATTGTTTTAAAGCCTGATGACCTTTCTTGGAGATCCCGTTTTTTACGTCCCAAGAATAAAATCGAAAGTCTCTTACCTGCGCCACATTTCGGCGCAAAAACCGGACTGATTTCCCTTATCTGAAGAGAAAAAAAGAAGGTTTTGAATTGAACTCTCTGTTCATGATTTGGAGGATTATGTCTGGATTTGAGCATCCCCTTGCTCTGGGTAATTGTTTAGTTAAAATTTTTGGAGCTAGAGTACCTCGTATGCAATGTTTCGAGGATATTTTGGAGATAAGATAACACTCAGGAAGGCACTTTGGTTGGGATCTAGGCAAACGCTTTGTTCGAGGGGACGTAACGTAGCATACATGTAAGATTACAGCCGGGAGAGAAGAGTACTGTTGAGGTGCCCACTCTTACAGTACACCCTGCTTTTTTAAAGTTCAGCCTTGAACCGCCTTTTACCATCTTGTAATTTACTTTTTTGTGTTCCATTACAAGTTGCTGAAAAATCGATCAGTTTTCCTTTCATTTCTGTGAAGGTCTTGACCAAACGGCGCACGTAATCTGGGAGTTTGACCAGTTAATCAGCACAGTTTAGGACTATTCGCAATTCGTGTTTCGTAGTTTCTGCTCCCTATTATTATTACTGTAACTTTTAAAGTCGGTTTTCATAACTTTCACATCTGAACTTCGGCTAGATTCACAATTGATAAGTCGAGTTTCTTCGCCGTCAATGTCACGGCCTTCGCACCCCATCTTTTTTGGATCTTGGTTTTTCCGTACTTTCCGGCATTAACCTTCGCTTTCATCTTCCCCACTCACCGTTGAAGGTGAAGGTGTGCCGGCAAAAAATTAACCCTTGGTGGGGCAGAAACTCGGGAGTCTCGAGATTGGGGAATCGATCAGAAAACGGGAAGGAGTTGGTTGCTTAACCAATTGGGACATTTGTTGGGAGTGGGTCTTCCGAAAAGAGTAGGCATGGAGCATTAATTGTACGCTACAAACGTCCGTCTTAATGAATACTGGGAAGTCAGCCCAACATTCAATGAATTTTTGCGAGTACAATTACGATAAATGATTATTGACGCTGGCTTGGTTGGAGTGCATGTTTCCAGCAACAATAAGAACATTAGACCAGACATTCAGCTACAAATTCTGTCTTAAAAATCAACAATTACCGTAGAGTAGACCTTTTTCCTGTCCATCTTTTGATCGTATTATCATTTTGTCTCGACGAAATCTTAATGTCTGTGCATCTCTCGACTTGCGATGGTCCTCCCAAACCCTTCGTAATTCCTACCTTGCCGTTTTTCGGCTTCTTCCTGCGCCGAGGTTTTACCACCAATCTTCTTCTTCCCAATTTTTGTGAAGGTCATTCCGTCGATGGGTTGGTGCTGATAAAAGCGACAAAAGGAAAATGAAAATCTTTTTTTGTTTCGGGAAAAGTGCGCACTCTCGCCCGGGCACCTTTCGCTTTCCTCTCGAGATGAGTCCGTTGTTTTTTGTCGGCACTCGATCTGTTGGCCATTTCGAGGCCGTTGATGGATGTCGATTACTGGTTTGCTGGGCAGGGAATATGGTACCAAGGAGTCTCTTTATTAAGTACGCATATGTATTTCTTTTTGTGTCATACTTGGACATGAGTCTATTTCCAGCCATAAATCGCTTTGCTTATGAGCAGATATCCTGTTGGTTTAGATATCCTATTACATGGTAATCTCTTCTCGAGGCGTCGTAAATCTACGGGGTTATCGCGAGAACATGAATTGAGTAATCGTAGATGCAACAACAAAGTTGCGCAACGAATTAGTTGTGGGTAAATAGCCGTGAGAGTTTTGGGATGACATGTCAGAGTTTACGGACATCTTTACGGTCCCCCGGTCAAGGTGGGTTTTTTCTGGCATAAGCATGGCTGCTTAAAGACCTTTATCATTTCAGTTTGATTTCTATACAGGATATTGGTTTAGTTCATCTTTGCTCTCTGACGTTTTACCTTTACTTTCAAAATAACTGTAGCCAATTATCCCCCTACCTTATCCTCTCTAGTGCCTCGATTGTTTATTTATCGATCCCTCTAATTATTGTGTTTTGGGAAGTAGTCCAAAGTAATTTAGTTTTGATTTGTTCCCGGACCCCGATTGGTCCCGTTTATTCGGCCTTCCTCCCAACTATTGGCTCATTCGGTCTCCCAGGGGGTGTTTTTGAAAAATCGAGGATACTATACGTGTTTGGGGAATAGTAATTAAGAAGTAATGCTGGATGGATGAAGGTGGGGCTATTTACACATTCACAGACCTGATTTGGCTTCCGCTTGATCCCGAATTCCCGGTCTGAACTTTCGATTTGTCCCGATTTCCTTAATCCCCAAGTATAAGGTCGAGTATTTACTCGGGATTTAAGTGTAGATCAAGTTGTCATGGGAATATGAGGAAGTCCGGCTTAAGATCGAGATTAATCAAGTAGCCGTGGATGGAGTTTGGAGGGGATGGGCTTTAATTTGCATAATTTTGTGAATCTGCCTATTAACGACATATATATTTTATGACTGTTAAATTTTTGGTACCAAAATACGTATTTGTGACTTCAATGTAGGTTGAAACCGTCCATTGCATTCTTGATTACTGTATACTTCCTTTCTGATTACAGGAACCCCTTTTGGAAACTAGTTTTAGTGATTTCGATCAGAACAATTAATGTTTTTTTATTTTGAGACACTATGCCATTATGCCACTCGGTCCTCTCCAATTTGATCCTACCTGTCTAATTTGACTTCCTATCAACATATTGGGCAAACACTCATCTCTTTTTGGCCATCGATTTCTTCCGACAGGTCAAAAGCGGTCATCCAAGACTTTCTTTTTCCTTTCTTCTCAATATTGCCATAACTGGAACTTGATCCGGTTACCCGATCCAGTGGACTCTCCCTCCTCTTTCTTCGACTTTGTTTGGCCAAGCTTGTTGGTCCATTGTCTTTTCCGCTTACCGTCGGCATTTGTTTTTACGGGTTCCGTAAATTGGAGTCGGGGGATTAATACAGGAAAGGAAGGAAGAGGTTGAACTTGTACTTGCTGATTAACTGACTCAAATTGAAGTCGTTCCTGTACTACTTCATTTATTAATGTAACAATTTTATCATCCTTTCGACACTCTAGGGTCGTTTAGGTTACGGTAATCTTACGCGTACAATTTTTTATCTCTTTGTGTTTTACTTTATATCCCACATACCAATCATCGAATTCAAGTATGCTTTTGTAAATTCCGTTTTTTTTGACTCTGAAGGCGTCATACGAAAAGGTGATGCTTTTGCTACTGAAAATTAGAGGGCGTGGCCCGAACGAGGTGGATCGAAAATAAGGTAAAATACGTCGGGGGGACAGAATGTTTGTCCAAGCTCCCAAAATGACGGGCCGAAGTTCTGGCTTTAAGATGCGGTCTACTTGTCCGAGTTTACCTTGAAAGGATCGGGCTTACTGTAGTGGGTCAAGTTGTAAACAAGAATATTGCAAGTCTTCGAATTTCAATGAAGGTGGCCGGTTTTATTTTGGTTCTTTTCCAGATCAAGTAGCACTTGGTGTTAGTTTTATTCCCTGTTTAAACTGTATTTCATCTATTAAGTTCTTGATCTATTAAATTTCGTTTTATTTTATGAGAATCTGGCCTTGTCTGATTGTGGTGGGCATCTTTCGGATTAAGAGTTAATTGCCGTGCCTCCCAGTCTCATGTTTTTTGGGCCTTGGGATGAGTCTTTGTTTTTCACCTGGCTCTTACATCTCCTCCTCTCTGACACCAATTATAATATTCGAAATTAGCTCCAGAGGGGATTTGGGCAGACGAAAACAATATTTATTGCCTTTTTCTGATGGTGATGAGAATGCGGGGGTTATGGTAGAAGATGATATTACACTTGCCGGTCAAATGGACTGGTTTTGGAGGGGTTCCCCGTTGATCGGAGATTAGAAAGACCTTACGTAATCTTCGCGCAACACTTGTAATAGTTGTATATAAGTCGTTTTACATGTATTATAAATCATCTTGGAATTGTAGATTGAACCATCGACATTGCCGTCCTCAAACTTGGCCACAATGCTGCCCATGCAATTCAATCAATTCCATTTGGCTCAAATCTCACAGATGCTCAAGTCGATCCAGACACCCCCAGTTACACAACCCAATGTGTTCTCCGTGAACAATGGCTTCGATGTGATGAGATTGTTGGCTCAAAGAACTCCAGAACAATCTCAAGAAGTAAAGTCAGACATTATGGAGGTCCGAGATGAGGAAGTCAAGAAAGAATCCTCTCCAGAACTGCATCAGGGGATCAAAAAGTCAAAGAAACAAGTGCACAGTTGCCCCCATTGCAATTTCTCGACAGTAATGTCACAACATATGAAGGCTCATGTGGAAGCTCATATCAAACATCAGGGATCCATGTATATGTGTGATGTTTGCAAGATGCAATTCAGTCAGAAAGCTAACATGCACAGGCACAGAATGCGTCATTCTGGAGAGAAACCTTATGAATGTAAATATTGCCAGAAGAAATTCTTCAGAAAGGATCAGGTAAGTTTTTAAAACGTTGGAAGTTATTAGTAGCGGATTATTAATTTATTATCTTCGTATTTTCAGATGCAAGAACATTCAATGACGCACATTAAAACCGGAGAAAACTTTGATTGCCCGGTCAATGGATGTCCCCGAAGATTCAAGCAACATCAAGAACTTAGGAATCATCTGACTGATGAACATATCATCACTGCTCAGGAACAGGCTGCTTGCAAAAGATGCGCCATGACTTTCTCAAATCACAGACGGATCTTGCTCCATTATCAGACCAAACATGATGACAATCTTACTGTAAGTTGATTTTATTTTAATGCCAATTCTTTCAATTTTACTTCAACCTTCTTTTTACTTATACTTTAATTATAGGGAGCAAACAGAGAGTTGGCTCTTCTCCAACAAGGCGATTTCTCCGATGAGGATTCCCTTTCTAGTTCTCCACCAACTCAGGCCAAACCCTTGAGCATGAATCCGGCTCTTTCTTCTCTCCTCCAATTCACCCAACTCAACCAGATCCCCACTTCAGCTGCGAATCCGTTCTTGGCCCAACCAGGTCCCTTAGCCAATAATATGAATGACATTATGAACAACTTCTCCTGGAATCCATTGAATATGGGTATCAAAAGAGAACTTAATGTGAATGTAAATCAACTGACATTGAATGGGTCGACCACAACTCAGTCCAGTCCAAAGATGTTGCCAAAGAGTAAGAGCCCCTTGATTAAAATGGAGGGTGAGGGAAATGAAGTGGGCAACAACACGAACATGCTCAGCAAACTTATTGAGGAGGTATCTTAAATTTTATATTTATTTCGTTGTCCAAAAACATGTATAATGAACTAATTGTAGATGAAACAGACCCAGCCTCAATTATGGTCCCAGACCCGCTCCGACGATCATTCTTCCACTCATTCCCCCACTTCTGGCTCACGAGCTTCTTCTTCACCTCAACCAAATGACGCCGAAGATTACAAACACAGAATTGAGGCTGAAGCCAACATTTCTGCGGGAGTACGACAAGAATGTGAGCACTGTGGGATCACATTCAACGATGATGTCATGTATATTCTGCACAAGAAATTACATTCCGAAGAGAATCCATGGAAATGTGGACTCTGCGAGAAGCAATGCTCGGACAAGATCTCATTCGCCACCCACATTGTACATGATGGGCACCGTGTATAGAATCCTTAGCTATAATCATACTAAATTTTTACACATTGAATAGGCCCCGCCGGAATCGATTTCCGGATCAAATTCTTTTTCGTTCCGTGTTTTATATTAACAACATTATTTTCAATGTATTTTGTTATGTTCTAATTCCTTCTCTCCCCTTATTTATAAACCCTGACATTCCCTTTTTAAATCTGTCCCAAGAATACGCCGTTCGGTCGTGATCTATATCATTTCTATATCATAACGCCACATGTCGACCACCACTATTCGTAAATAGACTTCTGTGATACATTGGATGTAATTCATGTCCCCCCTTTCGTACAACATATAGTACTTGTTTCTGTAGCTATCCCTAAATAATTAAAAATTACCGGTATTTTTCTTCCAAAAACCAACTCACTGATAGAATACTGTAATTCCAAAGTCCTATTTTAAGGCTTCGGAATTCTGATCATTATCAAATTCGGGATCCCCAAGTGCATGACAATCTACTTCCTATCCATTTTAGTTCGTCCCCTCAGATTGCAATTATTTTGCGCAGGTCTTAACTGTAAACCGAATGGTTTGTCATAATGCCAAAGATTACTACTTCCTATTGCGAGTCTACCATTTATTGTTTGATGTTAGTCATTGTTTTTTGTACATCTAAAGATGTTTTATTCATTCCAGAGTTACTCTTTGTCTACTTACTTTTTTTCATTGTTAAGTGATACCCAAATTTATATATCCATAAATAATAAAGCATACAATAATAGTTTGGTCAACTGTATTCGATGCTTCAAAAAGTACGAAAGAAAGCACATAATTCAAGCTTGTAACATTAATTTCGTCATCGCCGAAGAGTATAAATCAAGTTTATGATCGAAACTGACCTCTTGTCCCAGGACTTTTATCGCCCTGAATCTTATCGACTTCCACCACCACATTATCAGCGATCGGAAGCCGAAAGGAATTAGAAAAGATTGTTCTCTCCTTAAAGGAAACACTTTCCCTTCACGTTATTATTGTTCCCTAAACTTAAAGCAATAGCTGATGCATTCATGTGCTGATTTATTCGATGTCTCGCGAAAATTTGAAGGGAATATTAGCCCCTAAATAATATTTGTCAAGAACCCGGTGGTTCTTGTTTTCTTATTATTGTTTTGCCCTCTCCAATGGCCTTCTACACGATCGCGTTGTGTAGATTTGAGAAGTTTATAGAATGGTTTCGAGTGTGGATTGAGATCTGGCATATCTGGGTGGTCACCATCGGTGCTTTAGTGATCATGTTGTTGGTCTGCATTGTGGCTCTTTTTACCGATTCGTAAGTTTTAATTCGTTGAGTAAACCATTTGAGATGCCTTTAGACAGCATGACGACCGTTTCGATAAACGTGTGGGGCGCTTCTTTACCGCAGTATCCAACAGCAGCATCTCATACGCAATATTCGCATTCTTAGCGCTCGTTTTCCTATTCCCTTTTGCAATCGTTATCCTTTCTCTCAAAGTTCTTGGGCCTTATGAACGGAAAACCACTGTGAGGGAAGCCAGGATATTCTCCTTGTTCTGACCGTTGTACATAATCTGGGTCATAGTATTGTCTCAAAGTATTATTTAATTAATGGGTTCGTTAACTCTAAATTATTACAAGTTATCCATTTATGTTGAGATCAATTAATAAAAAAAATCTAGACCCGTTTCCCAACCATTTCCAAGGGAATTCGAATAACGATATCCTTTTCTGGGATTAAACCCACCTTCTCAAAACAAATAAAACCGTTTTTCACACTAAAATTAAGTTCATGTTCCACACAAGACCCCACGATCTTCAACATTTCATCGACATCTAGTCGGGGCTGACGATCATCTTGACGTGATTCTGAATCATCTCCATATTCAACGCATGAATGAGCCGATGACAACTAAAATAATATAATCTATAGACTTGAAATCAACCTACATCATCATAATCTGGTGGGTGGTCAGGTTGATCATCGGAATCCACTACCCATCGAGTTCTGGAACCAGCAAACACATATTCACGACCAAGAGCGAGCAGAACATCACGATCAATCTGAAAAAAATAATTTGGGCATAGAATATGTACCTCAACAATAATATATCCTCATTTAACGATTTTCTGCTGAACTCACTTCATCTAACGACGCTCCCGAGATCAGTTTCTTCCGGGCCTTCACCTTCATCCTCTTGTACAAGTCTCGAATCCTCTTTTCGTTCTTCTTATTGTATTCCCATCCAAATTTCTGACAAACTTCTTTTGCAATACTGATCCAGAAGTTGGTTTTCAAAGTTTCTCGGACCACAAGTCTTACGCCAAGAACATCAACAAGCTCACGTCTTTCTGCCGCGAGATATCTAGCAAACGGAGCAATGGCTCCGCTGACGGCCAACTTTAAGTCCCTTGAAAATAGAATTCGCTGAAAACAGTACCCAAAATAATATAGTTGACCTACAGAATGATGCGAATTGTGGGCTAATCCAGAAGGCGTCAACGATCCTTCCCGACCAATAAAAGCGTTCTTCACCTCATCTTCTTCATCATCGGCCTCGGAATGATGATCGTCTTCACGGGTTGGCGATCCCTGGTCAATCAGATGATCTAAAGGCGCAGAAACCGAATTTTTCGATGAATGGATTCCTTGATCCATTGCCAACGTATGTTATTTAGATTACGCACACTTTGTGAACTTTGAAACGACAAAAACTGTCAAAAAGTCAACCGGAAAGTGAAAGGAATAGTTGACACATACTGTACAATTTTGTTTTGAGTCATGTGTGGCCCTCAGAATATGTTTGTGCAAATTTGCGCGGTTGCAGAGCGCTCGAGCCTAACATTTTTTTATTTCGTCCTTTAGTTTTTATTGTATACTCCTGATTTGATCCGAATGGGAAAGGACTGAATTTGCGAGACGGCAAATGGCCCAGCGCTTCCTCGCCGTTGAAAATAAATTGCGCTGATCTCCACTGCCCGCATTTCTTTGTGTTCCGCACTTTCAGTTATTATTTGTTTCGATGTTTTGAGATCTTTTAGTTTTATCTGGGAATAGCCTATTCGTGTTGTTCACCCACTCTTTTTTGTTATTTTTTCAGGGGTTTTTTCAAAGCCTTTCTAGGTCTTTGCTTCTATTTTGCGTTTACTTTCTTGACCCTCCAATCTGACATATTTTTTGTATTCCTTGCTTATTTTTTATTTGGTTTCTTCCAGATGAATCAACCTTTAACCAATGAAGAAGAGATTATTACTCTCTGTGGGTTAATTTATCCATACGAAGATTATCTGAAGTCAGACATCCACAAGAAAGTGAAAGTTAAGGGTCAAGTCACAACTGTGACATCAGCGAAGAAGTCGAGCATCTGGGAACGGGTCTATGATCTTCTTTTGGCAGCGCATCCTCGAATTGCTAACCTGACGATCACTCAAGTTCAAAATCAATGGAGAAAGTACCGAGCAAAGGTCCCATGTTATATTCAGAAGTTTCATCAGGGAAAAGAGATGTCACAGGTAAGCATTGTGTTGGACATTGGCTCATAAAGAAATACTTTCAGCTTGAATCATCAGTGCTTGATGCAACTGGATTCAATTTTGAGATTGATAGTAGCTACGTCGCCCCTGAAAAGAAGAAACGGAAATATGTGAGCAAGAGTCCGGGAAACAAATCAAAGACTGCTGGCGATGGTGGAAATGAAGACAAAGAAATTAACGATTCTGTAAGTTTTGATGTTTTCTTGGCCTAAATGGCCTTCTGAACAATGAAAGCTTGAGACCTTGATTTTCCTATATTCAAATTTTTTGAATATAGGCAAATCAGCTCCCCACGGCGCTGCGAAGACTCCCTTAGATCGATCTTCTCCTTCCGCTCTTCCCCGACCTTACTCTCGCTCTTTTCTAAGGCTTTTTCTCTTTTTCCGGAATCTTTTTCGGACTTTAAAGAGCGTTGTGCCTGAGGCGGTTTGCGGCTACTTAAAATGGCTTGGCATTGGAGCGTGTTTTTACGAAAGGCCTTTGTCACATATGCCCCAGCTATCGTGACGAATGCCTTTCAGGGCTTGGCGAGATTGAGTTTCGTCGGTTTTTGGGTGTTTGAAGCGTTTAAAGGCTTGTTCGTAAACCGTTAAAATAAGGATTTTGATAGGTTGTTACGTCGTATTTGACGTTAAATCACACTATTTTTAGATGAAACAACAATCTCACTTCACGGACGATGAGATTGTTGCCTTCGGAGATGTCATCGGACCTTATGAAACCTATTTGACCACAATTCTTGGGGAAAAAGCCAGGATCAAGGGAAAAAATTTTGTTGTGCGCGCAGAAAAGAAAAAAGAAATATGGGGGAAAGTGTTCAACGACTTGTGTCAGATCCATCCAAGACTCAGCGAACTCGGATTATGCAAAATTCAGAATCATTGGAGGAATTGGCGAAGGAAGACATCAACCTTGGCCAGGAAATACAATACGGGACAAGGACTGAGTAGAGTAAGATTTGGTGAAATTTGGTTCGAAAATATCTGCAAATCCGATAACCGGATTCAATATTGCAGGTAGAATTAGCCGTTTTCAACGCAATGAAGGAGAATATTGTAAGCAGTAACGAAGGGAAACCCCGGAAGCAATCAGCCCGGTTTCATTCCATCAAACAAGAGCCCATGGATGAGGAAATGGCTCCTTTTGATCTCTATAACGAAATTTCATCTGACAATAGATCTCTTGATTTTCTCTCTGTACGTTTTTTATGCAGTGTTAAAGCTAACAGGAGGAGTTTAGGATAAATTTTAATTGCTTTCAGGATCTTTCGAGACCTCAAAGAGTTGTCAGACCCGGCTACAGTCTGATATTCAATCGAAATGGAATCCAAAATATGCCAATCCCTTCTCATGAAGATCAACAAGACCTTATTTTTACTCCAATAAATAACATGACTCAAGAATTAACTCCTGCCAATACTCCCACTACATCCACCAGTGTAACGAGTCATAATGTTCAGAATGTGAGTTTCCCATTTCCAGTTCCAAACTATTTCCAGGAGAGCAAATTAAACTTGTCAGAAGTTCTCCAAATCGTCGATTACTGTACTAAAAACAATAAAAAGTTTGAGATCCTCGATGGAGCCCTGGTATTCAGAGATCGGCGTCCAGATGAGGGAGAAGAAGTCCGGATTCCATTGGAAGCTCTGGGGAAACGCATTCCTCTATAACATCCCTATATTGTCTAATCTCAGTAAAACATGGCCGCTGTTTGCAGCATCCAAAGCCAGAAGTTTCCAACATTAAAAATTTTCTTGTGTCACCAGAACCAATATTTTACTGACCTGGATTCCTAGTGTGACACGTCAGAGAGTTGGTTAACAATACTGTATCAGTGTGAAAACGACAAAGTCACTTAGTTTCGCACCATATAGCGACTCAAAATCAAAGTAAAAAATATGGGTCATCTTAAAATCTCATATTTATATCCGACTTTTTCGGAGTTGTGGCCTTTCAAAAGCTGCAAAGAAACCAATTAGCCGTCAAATCTCAAGTGGCCTTACAAAAAATATAAAATTCATTAACAAGGGAAGTACCCCAAGTGCGACGCTCAGATTTTCTTTAAATTTTGCACACAGGTCGGGAATAGACTAAATAGACCTGAAAGTTTTAGCTCGCGCTTTGCGGGCGCCGCCGAGATATCGGACGATTTTTGCCGCCGAGAGAGCACGCTAAACGTGGAGAGCGGTCAGAGAGAAAAGCGCTTTTTGGCCATAACTTTGGCAGTTTCGTGCGGAAAAATTTGATTTTTTGTAGAAACATTATCCTTTACGGTAGAAACAGGCATGAAACTTTTCGCGCTGAAATTCGGCAAAAAGTCCTAAATTTTCGCCGACTTTCGATCTAAAAATCTCGGTTGTTTCTGCAAAGCGCGAGATAGGATTCTCGCATATATCTTAGAAAAAATTATTCTAAATTTATGCCAAGTTTCATCAAAATCTGAGCGTCGCACTTGGGGTACTTCCCCTGTAAGCCAAAATTTGAAGCACAATAAAAAATTTTCATAAATTAAAATTAATAATTCATTTTGAGCCAATCCATGGAAATCAATATGTCATTGGGACATAGTGAAAAAGCACCAAAACCGAGGAGCTTTTGACTACATCCCGAAATTTATGGTCAAATTTCTAACCTCTTCCAAACTATTAACCCACCTAGTGCCCGACAATTAAAAGTGAAGTCTCGATTCTTAGCCCGATGTTGCCCGGAACGCTATGTTTTTGGTTTTAATAACCTAAAAACCCTTCATGTGACTGTTCAGGATAATTAATCAAAAACACCAACGTAAGTTGCAATTTCGCTGCATCGAGTTGCACAGAAAATGCCGCAAGCAGAATGACAGAAAAGTACAAGACAAAGGCTGCGCTGATTCTGCATACCATCCTTTGAAATTGCATCGATATTCTTCTCCTTGACTAGTACCGTTGTCGTTAAGAACGCTTTGATTTCTATTATGATTGTTAAAATAAATCTGCGTAAAAAAACAATGGAAAATACCTTCTACCAACCTGATATTTAATTTACCCGTTTTTATTGGTTTAACCGAAAACTTTAGTTATTTATCACAGATAAGTATGGTTAGGACAGGGTTAGAATACAAGCTATGGTAACATAGATTAAGGCAAATTGAGGACACATTAGACTAGAAGACAATAAATTATATGAACTTGAATACAATCACAGTTATGAGCTGAGAGCCTCTTTAATGCGCCTCAGGCAGATGTTGGCGCCCTCGCGGCATTCATAAGACATCGGTGTGAAGTTGAGAAAACCATGAGGAAGAGCATCAAGAAGGTCCACTGATCTTATGGTCCCTCCTGCATTTCGTAAGCGACGGGCAAAAGCGATTGTATCATCCAAAAGGGGGTCTAAGTGGCACGCCTGAAAGAGTTTGAAACACGGCATGTGACCTTTTACTTACAACAAAACTGGTCGGAGGTAGCTGTTTGAGTATTTCGTCTGGTGTGTACATCGGAGATATCAGATATTCCCTCGGAAGATCCAATTTTAGTAATTCCGTGAAGCAGGATTCCATCTTCTCGGCCTCGGCTTGTTGAATCAATGCGGACTCGTAAACGCTCATCGTCTGTGACCTAGTCAGCTTGGGCTTATCTAGATGTCCCAAAGGTGTATGTTCAACATCAAACCAATTGGAAAAAGAATCATAAGCATGCCCCGCTGCCTGACTTGCCGTCTCCAGCAACGATTGACTTAATGAACGGCCTCGCTAAAATTTTTTAATAAACATAGACTTAAAAATTGGAAATTGATTAGGGTATACAACATACCGAAACTTTTCTTTTGTGAACCGGTTTCTCGGTTTGAGTGACCCGCTTTTTGATGGCACTGGGGACTTTATTAGTTGGGGTGGAATACCCAGTGAATGACTTGGATTGTACGGGAATCTTCTCTCCGTTAATCTCTTCGTCTTCGGTGCTGTCCAAGCCAAATGGATCGTCATCTTCTTCCAAAATTGCTGATGAATGTGTCTGCAGAGAGCTGAAATGATCATTAATCACAGGGAGAAATAATAAAGCATACCTTTTGGTTAACGGATGGCTTTGCAAGTAATCGAGGAGATGATGATCATAATTATTTGCACTCAAACATATATGATTTGGGTTCCCATCGACATGAACCATCGTGATATTCGGCTGGGCATCCGATTCTTCTTCCTCATCACCGGCACTTCCCATAGCTGAATCATTACTCGATTTGTCAGTCTTCTCTCCTTCCGTTTCAGTAGATGTGTCCGTCTCACCCTCGCTGATCTTCTCCAAGGCGGCGGAATTAGACGAACATAAACCCAGACTTCCCAATGAGGTCTCGCTTAGATTAACCAAAGACACAATGGGTTGAGAGCCAAAATCAGAGAACTGGCTGAAGAACCCGAGGCCTTCCTTCTGCTTGTTGATCTCATCCACATATTCGATCAGAGATTTGTGATGAATGTGGGAGGCCTTCTCTGCTTTCCGTCGATTCTTCTCGGCCTCTGTGCCATTCGGACAAGCATTTGTGTAGGCTGAAATAAAGTCATACTTCACACGTAATTATTTCAATTTACCTGCGGCACAACGTATCACAACGCCCATGTGAAGCAGGGGATCGATGAAACTCAGTACTCGTGATGGCGATGGAAGATACTGTAAAAATAAAATAAACATGGGAAATGGACAAACAAACGGTAAAACGTCAGTTCTCCCTACTTGGAATAAGAATGGCGTATAAATCGGCACAAGTGCCGTCGGTCGTCTTTTAGTCCCCATTTCGATTAATTTCAAGGCCGTGGATACGATCAAATTGCCGCCGGCGGAGTCCCCACAGAACACAACTTTGTCCCCAGTCCATCCAACCCGTCCAGGATAAGTCAACATCCAGGCAAAGGCATACAGAACTTCTTCAGTCGGTCGGGGATACGGGAATTCGGGAGACAAAGAGTACTCGATGGAAACTAAGGGACATCCGAGATCCTTGGTCCATGAACGGAGATAGGTTTCATGAGATTTGGAAGTAGTGGCCACGTAACCACCACCGTGACAATGGACTACCAGATGAGGGGAAGGTGGAAGGACTGTTCTTCCAGGCATGTTGTGACTCTGCGAACCCATTTTATTTCTTCATAGCAACTTACAATTCCCTCTCGATGTGCAGAAGAGAACAATCGCATTTTCACCGGAATTGGAGGTCCATGAGAAGAAGGCTCATTAATTATAACATCGCCACCGCCCTCCTTCTCCATCTTCAGAGGGCCCATCATTGGAATATGGATCATCTCATACACGGCCATTGATGGACAGAAGAACTTCGGTACCGGGATCTCGGACAGATTCCAGAATCCTCTACAGAACTCAATGTCTGCTTCCCTGGTTACCTTGATTATTCTGGCGGCGCGTTGCTCCGGATTCAATAAGTAGCGTGAAGAAGCCATCAACGAATTAAAGGCGGCACTTCCATTCTCCCAGGACAAACTGTACGTGGCCAGAACAATGCCAATTAAACGGAAGATTCGAGTGACGGAGGGACTGAACTAAAAATATAAAAAACGTGAAGGAGCCTTGCAACGTTAAACACGCAAAGTCTAAAACATACCTGAAAACCAAAGGATCTTCCGTAGAAACAAGAGGCATCAAGACTTTCGATCCCCTTCAAAACTCCGCTGTATTTAGAATAATCTGAATCCAAAGGGGGGAACAGAGAACCTGATGGAAGGTCCTCGAGCAAGAACACAACCTACAAAAACAAATTTAGTACCTAAAAAATAAGTTCGATTACCTTACATGTTGGAATGCGAGAATTAAGAATCTGAAGATGGCAGAAAAGCTCTCCATTTCTTTGCAGATCCATTTCGACCTGAACATCAAACTATTCCGATTATCCACACAATTCTTCATTATGGCCACAAGTTGGAGTGTGACAGTATCGCAAATACATACAAGGGATCTAAAAAATCAGAAACACAAGAATAAGACTCATACCTAAAACCATTTCCAGGCGTCTTTTCGTCATAATCACACTTCAAAGAGGCATCCTGAAGAATCTTAACGGAGTCGTTGATCATGTCTATGTTGGGGACCAACTCCTCACAGCATTCGACAATCCTTTTGTGATAATAATTGGTTCCATGGGCTCCAAACCATGCTTGGTTGTCGATAGCCATCTAAAAAAAACCATGGGTTCCATCAACAATGCTCCCAAATATCCTCCTAATCACCTTCTAAAGATAAAGATAGCAATTCAAAAACACCTTACCTGTTTCAGTAGAGCAATAACGGCATTTCTTTCTACAGAGAGTTTGGCATCAAGCTTGTTTTTGCTGTAACTCCTAGAAGGGCCCCTCTGTTCTTGATGTTTTCCCTCTTCTGACATCGCGACAACTAAAAAAATAGAAGAACAGGCACATATTTATAAAATAAATCAGATAAGCAGAAACAGAATAAAACCGACTCCTCCCCGGAAATTGTAACCTTAGATTTCAAAAAAAATCGACACGCAACGCGTGATATTAAACGATGCCATGAGGCCGTTTCCCGAGAAAATCAAGAATTCCAAAAAAGAGCTAATTCGCTGGGGATCGATGCACAGCTTCAGCGCTGCAGCAGACCAACCGTCGCGCAGGTGCACAAAACGCTGAATGAAATTAATTGGAAGACATTGCCTCCAGCGGGGCGACACTTGACCCACATTCAAGGTTGATTCCCAAATGACCGGAGCTCCGCGGAGTAAATATGGATACTATGCTGCATGCAAGTACGTGTCGGACACCTGAAACACTGAGAGCGAAACTTTCGCTTGTTTTGGTCCAAAGTACAGAAAATGTCGAAACTTTGGACTTATACCCCAAGTTAGTCATCATCAGAACGCAACGTAAATCAACAACTCATCACAGGTTTATCACCGATTACAAATAATGCACAAAGATTTTGATATGGAAATTGTGTTGTTCGAAGTGCTGTCGAAGGGTATTCAACTGTTCTTCGTTCTTGGCCAGGGGCGTTTCACAGATTAAGAGACGTTTCAGGTTGGGGGTTACCGTAGGCAATGATTTCAAGGAATCTGCTGACTCTATTGGACATCTGGCAAGAGAAAGGAACTCGAGATGGGGCAGATGTAACGTGCTATTAATACTGAAAACATGACAACATATAAGGCGCGTGCGTTATACATCTTTTCAGCTTGATGTGAGTACATGTAAAATGCCATAAAATAGGTGATAAGCTGCCAAGGACGCGATCAATCTTATTATTTCGACTAACTAAACCTTCTCCTAGCCTCCTTCATTCATACAACCGATACGATCCATAGTTTCGTTGACCCAAACTGTAACTGGCCCGACATCGTAGCGCCCTTGTCTAGAGGACAAGAAATCAGGATTCCTGCGAGCGGGTTCGAAAAGACGTAGAACGCACGCGCCTTATATAGCATTATGTATACTAGAGCTACCTTTTCACGGGATTATCATCCAAAGTCAGGTCTGTCAGAAGCTGGAAACTGTTAAATTGCTTGGTGTTCTCGATCCGGTTCCGTTGTAAATTGAGAGAGCGGATGTTCGCAGATAACAATTGTAGAAGTTCAACACTAAAAATAAACCAAAACAAAAAAAAACAAACCTGTTAATTTCTAGATCGTTTAGATCAAGATGGTCTTCTTCTCTTCCCGCCAATTTGTCCAATGTTTCTGAGGGATTACAGATTTTGGCTCCTAATCGGACATTATCGATCAGGTGTTTGTACACATTTCGACGTTGAGGATCAAGCTCCGCAGTTCTTTTGAGCATACTCTCCACCTCAACCACATTTTCTTGAGTTGGGCCACTGAGAAGAAGTAAAGTTCGCGCCAAGGTCAAGGGCTCCCACTTAAATAGAATTTATGTAAAAATGAAAGAAAAGCCCAGTGCTAACATTACTACTTACTGGATTTTTATCATCGTCTTTCATCAGTTCTTTACAAATATTTATAAGTTCATTTAGAATTGCCACTGAAGTCGGATTTAAATCCAGTTTCTTCATAGAATAGAACTAAATATAACGATTTAGTCATCAAGTTCGGAAACATACATCAACCAGGAAGTTTTTGTTCGAGTAGCCTTCTTTTGTCACTTTTTGAACCAAATTACGTTCAGTCTCAACAATAACTTGAAGTGGAAAAGCGAAGTCATCTTCAGATTCAACCTTCCATATCCTTGTTCTCTGATAATTTTGCGTTTTTGGAAGATTGATTACGGATATAGGAGTGTATAAATTCCCGTTAATCGTCTTTTGCACCAACTCTTTTTCAACAGCTTTGTTAAAGACAAGTAAAGCTTCAGATGGCGTTGGGAAGGCAATAGAAATCAAAATTGGAGACTCAACGGGACCAACACAAGAGACTTCGGAAAGCCATCTGCAATAAGTCCAGCCGGTCTGATCTTCCGTATTGTAACAAGTAGGGCCTTTGATTCTCTAAACATTAAACCAATATCCGCTGAAACCTTTGGCTTACATTGAACTCCTCTTCCAGTCTATTATTGTCAATACAAACAGGATTGCCATTCGGATTCGGGGCGATCTTTGGTAATAAAGTGCCTCGATAATGCCAAGCCGAGTAATTGGAGGGGTTCTTGGTGACTAACCGATCAGAGAACTCGAGTTCCTCCTTTTCGTCCAGCTTGGCCAATTTAGCTGTATATCTTCGATGATCCCAACAATGAAAGTTTCTACAATCCACAGACAAGGCCTTTTCACACAGTTCCAATTCAGCTTTAAAATCAGGTTTGGGATGCACAGTCAGCACGTAATCTCGGTGATACCACGCTGAATAGCTCTTTGGATCACTGAGCAAAGCTTCTAGAGAGACCTTCAACTCATTCTCGTATATCCCTTTAAGTCGCTCCCGATATTCTTCAACTGTTTCCACTTCTTTCCTCTAAAATTGAGAAATACAATACAATAAAAAATAAATAAACCTTAGTTATGAGTTCGATCATTTCTCGTCGAATGTTCCACACGGTATAAAGATTGGGTTGTTTCTTCACAATCTCCCCGGTTATCTCCAGCAACTCTTCGTCGTATTCACCTATAATGAAAATAAAATAACAATAAAAACTTACAATTTTCTCTTTTCTTGAAGACAAGAGTCTTCCCATATACGAATTTTTGTAATTTCTCGGCCCTCTCCTTTTTCAGCGCTGCCAGCTGTGCCTCGCTAGCCGGCGATTTCTTGACTCCATGCATCGTAGGCTACGATGAACTGGATGGATAAACCAAAAAAAAACTTTTAGAAAAAAACTTGTCTCGTTATTTGTGCGTCAAGTCTAACCCTGAGAGTTGACTCTTGAGCCAACTCTTCCTCTCTGAAGAAATTGGGAAAACATTTTTCTCGAGGAGGTTTGGTTTAATTTTGGCTTGAATCACGTGCTTGATGCAATTGTTTATTGACGTATACATATTTCTGCGAAAATATTGCATTCGGACTCGTTAAACAATATTGGTCAAGTTTTTCTACTCAGCTCCTTTCAGCATCATGGCGCAATACCTTGACGATCTATTCGAATTGATTCATCATCCAACAAAGCAGGTGGCCCTCAAAGCATTTGACATAATGTTGAAGATGAATGAAGATCAACTAAGGAGTGGACTTCTTGCTGATAATGCAAAAAAGGCAAAGGAGTTCTTCACTTACTTTTCCAAGTTGGATATTGTCACTGAGAGTGTGCTGGATGTTCTAACCGAGGCTACTGGAACTCCAGAATTGGCAAAGTTGGCTGTAAATGAAGATAAATTGGTGAGGAAAGTGTTGGCCCTAGCCAGGCATGGAGAGACCAAGGAATTCGTCTTACCGATGACACAGATAAGCAGGAATGCACCCAATGAATTTCATCAGAAGTTATATTCATTGGTGGGGAACTACAATAACCTTTTACACGGTAATTTGTTAGTCATGTTTATATTATTTTATGTTTTAGATACATTCCATAAATGCGAAGGTGGAAAGAACAACCCCATTGTCCTGTTGAATGTCGCATATGTATTTATGAACGTTACGCAGAGCAAGGAAGCTTGTTTGGAGTTGTTTGGCGATACCATTAATGCTCTGACCTCTTACATCAGCAAAAAAGATGTTGCTTTAGGTTTCAAAAGAGTCGTGGCGAGTATAATTTTGAACATCTCATGTCATGTTGGTATGTTCGTTGTGACAAAACATATGCTTCGTATTAGAAACGCATCCTCTGTTTTTGGATGATCCCCATGTGTTATGCGATATACTTGATCCGTTTGCTGATGAAGACTATGAGATCGATGACGAAGAGATGGACAAGTTACCATTGAATTTACAGTATGTTGATCACAAAAGATCCAATTCGACGGAACTTTTGGATACACTGATTGAGATTCTTGCTCAGGTAGGAATTGGTCTGTGTATCTTCACCAATCTGTTCCTCATTTTTATCTCTCTTTACAGTTATGTTCAACTAAAGATGGAAGAAGGGTCCTCCGTCATATGCACATTTATATAATTCTGAGGGAATTCGATAAATCTCAACGAAAGGACGAACCAAAAGTGGAAGGAAAGTTCTTGACATTAGAGGGTACCCCTGAATGGAATCTGCTGATGAATACGCTTCTGTTTGATGATGCCGAACTCAGAGCCCCAGAGGATGAAGAGCTGAGTAGATTACGTGAAGTGGAATTAAAAGAAATTAAACTAGAAGAATTGGACAGAGAATTACAATTAATTGAATCTGAACTTGAAGTAAAGAAGAAAGGAGAACCCGGTGATGAACAATATCCGATAGAAGATCCTGAATTAAAGGGAGATGAGGCTGCCAAAATAGGGCCGGGAGTATCTCAAGATTCGGTGAGGGAAAAGAAACGAAAACACAGTTCGATCGAGGGAACAACTGAGGACTCGGAGTAGGTATTATCCCTAGAATCCACTTTCAAATATTGTTATCATTCTTGTTGAGTTTTCTGCATAAATTTTACTTTTAGTTGACGCAGTGAGACCTTCTGTTATACATTTATTAATAGAAAATTTTTGATTACATCTTGATGAATACGAGGCATTAAGAGTTATAGTAGAAAATAACAGACAAACATCAACGTGAGGTCACTTATATTATTTAAATTAACCAACAAAAAATGTCTTCGAAATAATACTTTTCGGGGGTAAATGCGGCACTAAAATGATTTTTGTATATACAATAAAATGTTTAAAAAAGAACAGTCTAAAAAGATCAATCCTGAGAATCACAGTTGTTATCTTCCGGGTTTGGTAATGAAAGCACATCTTACAATCCGAGAGAGAAATTAAACATCTGATATTACTTTAGAACTCGAACGGTAATCTGTAATGGCCATCAAATTTGGGGGACTAATCTCATCTCTAATCTAATCACGAATAAGCAATCCATTAAAACAAACCCTAAGGCACTTCTACGAGTCTATTCTACGTTTTGTGAGAGGCCGACAAGATGGGTCTAGGGAATTTGTCTTTGCTCGACTTGTTCTGTTTCTCATTCGCCGAGTTGTTTTCGGCCTTTGTACTCAAAATAGTTGATGGGTTTAGTTGAGTAAATGTCTTCGGCTGGTAATATTGGACATTCGGCCTCAGTTGTGTGGTGATAGAGTTGTTGGAGTTGGAGGGTTGCGGAGATATGTGACGTTTGATCGTGTTCTGATGATTGATCCCGATCCCTCCGGCAATGTAAGACACGCCGTTGCGACGGACTTGAGATGTGGCTAGATAGGAAGTAGATGGGATGGTCGGAAGATTGTAGGTGGGTTTAGGGACAGAAGGTTGAGGGGTCAGATCCAAAGAAGCATTCACGGGTTCTTGGAATGTTATCTAAAACAATATCGACTTTTTAACTTCTGCAGTGCTCAAATATTGTAATTGTGTGACGACTTACTGTCTCAAATCCTCCATCGGCTGTTGGGGGATACACGACTCCTTCCTCGATTACTTCTTCCTCTTGTTTTATATCTCCTTGTTCACTAATATCATCCAAACTATTCTCAGTTGCCTCCAATGAAATCTCTTCTTTCCTTTTCTGCAGTTTCATCTGAATCTTGAGATGTTCCCGAATACTCATATCCGAATTCACGTCTGGAGTCTTCTCTTCGTTATTAATTTTCTTAGCCAAAAGTTTTTTCTTCGGAGAACTCTCCGAGTTGTTCTGATTCTTATAGTTTTCATCGTGCCTTGTATACTTCCGTTTCTTTGGCAAGGCAACCGGCGACACTTCATTCGAAGATGTGTTTGGTCCCGTAGGAGTGTTGCTGGAAAGATGAGGTGGGGTCTGGCCTAATGGAGGACGGGGTTCTTTGGTGTGGGCTATGAAATCAGACATTGTTTTAATGTAATCGACCGGCGATTCCGTGAAAAACTCGTGAAGCCCCTCGAGCAACTGAAACAAGAATGATAAAAAAAATATAAACACTAACAGGAACTACAGTAGTAATAATACGTACCAATGATTTGGACGTTGCTCCCGACCTATTTGGCAGATTATAATGCTTCTTTATCCTCCTGATCGTCGCTCCAGAACAGCCATCAAAACTCAATTTAGGATCAGGAACTTTCCCGGAGGCATTTCTTTTTTCCACCAGTCCAAATACTCGCAGAACCCTGTCACTTTCATAATCTTCTTCTTCTGACGACGAGTCCAGCTCTAGTCGCCCGTTCTTTGGATGTTGGATGGCCATAGGGAGATTGGCGATCACCGTTTCCTCATCAAAGGCATGTTTAGAAGTGGTCGGTCGGGGAGATGGCATAGCTTTCTTGGGTTCCTTTTTGGTCTCTACCTTGGGATCCTTAGATTCCACCTGACTGGGGATCAGGAAATTATATTGAAAAGATTTCTGGATTCTGTTCTTCTTCCACGCCATCGGATCTTTGGACTCATCTTCTATAAAACGGTTGGCTTCCGGTGACAGCGGGCCATAACGGCATCTCGGTTTGGGTGACAGCCATCCAGACAACTTGTCATTCAATTCAATATCAGTTAGATATTCTGTGTCCTCTTCACTTGAGAATGAGCCGATGCCATCTGAATCCACTGTTTGATTCGACGTCTTCCTCTTTGACTTTCTCTGAAAAAAGTTCAAATTTGCACCTGTTAAGAAACCCATATCTTCTATTAAACAATCTTACCTTCCCCTCTTCTATTTCGAAGCCATTCGCATCGGTTTGGATATGCACTCTTGACGACTTTGTGAGCAATTTCTTCTTTTTCCCTTTCTCCGTTTCATTCACCAGCTTTTCAATATCCTCAGGGGTCATACCATCATAACTTCTTTGTGGTCTCTCCAATGCTTTCACTTTTCTCAACGGATCTCTCGATTTTGGAGGCTGAAAATGAAAGGTTTTACCAAAGGCAAAAAATTGTATGGTTCTAATCAACTGTACTTACATCCATGAGCTTCCAGAACCTAGTATTAAAGCTCAGTGCTTCTCTGTGTTCGTCTCTGGTCTTCTCCAGGGCATCGTTGATATATTCCGAGACCTCTTCGAACTGTGCATCATTATCGAATTTCACCGGTTCCGTCGTCTCATATTTGCCAAGTGGTCTCTCAAATAACGGGTTGTCTTCAGTATTCTTCTTTTCATTCTCTATTATCTGATAATGGAAGCTGCAAACCGCCGGGGATATCACCTAAAAACCCTCGCTATAATTTTGTCAAGTTCAGATTTGATAACTAAAGTAATAATTTCAAAAAACACTTACCGTTTTGCTCCAGAAGAATGGTAATTGTTTTCGTATCGACTTCTGGCATAACTTCGAGTTGAATCCTTTAATCGGCTCTCTCAGACACCTCGAGATCTTCCCATTACGATGTTTTGTGAAGATACAACAAGGAATTGGAGGTTCCCCTCGATCATAATGATTGGGATCTTCAATATTCTCGAATAAGGCATCTCCTGGAGGTGGCATAATGTCCCAATCATCCAGCCAATCCGGATGATTGGGCCAGATTTCTTTAGTCAACTCAGACTTCTTGTAATTTTTGGTCTCAAATGTTTGTCCGGGCGATTGTCGCATCAATTCCTGCCGAACTACAAGAGGAAGGTGTCGCCAACTTATTTTATCGGCCAGCCACCCAACTGCTTTCATCTTCCCGTTATCCTGAGATTGCCCTTCCAATATCAGGTCCACCTTCTCCAGATCTTCCTCGATTGATTTCCTTTTTTCTTTGAATTCATCTTCATCCAAAGAATCCAGTAATTTCGGGGGAAGTTCTTAAAATAAATGTAAAAAATTTGAAAAATTAAACGCATACCCAAAACTGGGATAAAATATTTAGAGAGAAATCGGAAAAGGGATTATAAAAAACAAACCTCCTAATCTCTTCAGCGTGTTCGTGATCCTGTCCACTTCCTTTTCGCCTGTATAAACATATCCTCGAAGGGACTCTTTATTCGAATATTTCCCCGAATACAGGGCCAACGGGCTATTCCGGAAGACATTGATAGTCCAATTGGTCACAAAAGGATGGGTTCTTGGAGGTTCGACGGATTCGTGGAGACGCCTCGACTTGAGAAAACGATGGGTTGTAAGGTCCCTCTTGGCTGGCTTTTTTGCTAAAAATTTAATCGTCAGTCACGTGTTTCGCAGGCAACGGTCCATTATGGGCAGATGCCATAAAGGCCAGACCATTATGGGCACATTTTTAAAATCCTTGCAAATATGCTCAACATCTCTGTATTTCTGTAAAAAATGTGTATTTTACGTATTCTTTACCCTTTTTCTTAAGTAGTAATGTTAAAAAATAATGTTTGGATCTTTTTCTGAAAATCTTGATTTGGGTATTTTCGATGGTGCTGATTTCAAAAAGCATTTACATTTTATCAGATTTTTACTTTTTTCTTAAGTTGTACTGTAAAGTAGTAATTAGTAACAATCAGAAAAATTAACGTCTTTTTCGTAATCAGCATACTTTATTAAAAAGAATTCGCTAAAATTTTTAGCTAAAAGCATCCCTAATCAATTTATTCACGGGTTAAAGGTAATATTTCTGCTTCTCTCCTAAAAGTCAAAATCTAAAATGCAAATGTACTTACATTCGAACACTTCCAACGTTGAGGCTGAGGTCCCAGGTTGGTCTGACAGTATATTTGGCTCTTTCTTCTGCCCAAAATCCGAAGATTTTGGCATTTTTATTTACCCTGTAAATTATATAGATAAACTGGTCTAAAACAAGGCGTTTAAATGTGGCGATCACTATAAAAAGCTGACAAAGGCATTATTTCAAAGCGAAAATAGTTGAGTGAAAAATACGTGTGAACCGCTTTGGAGAAAAAACGAAGGAAAGACCTCGTAATAACAGATTTTAGATCCGAAAATAAGAAAATTCTCCATAAAACGTCAATTTCCCTCTAAAAAGTACATGTAGACAATCAAAACATACAGGAACGTCCCGAAAACACTTCACATTCAAAAGTGTAAATAAAAAATCTCAAGAAGGCTCGAATTCAATGCAAAACAACGTTTTCTTTAACTCGAAAACGACTTTCAGCAATGTAATTGATCTCAACGTCGTCAGATCACACCACCCAGATACCTATTTATTAAATTTCGAACGCCAATCATGGGTTCGCAACTCAAAAACAGTCGTCTATCTAACTTCTCTGAACATCGACATAAATAAATACAAAACTCGATAAAAGAAATGAAAATTAACACGTTTTCGATGAAAAATACTTGCTGACAACAGGTCTAATAATCGAGATTCAAATAAAAATGAAACAAAACATTCGGAAGGAAATTCTCTCAAAAGAAAAAAATCCTTTTTTTTCAAACCACGGTAACATCGAAACGAGGACCCAGATGGAGAGACTGCGTGGGAGGAAGAGACGGACAGAGAAAAAGCGCAGTGCGTCTATGAAATTCTGCGTCCTTTTCGAGCGCCCGCACTTGTTCGTTTCGTCTCGTCTATGGGGCAACTTTGCGGAAGTCTTGGGCTCTTTTCCCGCCGAAATATTTTCAATCAACAACACAATTAATATAGGCACGGGAGATGTCCGGAGGAAAATTCGGTAATTTTAAATAAACAGTGGGCACCATAAGCGCAGTTTTGAAAAAAATACTTTCAAAATGTCTTATAAACGAGAAAAAGAAGGGAAGGGGAAGTTTAAGTAAACCTGCACGGATTACAAGTTATAAATCAAAGAGTGCATGAGTATAATAATAGTCACAGCAGAAAGAAATTGAAGCCTCAGGTCGTCAACGGAAAGTGGCGCCAACCGAACAAGTCATCAGACATATTGGGGACGACCTTGAAGTGGTCATTTAAACTGTCCGATCAACTTTTTCCGTCTTAATCTGCAGCCATCTAGATCAGTGATTAGAAACGGGACTTTTAGGTGCTCAGAACTCAATTATATTTTTACTACATCCACTGAGATTGCGTTGTTATGTCTACCGGCCCTATATGTAAATGGTGCCATCGGCCACGTCGGTCGACGGCAACCTTATTTCGAAGACAGGTAGACTTTATTTTGGCTTAAAGCCTGTCTTTAAAGTGTTTGCTACCATCTTTGTCATCTTATGACTTCCCATCGGAGTTCTCCTAAAGATGCAGACACCGAAAAGAGAAACCCTTACCATGCAGTTGAAATACCCAAAAACGATCATAAAGTGCAAATACCTTATACCAGCGAATTCCTCCATTCCTTCATTCCCCCTCTCTTTTGCCTCCCGTGACAAAAAATAAAAATCGTTCGAAAAAAACTGGAAGTAAAGGGGGAAAACAGGCCCACAAAAAGAGCCTGCAGGCGAGAACCGAGACTAGTGTAAGCCGTCTCCCTTTTTTTATTTATTCTCTAGCTCGCCAAGGTCTCTTAAGGCATGCGACCTTTCCGTCTCCTACTTTAAGGTTTTACCGCCAAATCAATAAACGGACGGGATTCCACATGGATATTGATTATGCTGAGAGATTGCACTCAAGCAGGTCTCCGGAAGGACTTTTTGGAGCTAATTGATCGATAATACTATGATACTGACAGTAAAAAATATTACTTTGGTGTTAAATAGTTAATTTTCATCTGTATTTTTGAGTTATTTGAGGATGATGATGTTCATTGCAGCCTTTCGTATTTGTCAGGATGTAAAGCTGGCCTTCTAAAGTCCATTTTCAGTGACAATTAAGATTATGACGTCCACCCGTACATCTATATTTGCAATATTTGTTATGATTTTTGCCACAAGAAAAATTTTTCATACTTTTTGAAAGCACATCAAGATAACTTAAAACTACAAAATAAATTCTGGATAACAATTTCCAAATCACTGTTTGTTTTTGTCCAGTATTATGAAAGCGATCTGCAGTTCAAAATAATCGTTATTAAATATTGTGGGAATTGGAAGGGCTACTCGCCCCGTTCCCAGTAGCATTAATTTCGGCTTTTGTGGCCTCTCCGAGTGTGCCCTTCTCTTTCCCACACGCGAATAACGAATATTGTTTGGGGTCGGCGGACTAAGTCCGCTCTTCGGTTCCCATTGACTCGCGCAGGACAAAAGTTGGAGAGTTATGTAAGAAATGCAGATGACTAATGGATAATGAATGGACTGGGATTGGGAACGGACGCTTGCTTTGGTTCGGGATTTGTATTCAAAACGGATTGGAGACTTCGAGTTGGAGGGTGGGGATTACGGTAGAAATGGAGATTGTGATTGTTGCTGCCTAAACTTAAAATATGGAAGTGCGTGCACAGTAAGGTTTTATAAAACGCTGCTCCGAATAAGGTCACTGTCATCCGTAAAGTGTTGTCCATGGTAGAGAAAATTGGGGTAGGTATACTTGTGAAACAGAGTGGAGTTTCTAAAAAGTTTTTTATCGCTGACTATTACTCCGCACCAATAATCTATTTTTCTCATTCCCACTATTTTTTATCCCGTACTTATAGCATGGCATGATTGCGCAACGCACGACTTTTGAACAGATATTATGTTCTGATTGGCTCCCTTCCTTGTTGAGGGGGGAATTAATATAAGAGATCAAAACGCTTAAGGGAATCTAATCAGAGGAAATTCCACACTCTCGGTGAAGTGCTAAAAAATTATTCTTTTATCGCTGATTATGCAATTCCGACTTGCGAAATCTTACGTGTTTAAATTAGCTGAAGCCCAGTTCTATTGGTTGATTTCCTTCAAGATATCCCTCCTTTTTTCCTCAGCGCATCCCTTTTCCAAGTTCCCAATCCCATCCTATTTGTCCACTCTAATGACTTTTACAATGTTTGTCAACACATTAATTCCCACTTTCTTTGCTGTCGTCGTATCTTCTTGTGAAGATGACGCATTTTCCCATAAAACTTTTTTCTTTTGATTCCGCGCTTCAGTGGGTCAAAACGCGAGAGGGAAATCAAGGGAAACGAGTGATGGAGATGAGGGATGGGAACGTGAACAGCTCACATTTCTGAAGGTCTTTCGGCTTCAGATTCGCACTGATTGTGATAAATCAACTTAGGATTTTTTTTAGCGTACAGTAAGCCTTGGTCTAACGGAAATATTTAAAGTTATTTTATTTTCTTTTGGACTTTTCACATCTCAATGGCTATTACAGCTTAATCCCTATCCTATTCTCTTTGTCCGCTCAGTGGTTGTAAAACCCCGGTGATTTACTGCAAAATTGACACTGTAATAATAAGCAGGCTCTATTTTCTTTTCACATTCGCATAAAGAATGATTCCTTTGCGGCCTTTTTTAGGTCTTTCCTGGGAGTTCTCTAATGCACTCGCATAAATTGACCTGGGAAAGTGGGCGGAGTCCGGGCTGGGGATATGGGTGGGACCGCTGGTCATTGATGGAAGGCCATTTACCGGAAGCTCAGTCTAATCTACAAGGATGTGGGGGATGGGTTGGCATTACATAATGCTTTCCTATTCTAAAAGTCATCATTTTTCTAAATTATGCAGTCGATTTTATTCATTTTGTATACTCATTGAAAAGCAAATATCTTTGTAGTAAATGACAACTTGTTATGTTTGATTGCAATTTTTACATATTTATGAGACTTTATTGCGTTATAAACGATAACATTGATTTTTATAACAGAAATCTTTATATCATTGTTTTTTTTCAGTATAACTAGTATTTACCATGCCCCCAACTGATGTCTGCCTCGATGCTGAGACGAGTTCAACCTCATCTTTCGAAAGCCCCGTCAGTTTTCAATCGGAGAATGATGAACCGTGTGGAATAAGGAGTCAGGAAGATTTCTTGAGGTTGAAGATGATACACAAAGTAAAGAATCAGGAATATCAGGACTATGTTTGCACTCTCTGGCTACAGAATGCTCAAGCAGAACAGGAAAAGAGTATGGAAGCGATGAGAAGATACTTTGAAAAGTACGTTGCTTTCTGACACACAACTTTTGATATTTGAATATCGTACTTACCCCCATTTCCAGCAAACAGAAAACGTTACATCGGTGATCCTCCCCCTTGCACTGACCCCTTATTGTGCCAAGATGTATATTTACATTTCCCGGTGCTCATATTTTAATTTTTGTCTGTGTTTTATGATGATTGACATATTAATTCCAATAAATATGTGATTATTTATTACAGTATTTAAATCGGACAAGCCTTGTTTCCTATGATAATTCGAGGTTTTATAAATACATTCAGAGCGGGGGAATCTCCCGCTCCCTTGACCCCGCTTGTCTTGTTGTTCTAGCCGTTCACAGCCAATCTTTCGTTGTCTTCTTCGATGTGCTCATTCTCCATGGGAAAGCTGATCATTCCCATGGAGATGGCGTCGTTGCGGCTGATCTTTCTCTCCAATTTTGATTTCTTTCTTCTCGATTCGGTGTATTCGACCCGATAAGTGTAATGGAAATTGGCCAGATATGCCAAGACAAGGGCATCCAAATGCACCATGGTGGCGTAAAATAACAGCTCCCAAATGGACAGCTGGTCCCGGGAAAAGATTCCCAGCTTCTCGATTACGATTACAACTACATCACCAAAGGCAATCGTCGATAACCAAAAGGCCTAAAGGATTGTTTTCAGAGGTTTCAGACTCCATTCAGTTTTAAATTAAGCATAACCCGTAAATGGCTTACTTGAATAATCGCCTTCATTGAGGGTGCTGCTTGTGTAAATGCAAATTCATTTCCCGTTATTTGGAATAAACATTCAGCCAAAACACTCAAGAAGATCTGTGGAGCTTGCCAAAGGAGATGAATTTGATTATCCATTACGTAGTTCAAGGTGGATACATTGGCCGCTTCTCTGTTCTGATCTATTTCCAGCATGGTTAAGTAAACGCCTCCAGCTTTGAATCTTGAGAATTCGTGTTTCATCGGATAATGTTCAGAGTTATTGACCAGAAACAGATGCCATCGGCCTTGTTTGACAAATTGCTTTTCGAATTGTGTAGAATTTATATCAGATTCTGATTCCATAGGCTTAAAAAAGTAATAATCATTTGGTTTTGTTGGATTGCAGTCAGTAATCGTTGCATTATCATCATCTTTTTGCCGGCATAATGCCAAGGAGATGTTTTGAGCATTCAAAACGACATATCTAAAAGAAAAGTCACTTGAATTACGGTAACCCACGCTTGACTAAATGCTCCATTGGCCTGAGTTGTCTTCCTTGGATCCAATTTCATTTTTATCATTTTTTTCGGGGATATCAAGATGTTATACATTCCTTTTGGAGCTAATTCTAGAGGCTGGTATTCATGCGAGTCATTTTTGTAGGCGCAGTTTTCTCCACCGTAATATACTTCAATGTTATTGGAGCCTGGAACTAGGCGCAGAAAAGACTCAGAAGATGATTGTTGAAGATTTTCCTAAAAGAAATTAAATTCTTTATGATAAGTTACCGTCCATTGAGAAACATCAAAAGTGCCAACAGTTGAGTTGATTGTAATCCGGCAGTCTCGAATATTGGTTGTAAATGTGACAAAAGACTGATGTATTGAAGGTAGAGGTGTCGAATAGGCCTGAAATAATGTTGTTCTGCGAATGGGCTTACATCTATTCTGGACTGGACAACTGCAGCTATCCAAAAAGCAAATCCCGCGACGACTGTTCCGGCTACCATCTTTCTCAACGGCCTATACATATAGGAATCTTATATTTTGAATTTTTTAAACGTACGTGACTTTGAAGAACTGATCTACGGTCGGATAAACAACTCCATTTAAAAATGGAATCAATACGAGCACCAGTAACGGATAGATGACACTTAACTGATCGGGGAGGATTTGGAAATGGTCGGTTATATTGGGATCCATCTCTAGGGCCTGGAGGATCCATTTGGCTCCTCTCATCGCATTTAGGGAAAAATAAATACCTGCGGGGATAAAGATGACCAATACTTTTATTACGGTGCGGATATCTGATACCAGAACCTTCTAGAAATTTTATATTATTTTTTTAAAATTATTTAATATCATAACAAAACGAATGATAATTACCTTGGCACAATACCCATTAGATCCATTGTCTTTTGTTTGTCGGCAATCTTTGTCTTTATTGCAATCATGCTCATCCAAACTGTAATCCAAAAAGCGGCCACATTTATTACTCGACTTTCTGTAATTTCTCAAGGCTTCCTAAAATGAAATACATAACTTTGTATCATATTTTGCGACTGGAACTTACCTTTATAGTATCATAGACCTGTTTGAAGACATTATTTGTTGGAGGTTTCTTGATGTAGTAGACTGAGCCGAGGCCAAAGCAAATTGTGGCCACGGCCATAAGTAAAGTCGGAATTCCAAAACATAAGGGGTAACAAGAGTCTTTGCCGAGGCATGGGAGGGCTGAAAAATTATTTTTTTTTTCTATTCTGAGTCATTAACCACGACATAATTTTTTTTGTTTGAAAGTGACCATAAAGGATGACAACATACTTCTAACAATCGGAGAGACCAGGAAAGTTATCGTAGCGCCAACATTAATGGAAAAGTAGAAGATGGAGAAGAACAAGGAGATCATGACCAGTTGTTTTGGATCGAATTGGTCTCCTCCAAAGGTGCTTACACATGGTTTGATTCCTCCCGTTCCAATACCAATTATAAATAAGGCCAACAAATCGACTCCTGGATGGAATGCCGTTCCCGGATTAAAGGTCGCGGAATATGTTAGTAATGCTTGACCGAGGGTATAGACTACTGATAGGATGAATATTGTTCTATAATCAGCGAATATGTAGATTAGTAATGACGAGTATTCAAAAATATGAACTCACTTAAATTTGCCGATATATCCATCAGCCAAAATTGATCCCAAAAAAGGCGATGTGTAACATGTAATAGAGAAGAATTGAGTTGCAATTACTGCATCGCTTCTTTGGAAATTAACAACATTCAAAAAATACAACATCAATGTGTTCATGATGCCATAATAAGAGAATCTTTCGAAGAATTCCTGCAGAATAATGAAGAAGGTCCACTTTGGCCAGAGACGATACATCTCCCGCCATGTTTTGGCTGTCTCTGGAGGTGATTCTGTCATCTTGAAACTGTCGGGGTTTAAGGCAACAAAATGGAGTTTCAATTCGCAAAGAAAACACCCACGAATATTGTAAAGGAAATAAAAAGGTAAACGGTACACTAACGTTTATTATTTAAAAGATAAACAAAGATCCGGCTACCTGAGAACATAACAGGATATTGGTATTATTATTGTGGGCGATTGTTTTGGGGAAATGCCAATTCAAGGTCGAATTATCAAAAACATTGACACTCCCTTTAATCCCCGAAAAAACATCAAATCGATGTTACAAATACGAATTTAGAGACAATACTTTCAGACCATCTCTACAGTACTTATCTCTCATCAAACATTGGGAAATTTGTCCTCTCTCCATCTTCCTCGAAATTCTCTAAAAAATGGACTTTCGGAAGGTCGAATCTAAGATACGATCGCTGTTTTTGCAGTAAAAAAACGAGTGTTGAGGTGATTGATGAAACTTAGACCTAGCGGAAGCAGCCAGTTTTTGAGAGGACATTCAGATTGCAATCAGGATAAGGAAAAAATATTTTTTGTCATCAAAAAATGTAGTTGTATTAGTAACGGCAGTTTTATACAGAAGTTTGTTGGATTGATAATTGGGTACTTGACAGAGATGTGAATGAAAAAAGTCGAGGCTTCCGGGCTTTCAAGATAGTTAGGGTATCCATTAGCAAGGGCCTGAAGCAGAACATTCAAAATTTTATTTTTTTATGTTTAGTTTACCGATTAAAAATCAACGGTAGTATGGCGTTAATGACATCTGATAGCGCCATCGCTGTAACAGAGGAGACTTGAGAGAGCGGCTAAAAATTTGCATAATTGAATATTTTTATTCGAAAACTTCAAAATTACCGAATACACAAAGAAGACGTTGTTGACATGCTGAGCTCCTTGTCTCCAGGCAGTGTTCACAAAGTGAATGATGCACATAATCAGCAACCTCTTTTCCGGTGTCATCAGTCTCAACTTTTCTCCAGTTATCGTTCGTTGAGCAGCGATATGACCCACAGTAATGAGATATATTATAAGTTCACTCAGAAGACAGGCATATACCATGAAACTCCGTCCCCGAATGAACTCTGCTTTAGGGCAATCTTTATAGTAACTGTAACGATAACAGAAGTAATAAACATGGCATCCTTCTCCTGTAAACATCCAGATCGACACAACGATGATTATTATAAACGTGAGCAACGACGAGGCCTGCAGAAACATATTCGAGAATGCGTTAATTTAAATTACAATTTCTAACTTTACATTCAGAGTTCCAAAACCATAAAGCGCAAGCTAAAACTTGAAATTCATTACTCACATCATAAAAGTTTTTTGTTTCATTGTACGTCTTAAATCTCGGCACACAGATCTCCATGTACCGATTAACAGCCAACAAAACTCCCAAAGGCTCGCTGACATAATAAGCAAAGTTGCTGATGACACCCGTTACTGCAATGTAATCAAATCTTTGTCGTTCACAAGTAAAGCCATAGGGTACCAACATAATGAACAGGATCATGTGACCTGCATTTACAACTCCAATATATCCCAAAAGTCGATAACTAATATTCCGACGGTAATGGGAATCTCGGATGATCACCTAAAACAAGAAATATACATATAAAGCGGGAGATAAAAGATTTTCTGAAAAATTTTTGAAATTTTTCTGTTTTTACTTTTTTTTTAAAAAAAAAGTAAATTTTCAGTTTACTTCAAGGAAAATGCAAAAGAAAGTCAATTTTGTTTCTGGCTTTCCGACTTCAAGGTCGGGAGTAGGACCGGATCTTACTCCCCGCTCGGAGTCGCCGAAAGTCAGAGCTTGTTTTTACTTTATTCCTCTTTTTGGCCCCGCACTCAGGGGTGGTCAGTGGGCCGGGCCGGCCCGTGACGGGCCGGCCCGGCCCGGCCCAAACGGGCCGGCCGGGCTCAAAAATGGAAAATTACAAACGGGCCGGGCCCGTCACGGGCCGGGCCGGGCCGGGCCGCGGGCCTGGGGTTTTTTCCGGCCCGGCCCGGCCCGTCTAAATTACAATGCCAAAGCGTTGGCATTCATTGTTTTCGCGCCGGGAAAATTAATTGATGTTGTTATAGTTGCTGTTTCTCAAGTTCTAAAACGTTTACAAGTCTATAGTTCCATTATAAAACCACAAAACTATCACATTGACCCTTTACTAGCTATATTAACGCCTTTTTTGCCTAAGTTTAGATCCCAAGCTTGGGCGCAGTTCGCAGAACCCTCTATAAACGGGCCTGCACGGGCCGGGCCGGGCCAGGCCCGTCACGGGCCGGGCCGGGCCGGGCCTGGAAAAAGACTAGACGGGCCGGGCCGGGCCGGTAATTAGACGGGCCGGGCCGCGGGCCGAAAATCGGAAAAATAGGGTCCGCTGACCACCCCTGCCCGCACTGCAGGTTGCAAGGTTGATGCCAAGTCTTTCCCTGATGTGTCAAGTTTTTCTCTTCCGAAAAAATTATTTTTACGTTTGTGCGACGTTGTGAAGGTATGTTCTCCACGAAGATGGGCTGGAAAGTGATCAAGTAAGTTAGCATTGGCAAGAGGAGATGTACGTTTTTCATTTGACATCAAAAATTTCCATTTTATTTCAGAGAAAGGTACAAAATTTTTCCAATTCGTAAAGCTTCATGACCATGGATAATGTAAGTGAGATTATCTCATTTTTTGCTACGACGTCAAGATTCTAAGTCGGGAAACGTTTAGAGGAGACCCCACTCTCATGTATATTCTCCATGTATGAAACCCCATAAATTTTGAGGAATAACGACGTAAAAATTTCAAATACTATACTAACTTTCCAAAAGTATGTTATACTAAAGTAAAACCTATGCAAACTATGTTCAAGTTATTGTAACAACGTTATTTGAGCCTTATTACGTTATTACCTCAGTTTAGAACGCATTCGTGGCAAAAATCCGGCAGATCTGAGCGGATTTCGATATTGTACATGACACCTAGAAATCGAAATTGGTGGCGTTTGATAGATAGAGTATATAACAAAACTAAAGTGAGGTGTCCTCTAGAACTCGCCAGCCTAGAACTGTTAACTCCAATAACGGAACAAAAAACGCGATAAGCGCACTTACATTATCCATGGTCATGAAGCTTTACGAATTGGAAAAAATTTGTACCTTTCTCTGAAATAAAAGGAAAATTTTTGGTGTCAAATGAAAAAAGTACATCTCCTCTTGCTAATGCTAACTTACTTGATCACTTTTCAGCCCATCTTCGTGGAGAAAATAGATTCACAACTTCAAAAAAAAATCAAAACGTTTCTTCCGGGAGAGAGAAATTTGACACATCTGGAATTCCCGGGCGCAGCTCGCAAAAATAGTTTTGAAGAAAATAAATTGGCGTGCAGGTGAGTAAAAACGGCATCCTACTCACCAGCCAAAATGGGCGAGCCATTTTTGTTTCAACTTTGCGGATCGACCTTTTGGCGAGCCATTTTTGATCCAACTTTCCAAAAATTTGTCGTTCGGAGTAAGAATGTTTTTTGACTCTCCGAAATCGAAAATTTCCGGAAATTTTTCAAAATTTACTTTTTTTTTAAAAAAAAAGTAAAAACAGAAAAATTTCAAAAATTTTTCAGAAAATCTTTTATCTCCCGCTTTATATGTTGATTTACTAGGGAAGTGTACAAACGAACCCTCACCAAATGGCAAGTGATATACACCATTGGAAAGCCCTTGAAAAATGGTGCAAGATACCATTTTCATTTTTTGCAGAATGCCTTTCCGCGACGACATACTGTAAATTGTATTATTTTTAGGTCATTTCGCAACAAAAATCTTTCTTTCTCTTGAGCGGACAAAAATCTTCGAAAAGAGTTGCTTCAATAGTGCAGTGGTTGCTAAGCAGGCTGATAGGCCAAACCAAGCTAGGTTCGATTCCCAGCTTGGGCAAAAACATTTTGCGTTCTTACATTTAGGATAATATTTGAGTTAAACTTTTACAAACGCTTTAATTTTTCTAGAAAACGGTCGATTACGGTTAAAACCATCAAACTTACATGTTTTTCAAAATTAAAAAAGGTGAAAAGTGTTTTTTCACGTTATGGGTGTTTAAAACCAGTAAATATCATATGTAAAATGGTTTTACTGGCAAGCGCCAAACTTCATAATGATTCTTAGGCCAACCTAGTAGCAATATTTACCATTTAGCGTTTTGAAATAAGATTTATTTTGCCCCACAGCAGATATTGTAACTACTTAAGGGACAAATCAACCGTTTATAATTTTTTGGCCTGAGGCATTCTGCAAAAAATGAAAATGGTACCTTTCACCATTTTTCAAGGGCTTTCCAATGGTGTATAACACTTGCCATTTGGTGAGGGTTTGTTTGTACACTTCCCTAGTTAGGCAAATTAAAATTTTCATAAACTTTTTAAAGCCTACCAAGATTGTGGCCAACTGAAAATAGAGTCCGATGAAAGTAACTAATGTAAAAAATATTGGAAAGGTAGCAGTACAACACATCGTGGACATTGTGGTAGCCATCAGCATCTCCGCATCGCTCAAAATTGTCACTTCTGTCATATTGTCCATTAAGTAAATGAAATAAAGCAGAGACAGTCCAAGTGACAACCAGTGGAACCTGTATGACTACTTTTTGTATATCAAACTTTTTTTGGAATGCTGCATTTAAACCAGGTGGTTTGAAAAATTAATTTAAATCTTAATTTTATCATATTACATCTTTTATTGCACGTCTGAGAAACTTTTGTGCTGCCTAATCATTGAGCTAATCCATTCGACCGCAAGGCAATTAGCGCACAGCTGTGCACAGTAGTAATTACATAGAAGTTGTTGCAGAGTCTGACGCACGCGAATTCTTGGCTGAATAAATGTTGAGGACATCAAGAAGTAGTGGCCTGGAATTATTATACGTATTACTTTATAATTGAAGTCACCAAGTTGTTTTTATGAAAAACGATAGAAAATGAAGAGAAATGGCTACAAAATGCTTGGGGTTCGTTTATTTATGAGCAATTCCACATTAACATTTCCTGAGAATTTCTTGATCACACTTACTTATTAAACATTAATGGTAGTATTGCAGTGACCACGTCCGCCATAACAACTACCGTGATTGAGGAGACTTGCGAGAATGGCTGAAAAATAAATTACACTAAAGATGTAGTAATTGATGACAAAAGACAAACATTACCTCGTAGACAAAGAAAACATTGTTAATATGTTGCCCCAGATGTCTCCACAAAGCAGTAACAAAGTGTGTGATACTCATTAGGAGCAGTCTTTTCTCCGGCGCTCTCAACCTCAGCTTTTCTCCAGTTATTGTTCTTTGAGCCGCCACATGTCCCACAATTACAATGTAGACAATAATCTCCGCGAAAAGACAGGAATAAATCATAAAGTTTCGACCTCGTATGTAAGAGATCTTTCCACAGTCCTTATAAACACTGTAACGGTAACAAAAGTAGTAGATTTTACAGTCATCTCCAGTAAATAACCATATTGTAATCGGAATTACCAATAAAAACACAAAAAGGGCAAGAAGCTAAATGAAACATCGATGATGACTTGATTTTCTTACATTGTAAGTCCTCTTTGTTCCCCGATTGCATTTAAAATGTGGTATGCAGATCTCTGTGTATCGATTTAAAGCCAATAGAATACCCAATGGCTCGTTTATGTAATGACTAAAATTGCTGATTATACCGGTAACTTCAATAAAGCGCTCTCTCCGTCGTTCGCAAGTGAATCCATAAGGAATTAATGTAAGGAAAAAGAGCATATGGAGCAAGGTTTCAATTCCAATTATACATAGAATACGATAACTGATATTATTTCGGTAAAAAGAGTCTTTCAGATATACCTGGAAAATTAATTTTCGAGAATTTTTTTGAGAATTCAACAAGTAGTCACGGCAAAAAATGTCTTACATAGATAGTAACTGTCTGAAAATATATCCCGAACAACGTGATGACCATATAGAGAGAAGGCAGGGTTACGGTACAACACATTGGAGACATTGTAGTAGCCGTTACCACCTCCATTAATAAGGTAGTATTTTCCATTTAAAAAATGAAAGCAATCAGATAAAAACACAAGAAAATGTCCTCAATGTCATAACATCACAAATGGAATACCAAAAATTAAATATTCAAATTACCCCGGTCCGATATTGCAGGTGAAATTTCTTTTATTGTACCGAGAAATTAGGTGCCTACGTCGACATTATTCTTTAAATTTTTGATAGGATCAATTCGAAAAGCCCATGAATAAAATAACAAAACGATGCGCTTAGAGATATCCAAAGAAGCGCGGCCTTATAAGGAAGTCAAGGGGGCTTTCGGTTGAGTTTTTGGTCTTCTAAGTCGTTTAAAAAAAATATTTCTAGAAAAAATAATATCATTAGATGTCCCAGTCCTTGGCAAGTGAAGTTAATACAGTTAGGATTGCCCAATATTGTAACGAGTACCCATTTGCATTCAACAGTAACCAGAAAGATCAGAACATTCAATGTGACATTATTGTGGACGACAGTCGATTCCTGAAAGATCCCTATTCATTACCACTAAGGGATCGGCTGTCTTGGCATCTAAAGCAATTTGCTGATAAAACTTCGAGTCACGGAATCCCTTGGGTTGTGGAAGCGCCGAATGGAGTTTACAGGTAATGTTTGACCCGTTATTACATAAACATATTGTAGAACTATCTGGGTGTTCTTACTAAGCTTCTGTCTGATTATGTTTATATTCCAAGCCAACAGTGTTATTGCCAAGTACCGAAGGAACGAAAAGATTACAAGCATTCAGCTGAAATTTGAGACAGGTAAGTCAATTCTATTAGTTGTAGAATGCACCGACACTTGCGGGCAACCATGTGTGGCCATTTTTTACTCCATCTCAAACCCGCCGGATTTATCCCAAAGTTGACTTTGGACTAAATTACGGTTGAGCTTGTCAACCAAAAAAAAATGCGCAGAAACATTGCACCGCAAATTGTAATATATAGAAGCATTTAACTTGCACTTTTCATTTCCTTTAAAGGGTGTTTTCAGCTCCATTCCCAGCCATAACCTTATGTAATCTGAATCCATACAAAGACTCACTGTTGAAAGATGTTGATGCCATAAAGAAAATCGTAAGAATACTCTGATTTTCGTATAAATACTGTAGCTTGATGTATATCACAGTGTTCTGGAGCAAGCGGGCAAAACAAATCGGGCCAGAAAGAAGAGCCGAGTCAGCAGACCCAAAAGATTCCTCGATTCTATCATGAATTCTGAAGTAAAACGGCAAAAACGACAACAAAACCATGGATTCGAGGCTTCTTTCGCCAAGTGTAATTGTGATCAAAAGGAGGATAGCATTTCGTAAGTAATAAATATTAATTAAAATTTGATTTCATGTAGTTGCCAGACCATAGTAAAAGAGCAACCAAACTCCGTTGAGGACACTTGTATGTGTGCATTTGATCGAGAAACAGAAGATGCTTGGCCATGTTATCCTCACAAGTATTGGGAAATAAATAGTTGTGGATATTGCGATGAAACAGGGCATTGCCATCTTGAAGCCAAAGAGGGAATAGTTAATATGAATGTAAAATGTCTCTGCCAAAAGATTGAGCCTTTCTGTATGCGTTATAAAATGGATCAAGACGTCTTGAAATTATGGGAATTCTATGGAAAACTCCTTTTAAATCCATCCAGGATTGATGAAGATGCGATTATCGAAGCCTTGGGATTCAAGGCATGTAATAGAAATCTTTTTATTGTTAGCGATTTAAATGGAAGTTGACGTGTCTATGAGTACGGTATTTTTAGAATATGACAGATGAGGTGGCGATTGTGACCAAGGCCCGAGAGAATATTATTTTTGCCATGGCTGAATTAAGTGAACGTCAACGAGAAGCGTTGTCAATCCAGAAGAGTCAGCTTATCCATAAATGTAGCTTCAATGGGGCAGCTTGTGATATTGACAAGTAATCTTCAAGAAATAATTTAATTAATTGTCATCCAGGGACTTCATCAATGCCGCTGATCCAACCTTTGGCAATTGCTTTGTTTTTAATCACAACAGAACTGATCCCAAAGTCAGTGTGAGGGCTGGGGCTAATTATGGTGAGAATACACAAATCCATTAGCATGTCTGTTCCTTGATGTTCTACTTGACTTATTAATCATCTTTCCAGGCCTGCGAGTTCTTGTTTTCGTAAATACTACAGAATATCTTCCAACCACAGAGGCCGTTGGAATCCGCCTAACGATCCACGATGCAGATGAGTATCCATTCCCTGAAACAGCTGGTTACAGTGCCCCTACCGGTTATATTTCTTCATTTGGAGTTCAATTGGCCAGAATATCTCGATTGCCAGAACCATATGGAAAATGTGTGCCCTCAGGCGTTGATCAGAAATATATTTATCAAGGTTACAAATATTCTTTGGAGGTGAGGATTAATCGGAACAGGACCACTTTACAGTTATGTTAAATTAAATTAGAAGAAAGTGTATTTTAGGGCTGTTACCGTACCTGTTTCCAAGACGAAGCCGTTTCGCGCTGTGGCTGCGGAGATCCCAGATTCCCCGTAATCAATGCGAAACATTGCCAAGTCTTTGACCCTGTGGCCAGAAAATGTTTGGACACAATTGCCCAAGAACTGAGTGTAGTAGACCCTGAGGCATTGAAGTGTGTTTGTGAACAGCCTTGTGAACAACCGTCCTATAAAGTATCTTATTCTTGTGCCAACTGGCCAAGCGGATCGTTAAATATTTCCGTTGGAAAATGTGATTTACCTCCAAACGAATGTAATGAGTATTATGCAGAGAACGGGGCTATGATTGAAGTGTTTTACGAAGCGCTGAATTATGAAGTATTAAGCGAGACAGAAGCTTACGGAGTAAGTGGTGAAAAAAAATTAATTATTCTTGTTTCAGCTAGTCAAAATGATGGCTGACTTTGGTGGTCAACTTGGTCTCTGGTCAGGCGTCAGTGTGATGACTTGTTGTGAACTTGTTTTTCTTCTCATAGAGGTCATTTATATGCTTCTTGAACACCATCGTCGAGTTGTTCACAAAAAATTGACCGAATTCCGCCCTAAGGGGGACTGGGACTTTTAATCGGGCCTATTCGTTTTAATTGCTGATTGTTTTGAAAATAAATGGAAAAGGTCGCAAATAGAATTCCCTTACAATTACATTGGCATCGCTCCCAATTCGCTATAAAACGGGTCTTCCAGAATGAAGCGGCTCGATTTTTAATCGCCATTAATGGATTGGCCACTCAGAGGATATATAAAAGCGGGCTTGTTTAGCCGGTTGGATGGTGAATGAGAAGGGTAATGGCATACAATTCTACTTCTGAACAACAAGAAAAAGTTAATATCAGTACTGAAAATATTGCTTATTCATATGTCCCCTTTAGTCAGCCAGATATTTTATCGTATTTTACCCCATGTTTGGCCCCGGTTCCAATCCCAATGATGTATTCAAAAGACAAGGTAAGTCTTTATTTTTATATTAATCAAAGTTTAAGAAGGACATCTCCCCTCTTCCAAAAAGAACTGGTCATCCTTATCAGAGTCGGCAGCAGCCATCCCACAAGAAACCACGCACTTCTTTTACAAAATCACAAGTCCAAATCCTTGAAAACCGTTTCAAAGATCAGAAATATCTGGCCTCAATGGAGAGATCTATCTTGGCCGCCCAATTAGATATGTCTGATGCACAAGTTAAAACTTGGTTTCAAAATAGAAGAACGAAATGGAGGTAAAGACCATCTAAAGTAATTTAATTTTAGTTGAAACTTTAGGCGTCAAGAAGCCGAAGCTCGAGATAACGAAGTCCGAAATGTGGTCCGTTTAGTCACCTCTTACCGTAATCAACTAGTCGATATGAGCCAACATTAATTTGTCAATCTTTTACTGTGTAGCTTTAAGTTTTAATGTGTTTGAATGTTACAATAGACTGTATAAAAAATAGTTATTTTCGGCCACTGAAGATGAGATCGTGTAAATTTGGAGTTCCGATGTCATTCATCATCGGGTCCATCTGTAATTTGTAATTTTAAATATAAATTCACATAAAATCAATGATGATTACAAAACATACCAAGGGAACTCCCAGCCCAAGCCCAACACTCTGCAATGCCAGATCCTGATCTATCCGTCTTCTTTTGTACCGACGATTCTGGAACCATATCTTGATTTGCGTGGAAGTTAGGCCAAGTTTCGCGGCCAACCGGTCCCTCTCACTTGGCGTCAAATATTTGGCGTTCTCAAAGCGATTTTCCAAAGTTTGGATCTGAAGTTTATAAAAGATATAAATATAAATAGTTGTTTTGAACTTTAATAAAAGCCGTTGTAAAGTTACACTTGCCTGTTCAGGTGTAAAGAGCACTCGCTGCCGTCTCCTTGAATGCTGTGTCCTCAAATGAATCGCCTCTTTTTTCTCTTCTTCTTGGTCTTCTTTGAGATTATTCAAATATGAAAACAAAGGTGTTCCTCCAGGGCATAATTTGAATTGTTCTTGGCCCCTAGATGAAGTTGATTTCTCCTTTCGATGATCTGCAATAATAAATGTGTTCTTTAAAATATCAGGTGCATTTTATTGCACTTTGGGCTGTATCGGCAGTTTCTGCACTCAAAGTCCATCTCATTTCCTGCCTTCAGGGCTCAATGGAGTCTACAAAAACAACACAAGTGGTGATAAATTGTTGTGTGGCTGGTCGGAGGGGCTTCGCCTTTCGTTGAAACCCGCCACACAACACTTAGTTGAAGCAGGAAAAACTGCCCTCTCATATCAATAATCAGTAAAGTTATCAAGGAGAAGAGATCGAGCAACTTCGAGAGACAACCGACAAAATACAAGAATAAAAGAAGAGAGTGGTCAGAGAGAGAGACAAACAAGCTGTGGAGTGGACTTTTCACCGCCTTGGGATGGATGTAGTGTGGCGGCGTCATGAGACTGATATCAGAGAAGGGAAGCTGCCCCTTCCCCCATCACTGACCAATTTCCAATTTGAAGAACCGGCGTTATTTTTTGCGAAATTCTTTGGTTCTCCGCGAGTCTCAATAACAACACAGGAATTTACTGGAAGCCTCACTGTAAGTTTATTTACAGAGTTTCGAAAAGGGTACCCTCTAAGACGGTGTCCTCGTGCTAGTGACAGAGTTCAGAAAATACCCAATATTTAAAACTCTTTACTGATAAGGCTATACGTTATACGTAATGGCCGAGTCGTGCTTCTGAGAAACAAAACATCTGATCAGCTTCAAAATGACTGAAATCTACGTTTTCGGGCAAAACGTTGCAAGTTTTTATTTAAATTTCACAAAGATTACTGTATGGATTCAGTCCAGACCAAATGGCCACAATCCCCGCCTCCTCTGACCGTATATTCTTTTATTCTTCTGTTTCTTAATTTGTAATTTTGTTTAATTTCTTGCAACAGTCTTCTTTTCGTTGATAAAATTCCTCTCTTCAAAGATCATAAGCGTCTTTTAAAAGTTGAGGGGTAACCCCGCCGCCAGTTGATTGTGTGGCGGCCTGAACACCGCCACACAACAATCTATCAATCCAGTGGAAATTTCCATTTCTCAGCGTAAACAAAGCCCCAGAAATAGTGATAATAAGCATTGGCTTCTCATGAGACGTCAGAGTCCAAAAGTTTTTATGCCTTGACCTTGTTCGACAACTCCCCTGGTTGTTGTGTGGCGGAGAGAAGGTGGAGTTTATAATAAAGATCATTCTCAGCCTTCCTTCCCTCCGTCAACCCGCCACACAACACGTGAACATCAAGAAAAGGGTGGAACAAAGTCCATCAAGGGATCCCCTGGCATAACTTGACGGACTAAAAATAAACAGCACAATAAAACTTGGGATTACAAGCGAAGGAGCGCAAAGATGGCACGTGTTTTTGGGGGGTAAATAGCTGTAGATATAACCAAGAGTGTTTTTATATCATCCTTATCGGGAAAAAGTGATTCTTGAGATTTTGAATTGGAGGGAAACGAGTTATAAGGAGGACATACATTATATGTTCATAATAACTTACCACACATATTCCCTGCTCCCTCCACATATTGCTCATCTGATCCAGAATCTTTTTTGATTTTCTGCAAAAGGTTCATTTGATTTGAGACCAATTGTTTTGTCCAATTCTGGTCCATAAATTTGATCCAATCGTTTTGCTTAGGCTCTGTTGGCGGAGACGTTGAGCTTGACGAACTCGTTGATTCTGTAGGCGATTTTGGGTTAGATGGCAGCGGATTTGGCCACGATATCGGGGATAAAAATGGAGAAGAGAACACAAAGTTCATAGGATTCATCTGAAACGGTGACTAAAATACGGGGTGTCAGTAAAGTTGAGGAGTCCCTCATTTACCGTAACAAACACCTCCACTCGTCAAAACAAAATTAAGCCCGAATGGCCCAGCGAATGGCCCGGGCCTGGTTTGTTTGTGGATGCACTCATTTTCCCGCCTATTAGCCGGTTCCTTTGAAATCCAAGGATTCTTGAGGATTCCGTTTCTTCTTTAATTCAGCATTAATTTATTGTAATTCAACTCTTTATTTGGAAATTTGAGAAAGTGCCAATGAATTTAGGAGATTTGGTGTGAAATTTGTGAATCTCGGGGATTCTGAAGGACTCTGGGAGAGTGTGATGCGAGAAGAGCAAACAAATTTGAAAAAGGGATACTGTATATAGACTGAGTTCAACTGGACTCATCGGACGGATCGAGAGCTAGGAAAAACATTAGCATTTCCAGTAGAAGTTCTTCGTCGGAGAACTCGCAATTCCTTTGATGATTTTGAACAGGAAGTCTTTATGATTGCGCAATCTATTTTGTATATTCAATATGCAAATACAATATCCAAATCAAGTGTTCCGGCGCCTTTGACCGACCATCTGTTCCATAGTTGAGAGATAGAAAAGTCTATTTGTATAAACACAAAACATTTTATCATATTTTATGCGTAGCTCTGAGCGTTGCAAGTGATATGAGATAAGGGATTCCCCCGAATCTCCTCGCGGTCTTGTGCTTTGTTCTGATGACGTCTTGAGCCCATATAAGGCCTTGTTTATTGGTGACCCAGCTTGATTTATCTAATCTTCAAAATATTTAAAGTTTATCTTTATTTACAAATCTCAATTTATTTCATACTTTTTGTGCAGATGTTCTTTGTTCTGTTCCGGTTTCTCTGCTCCCCAAAAGTATCCCAACTCTTTAAAAGTTATCATACACTCTTTTCTCACATTTTTAGTCTTTTTGGTCGTCAAATTCATTTCTTTTTTGTCAACGAAACCACGGAAATAGGGAACCCCAAAGCACGTGTTTTGTGTGTGTTTTCCGATGATAAGAGACCAATATGTAGAACTACGATGTTCTTTTGCGTTTCGTCATATTCTCTGATCAGATTTAATGGTTGGTTTTTGAAGGGTAGTACCGCTTTATGTGTAGATGAGAAGCGGAGTTGTGTAAACCCTATGAAAACAGTATTCAGGGTTTACAGTTTTTAATTTTGAAGGTTCTTACGGCTTGCGCTGCAAGTTTCACTTTCACTGTCAATCTTGCATTCGGGGTTTTGGTGCTTCAAAAATGATGTAATTGTCTGAGAAATCTGTGAAACTGCTTTCCACTTCCTCTTCCCATAAAAGTACAGTCTTTCGCTTCCAAAAACGTTCTATTAATAAATATTCTTTCCAGTGAATTACTAACAAAAATCTGAGCTGAATTATCAGCCCGGGGGCGGAGTCTGCTGATAGCTGATAAGGGGCGGGGCCAGACTTGGAGTGTCCCTTATCAAACAAAATTGTTTTAAAAAGTTTCTGACGGGGCTACCAATTAAAAAGGGCACTGTTCAAAGCTATAATTAGTTGGCCTTGCAATTGGCTGGATGCTTTTTTGTGACTAAGATTGTGAAATCGAATGTGTAGCAGTTATCTTCTTGCACAATTGCATTCGATTTTAACTCTTTTTTGCCATGCGTAATATGGCGACTGGTCTCTGCTCTGACAGAGATTCACCTTCCGCAAAAAATATCGCCCAACTTTTTTATCAATCGCTTTATCACTATAAAAGCGATAATCGCTGGTCATTTTGGGTTTACTCACGTTTTGGGGAGCGAAGGCGGGTTCCCTTTCCTGAGGCAGTCTTAGTTCAAAGTGAGTATCTCTTATTCCTCATACAACTATTATATCCCTTCTCTTGTCGTTATATTATAGCGCGTATTAAGATAACTTATTTTTATTGTAAATAATTTTAGAGAAAACACACAAAATGCAGGCCACCCAAAGGAGTTGTAGACTTATCCGTCATATCGTCAAACGCAGCCAACAGGTCCGTTGCGCATCATGTGTGGTTCCCAAGGAGGCGGCCAACCTGATCATGAAAGAAGCCGGTCCAGAAGAACGTCCAGCCTACACTGAGAACGTTGGTCTTCGTCCAGTGGTAGGTCCAGATGGGAGTATCGACACTTCCACGATACGGCATCACCATCTGACATTAAATCGCCGTGAAGATTTGAAGAAAGCCCAGAGGATTCTGATTAAATTAGGATCAGCTGTGATCACCCGGGATGATGAATGTGGATTGGCTTTGGGGAGATTGGCTTCGATTGTAGAACAGGTCTCCGAACTGCAACAAAGTGGTCGACAATGTCTGATTGTTTCGTCCGGAGCTGTCGCTTTTGGACGACAGAAACTCCGTCAAGAATTGGTGATGTCAATGTCAATGAGACAAACTCTGAGAGGCCCAGCTGGTCTTCAGACTGATAAAAGAGCGTGTGCAGCCAGTGGAATGCCCGGGTTGATGAGTTTATATGAGCAGCTTTTCCAACAGTACGGAATTACTGTAGCCCAGGTCTTGTTAACCAAGCCAGATATTGATGATCCACAGAGAAGAAAGAATCTTCAGGCAACCATCGAATCGTTGTTACATCTCAATATCATTCCAATTGTCAATGCTAATGATGCCGTGGCTCCAGATCCAAAATCCAACATGCACATCAGTGACAATGACTCACTGGCTGCTCGCCTGTCAGCTGAAATCGAAGCTGATCTAATGATTATTCTATCCAACGTCAATGGTGTGTACACTGGACCTCCAGACATGGAAGGAAGTCGACTTCTCCACACTTACTGCCCTGCTGAAGCCGGGAGTGTTGTGTTTGGAGCCAATTCAAAGTTTGGAACTGGAGGAATGGAGTCAAAGGTGCAAGCTTGTGTAAAGGCCCTTGATCACGGAGTAGCCACAGTAATCACAAATGGGTTGGCTCATAACGCCATCACATCCGTAGTGCATGGAAAGAAGATTGGAACAATGTTCTGCAGCACCAGTAGATACGAAGGACCTCCAATTGAAGAAGTTGCTGCCAAAAGTAAGCAATCAGTGTTATTTAATATAAAAATAATTTTTAGCCAAGGAATCTGGCCGTCAACTCCAGAACCTGACCAACGATGAGCGAGCTTCGGTTGTCCGTCACATTGCGGATTTGTTGTTAACTCGAGAAAATGACATCATCGAAGCCAACCGACTCGATATCCACAATGCCAAGTCCTTTGAACTTGAGCCAGCAATGCTGTCGAGGCTGAAATTGAATAAAGCCAAGTTGGTGGATCTGCATGCAGGTCTGAATATGATTGCTGATTCGGCCTCCTCTCTGATTGGACGTGTTCTCCGTCGTACTAAAGTCGCTGAGAACTTGTACTTGGAGCAACAAACTGTACCCATTGGAACTCTTTTGGTCATCTTCGAATCCAGACCGGACTGTCTTCCCCAAGTCGCTGGATTAGCTATTGCCAGTGGAAATGGTTTGTTATTGAAGGGAGGTCGTGAGGCCAATGAAAGTAATAAAATGCTTCATTCAATCTGTCAAGAGGCATTGGGAGTCCATGGATATGAATTGAGAGATGCCGTGACTTTGGTTAGATCAAGAGAGGATGTCTCTGAAATCTTGCAATTAAGAGGTAATTTACTGCATAATTAATGCTTAATCTCAGAAATAAGGCTCTAATTAACGCTCTTCAGAATTCGTTGATCTTGTTATCCCTCGCGGCTCTTCCGAGATGGTCCGTAAAATGCAAGAGCAAAGTCAAGGGATCCCGGTTCTCGGGCATGCCGAAGGAGTCTGTCATGTTTATATTGACAAGGACTGTGATGAGAAGATGGCTCTGGAGATTGTGAGGGATTCCAAGTGTGACTACCCAGCTGCTTGTAATGCCGTTGAGACAATTCTTGTTCACAGAGATCTCGTGAACACCAAGTTCTTCGATCAAGTCTGCGGGATGTTGAAGCAGGAGGGAGTTAAACTTCATGCTGGTCCCAAGTTGCAATCTCTTCTTAAATTCGGTCCTCCTGCCGCTGAATCTCTCCATTACGAATACGGAAGATTGGAATGCACTTTAGAAGTGGGTTTAGAATTTGAATTGTCATTTTATTCATAATCCAATTTCCAATAATCATCTTTTTTTTAGGTTGTTGATAGCGTTGATGACGCCGTCCATCATACGATCCGCTATGGATCCGGGCACACCGAATCCATTGTAACGAACAACCAGGAGACTGCCAATCATTTCCTCAAACACTGTGACTCTGCTTGTGTCTTCCACAACGCATCGACTCGATTTGCTGATGGATATAGATTCGGTTTGGGAGCCGAAGTTGGAATCTCGACCGGTCGAATTCATGCGCGAGGTCCGGTTGGAGTCGAAGGTTTATTGACGACCAAATGGCAGCTGAGAGGAGATGGTCATGTTGTTGGCCAGTTCAAACCCGGGGGACTCTATCATTATCTCCATGAAAGTCTTGACATCCATGGTCCAACGCCCGAGGTTTTGCACCAAATTCAGCAGAAAGTCAGCGCAAGCTAAGGAATCAAATCTCTTTTTGTGTCAACTTTTAGATTGCTAGTTTTAGTTCTATTTTCTTCTCATTTCTATATTCCTCATGTATCATATCCGTCCTTCTTACAAGTATTATTTCCTCAATATGCCGCATTTATGACGTTATTTTTATTTTTTGTAATCACGGGATGAAATTGTGTCATGTCGTCTTTTGTTCATTGTTTTCCCATGCAATTATACGTATAAGGCGCGTGCGTTCTACTTCTTTTTGCCAGACGAAGTCTGCGTTCATCCATTCACAGCGTTTTTGCTGCCTCTTGTCTCTAGTAGACACGATCTCTACCTCCATTATCTCAGACAAATTTTGGATTTCTAGGCAGGAACCCTTGTCTAGCGGGTCCACAGGCAAGAACTCCGGGGTTTATGCGACAAAGACCGCAAAAAAGTAGAACGCACGCGCCTTATATCAATATTCGTATTTATTTTGTTTGGTTATTACAGCAACCAATAAACAAGTATACAAAGTTAATTATTGATTAGAATATGATAGTTAGATGGACAAGATAACTCATAAAAGTAAGAATAAGATCAAATAGGACAGGGAAACTAGTTAATGAGGCCAAAGTATTTGGTAATCGAGTGTTTCCGACCTCCTCGGCTTCTCCAGTTTTGTAAGCCATACTTTTTCAGGATCTTCCGAGTATCATCGATCAAGAATTTGGTCTTGAGAATGACCTTGGCGGTCTTCGCCTCATGGACTGGGCCCGATCCTCGACTAGACAGCATGGCCGGCATACATAGGGATTGGAAAGTCTGCTGCATTATGGCCAAATCATAGAGTTCCCGGGCCTGAAAGAAAGATTAATGATGACTAAAGAAGGATCCTACTTGATCTCTTGTAAATGGAACAACGTCTTCATGCTTTCTATATGCCTCAACTAGAGCATCATAATAAAGATCAGGAATAACAGAATCCACTTCTCTTCGCACATCAGCATCGGCTGTTGGACACACAAAATGGGCAATGTCATACAATGGGTTGCCTTCCATTGCAGTTTGCCAATCAATCATGGCCAAGGGAACATTCGAGACAGAACCATCGTCGCGCTTCTTAAACAACATGTTCCCACCATGAAGATCAGAGTGCAGGAAGAAGGTAGCATCTGAAAAAATTTCGTTAATTTTGTGCAGCAGTACTGGAAGTCAAATTAAATTAAACTTACTGTATTCAGCTGCCTTCTCTTGAATACAAAACTTGCTAAAGGCTGGAGTCAGGATGAATGGATACTCCTCGACAAAAAGTTTGATCTCAGGGACCAGTCCAGTGCTTTTAGGAAGTAATTCGGCAATGACTGATTGATAGATTCCTTGGATGTGCATATGATCTTCAAACTGGCCTTTCCATGGCAGTCCGGGGATGTGCATCATTTCACACTAAAAGAAAATTCAATTTCAACCTTATTTAGCACAAGAGTATAAAGCGCTTCTCCGTTCCCTTACATGGAATTCAGCCAGAGGTTTGCACAAATTCTTGCACTGCTCTACAGTCGATGATCCCAACCATCCAACCGTCCCACTTTCATCTACAAAATCTTGCATAAGAATGAGACCCGGGCCTTCTTCATTCTTGTCTTCGGCGTAAAAATATTTGGGGACGAGAATATCTAGGTCCTTAATCATATTGCATATTTTGACTTCAGCCGAATGGGCATGCTCAACTTGTGAATCCTCTTTCGTCTTGGCTCCGGCTGGCTGGAAATTTGGAAGTCATCAACAAGTTTCTATTATACTTATACAATATTTTCTCTTCCTCCTGCATCAACTTACATAAACATGCTCCTCAGCGGGTGCCTTTACCACAAATTTGAATATGTCTTCGTTATCAAATATCAGTTTGACTTGATACACTTGGGATCTCAGACCCACTCCTCCACTCACACATTTGAATTTGACATCCTTGATCTTTGCATCCGCGGTTTTATTTTTTAATTCTTCATTGTTTTCGTACAACTTTAAAAGAATCCATTCGATAAAGTAGCCAGTTCGGCCGAGATGAGAGTAAATATCGACGGCCGAAGAGTCGACTACGTCTTCCAAGGGGTTCTTTGTCATTCTGCAATCGTGAAGTTTGATGAGAATTTAAAACAACGTGCAATCTGCGTTTCGCGATAAAAAGGCAACCTTTTATTGAAAACTTTACCCATTTCTATCTTTCCACTTATAAAATTCACAGCCCTCCAAGCTCGGGACGACAAAAAAAACACGTGAAAACATGGAAAGGAAGTGATGCGCGCCATGGATCACCATTTTCCCATCAAAAGCGCGTTTTCCCCGGCTTGTGACATAACCCGCCAGAAAAGGTTAACTTAATACAGCTCAATCTAGAAGTCATTTCGAAAACGTAGGGGTAATATGTAAACAAACATCTGATAAACAGGCCTCCCGGACTCCGATTTTATTCGTTATGAACCCAAGAAGGACCGAGTTTGGAGGAGCCGGGAATAGGGAACCTCGAAGACGATTGTTTGTTCGGAAGGGTCTCCAAGATCGGCAAAATAAAAATTTGTTGTGTGCGAAGGAAGAGGACTGAGAGGGTCATTATAAATGAATGATCATTAAACAACGTGCACTTGCTTCTGGCCATTGATCACAGTCACTGTAAAATTACCTGTCGTCGCGGCAAAATGTTTCGCCTCATCGAAAAAGGGTGCATTCGCGCATCAAATGTCCAGCTACCGCTAGCCGTCGCAAAGCTATGATAAGCGATTCCAAGGTGCCGCGACCCGCCACTATTTTCCCGACAGATAGCCCCTTGAAACGGATTTCTTTTGGTTAAAAATTTTTCCAACGTAAGTGTCCAGAGTCGCACTTTTTTATAGAAATGTGATCTTTAGTCACCAATTTTAACGAAGTATCATTATGTAGAGTCAATTCAACGAAAAATAAACCTTCCGAAATAAATAATAAAACAAAAGATTCAATTTTTACTCTTTTGCAGGAAGAGAATGCCGCCAGCCGGACTTGTTTACAAGTAAATGAATGGCCTCCTTGATTTTCACTGTTTTTGACAGATTGTAATCATCGGAAGGGAGCGATCTATGAGTAAACAGGGCCCTTGAAAAAGACTAATTTGTAGACATTACGTGATCAATAGAAAGTTGCATTTCATTTATACATAAGAGATTTAATCGCTAAAAGATTTCCACATCTGCTTAAAATATGATATATGTAAATGATTATAATAATAAATATCTGGCGGTAAATGTTCCTTTTTAGATGGCAACCACGTTGGCAACTTTGAATGGATAATACTCCGTGTTGCAGGAGTAGAGAACAAATTTGAAATCGGGGACAGGAGTGGCAAGGGTGTAGGTATTGTAGTTCTTCTCGGCACCAATCTTTTTCAGATTCAACTGACTAACGAACCGATCCAAATTGGGGATACTCTCGTTATTGGATTGGACATAGACTTGGCTGGCGAAGGATAGAGACTTCAAATTCAGTTTTCCATAGATCTGATTGACACTTTTCTCGCGGAGATAAGTGATCACTTTCTCCAATTCCGCCTTTATTTTGTCCACATCCAACTCGGTTTCGACCGTGATTCCGGTTAATTTGGTCAAAGTGAGATCTTCCAGATTTGGTGCCACAGTCTTCAGGGTTTCAGCTGCAACTTGATGGTCTTTTTCCTCATCGGTCGTGTTGAAACTCAATTCAAGAGTTTTCAATCTTTCGTTGACAGGAATGCTGAAAAGAAATGCATTATAAAAAAAAATTTGCATAAACCTATGTTTAATGTTAATAAACCTACTTCTCAAAGTCTTGGAAAATACGGACCCAGGCAACCTGAGGGATAACCAACTTCTCGGTGCGGATTTTGAAGAATGAATTAATATAATACAGTTCATGCGCAGTTTTTGAGTTAATGATAACCTCATCGTATTCTCCAGACTTGGAGAGGTAGGTGGAAAACTCTTCATCAATCTCAATCTTCCGAATATGTTCTCTTAGAACTTCTTGGAGGGTTCCGTAGGCATTGTCGTTGTGAAGCTCCACAAATCGAAGCCAGGTATTTTTGTCGAAGCATTCTAAAAAAACTTAAAACATGAAATTAATCTACCATCTTCCACCAAGCTGTCGCAAATATCCATGATATGACGGCGGAAGAAATGGGTGTCGTAGAACTTGATCTCCGTGATAAGGGGCTTGGTAAAATGAACAAAGAACTTGAGGAATACGGATCGAGTAAAGTTGATCTTAATTCTGGACCCATACTGGATATAGGTTGCCAGACGTTGGAAGACCAGAAAAGTCTTATCCACACCACTGACATGCCCACGGAAGGAACCCAATGCAGACGGAGAAGCCATCTAAATAAAGAAGTTTAGCTACTACGAAAAAACGTCGTTTGCTTCATAACGGTAAAACAACATACGATCAATCTGAAGAACAAGTTCTTCTCATCCAACTCAAGCTTCTTCTCGTTCTCCATGACAATCGAGTAAATGTGACTGGGCTGATCTCCAACTTCAGGTGAAAACACATGAAGTTGGGAAGCGGCATGCTGAAGAAGGCACACAGTAGAATGGTTATTCAGGCGTTTGGCCATGCTGATCTAGCTGAAAACAAAATATATATATATATATTAAACGCTAACAAAATTTCATTTGCCACTGGTATCTCCATTTATGGCCGCCAACCGCCTCATCTTCGACTCAATCGACAACTAAGTGAAAGTTAAAAACGGTGTGCAATTCAGATAAAAACGCTGGGCACACCTTCCGATGAATCACTCGGCAACAAAAAATGGAAGAACGGAGAAACAAACAGAACAATAAACTACAGACAGGGGTGGTCAGCGGACCCTATTTTTCCGATTTTCGGCCCGCGGCCCGGCCCGTCTAATTGACCGGCCCGTCTAGTCTTTTTCCAGGCCCGGCCCGGCCCGTGACGGGCCTGGCCCGGCCCGGCCCGGCCCGTGCAGGCCCGTCTATAGAGGGTTCTGCGAACTGCGCCCAGGCTCGGGATCTAAACTGAGGCAAAAAAGGCGTTGATCTAGCTAGTAAAGGATCAATGTGATAGTTTTGTGGTTCTATAATGGAACTATAGACTTGTAAACGTTTTAGAACTTGAGAAACAGCAACTATAACAACATAAATTAATTTTCCCGGCGCGAAAACAATGAATGCCAACAGCTTGGCATTGTATTTTAGACGGGCCGGGCCGGAAAAAACCCCAGGCCCGCGGCCCGGCCCGGCCCGTGACGGGCCCGGCCCGTTTGTAATTTTCCATTTTTGAGCCCGGCCGGCCCACTGACCACCCCTGACTACAGAAAAATAATTTTGCAGAAGAAGAAACTTGACGCGTGCCAAGTCTGTTCCGGAAACTTACATTTATGTTGAACAGGGCGACTCAGGTCAAGAGTACGGTTCGGAAAATTCAGGTGTATTCACCACGCGGGTATATACCCGAAATCTCGGCTATATTGGGGTATTTATAAAATTAGTCCAATATAATTGTACCAATATGAAGTCGTTTGTAATTCATCCATTAAACCTTAGGGTGATATTCTATACTTTTCCAACCAAAACAAACAAAACTAGTACTTTGAAAAAGCTTAGCAATCCAATATTTCGCAGATTTCGAATTTTTTCCCTTTCATCTTCCGACTCTGACAACTGACCAAGTAGTTTTCGACCTCAAACCCAAGTTTTGAACGGAAAAACCAAATTATGACAAAATGTCAACATTCATTGATTTTTTATGACCAAATTGCTCTTTTTTATATTATTTTTTGAATGTAAAAGTAGTTTCAAAGCGGTCACATTTCGAAAAATGTGACCGCTGCACTGGTGCCGACCAGTCAAATTTGTTCAAGAAGCGCAGAAGAAATGTCGTTAGAAAATTTATTGATAATATAATCAGTATACTTTACAAGTTATAAGTTATGAAAATGGCTAGAAAACCATTTAAAACTAGTTATACAACCTATTCTACCGTTACAGATTTTGCGAGATTCCGCGGGCGGTCAACATTGAATCCATTGAGATCAGCGACATGGTAGCTCATAAGTTGAAGGGGAATGACAGTCAGGATGGTTTGGAGACAATCGACGGTTTTAGGTACCCAAATCACTTCTCGAACTCCTTGGAGATCTTTCTCATCGACGTCTTCATCAGCAATCACAATTGGGCGGCCTCCACGAGCGAGGACTTGTTGAAGGGCATTCAAAGACTTCTGGAAATACATTATATTAGATTTTTAAAGACCAGAATACATAAAAAAAGCGTTGCCATACATACCTTATACACATTGTCTGAGCAAATGATCATCAAGATGCATTGCTTATCATCGACCATAGCCAACGGCCCATGCTTCAACTCTCCGCTCAATATACCTTCACAATGCATATAGGACAACTCTTTGATCTTCAAAGCCCCCTCCAAACATGTAGCGAAGTTGTAGCCTCTTCCCATCACAAGAACGGACCTCTCCTTGTAGATCTGTTTGGCAATCCTCAACACTTGTTCATCTGTCTCGAGAACCTCTTTGACGTAATCTGAGGACAAAAAGATAAGTAATCCTGATCGCTAACATATAAAGAACTACCAACTTTATTTAACTTACTGTGAAGCACGAGAAGCTCTGCAATGATTTCTTTTCTCTGATCCTTCTTGATTCCATAACTCTGTGCCAATGAGACGGCAAACATGACCAATGCCAAAATCTGGGAAGTGTAGGCCTTCGTCGAAGCAACCCCAATTTCCGGGCCAGCATTTAAATGGATTCCGCAATTGGTCTCCCGGCTGATTGTGGATCCCACGGTGTTGGTGACCCCCACCAAGAAGGCACCTTTGTTATGGCAGTATCTGAGGGCAGCCAGAGTATCCGCAGTCTCTCCAGACTGAGAAACAAAGATGCACACATCTGATCGACTAATCGGAACATCTCTGTCCATGAAGTCAGAAGCCAATTCAATTGCAATCGAGACTTCACAGAGTCCTTCCAGAAGACGGCCAGCAGCAACAGCGGAGTTGTAAGACGTTCCGCACGCTACGAAAACAAATCGGCATTTTCGGTCCATGATGCCGAGGTATCTCTGAAATTGTAATCAAAAATATTTGTTAACACAACTACTTATATTGTTCAAACATTACCTTCATCCCACCAAGACTGACGGTGCCATCTGATCTGACTCGACCTCTCATTGTATTCACCACACTTTCGGGTTGCTCGAAGATCTCCTTCTGCATGAAAGTCTTATATTCGCCCTTCATGATCTCGTCCAATTCCATGTGAAGTTCTTCAACCAGCCGGACTTCAGACTCTGCGAATGACCCAGCCGTTCGCATTCTGTGAATCATCAGTTGTCCACAATTGACGGTGGCAATGTCTTCATCTTCCAGATACAAAACTTGTCTGGTATGTTCTACGATGGCGCTGAAATTAAACAACCCATTATTATACATCAACAAGAGTGGCATTCGTTGTATGAGAAGCAAACCTGGCATCCGACGCAAAGAAGTATTCAACTTGTTGATCGAAAATAAAACTCCTATCGGTCTCATTTAGCCCGGCAGAACGTCCACCCGACAACGGGGTCCCATTTGGAGTGTTTTCCATTCGGAATGTATCATCGAAACGCGATGCCTTGGCTGGAATGTTGACAATGACACCATACAAAATCAACAACTTCAAGCACCGAAGAATCCTTACCTTTACTCAGCTGGACTTGGTAAGTGACAGGCTTCTCTTCACTCTCACAGCAAATCCCTAAAACCAAAGGAGACCCTTTGCGAGTGGCAACAATCTGACCGGGGAACACACGAGACTTGAACACCAACGCAAACGCTCCCTCCTGCAACATCGGACTAGCCTTTAATCTATTTTTGAACTTACCAATTCGCCCACTGTGATCTCCACGATCTGTCTGAAGTTGAGGTTGGGGTATTTCTGGTAAATATACATCGCCAGCTTGACTACGGCCTCAGTATCAGTGTCACTCTCGAATTCAAATCCTTTCCTCGCCAAGAAATGCTTCAGCTCGCGATAATTGGTGATGATTCCATTGTGCACACAAACGAAAGCTAAACGAAAGATCGCATATATCATCAAAAAACTGACTTACTGTTGTTTTTATCGGACCTCTGAGGATGACTGTTCAGCTCGGTTGGCTGTCCATGAGTGGCCCAACGAGTATGTGCGATTCCAGCATGGATATTGTAGACATGAGACATATCGAGATCCGTGGCCTCTTCTGTAACGGCCCAAACAAATCAACTTTAGCAGCAAAATAAATGAAAAGGCATAAACCTCCGGAAAACGCACTATTTATGTGCTCAGCAAGATCATCCACCTTCCCTTTGCACCGTAATACTTTGATTCCATCTGATCTCTTAGTTGCATCGTTTCCAATATCAATAGCAATCCCTGCTGAGTCGTAGCCTCGATATTCCATCCGTCTAAGACCATTAAGGAGGGTCTTGACGACCTCTTTTCTTGTTTTGGGGTGCATGAAGTTGACATACCCGAAGATCCCGCACATCTTTGTCTGAAAGGACACGAAGTGAAATTAAATGCAAAAGACAAGGTAAACACTAAAAACCATCGTCAAAAAATTGTCAGGGTAATAGTGGCGGGTCGTCGCAGCAAAATGTTTCGCCTCTTCGAAAGAAGGTTGGAGTCGCGCACCAAATTTCCAGCTGCGGTAAGCCGTCGCAAAGCGATGATGGGCGATTCCAAGGCGCGACATTCCGCCACTTTCCCGACAAACTGATAAAAAAGAGAAAAAAAAAAGATTTCTCTACCATAAACCGACAATTGCGTTCAAATATCCCCTTTGGCAAACCACAAAAAAAGTCACTACAATCGAGGACGCAGCCTGCCGAGAAGCGCTCTCTACGCAATAAGGCGCAGTCAGGTACCGTATGCCACCCGCGGTACATAAAACTCCGCAATGCTTACCTCGCAAACGAATTCTGTTTATCAACTCGTCAAAATTTTCAAATTGCCCGAAACAATTACATTTATGCATAAGATAACAAATATTGCAATGAAATTTACAATTTAAGTTCCGTGAGAATAAAGGGGATGATCGCCTGAACCTGAAAAGGGTGTTCTGAGTTTCAGTTCTCCTCTGTAATTTCCAGCTGGCACAGTAGAACTATCGAAGCCGTTAAAATACTTGTGATTCAGGGCATCTCTCATCGACATACGACGCATCGGGTCATACGCCAACAAATTCTGAAAGGAAATATAAGCTAACAAACACGAAAAATTAAACAAATTACTAAACCTTATGCTTACTTCGAGGAGATCGAATCCATCCTTGTCCAGCAGATCATACATTCTCTCGGCCAAGGTATTCGCAGTCCATCTGGGGAAATTTTCCTTGTAATCGGGTAAGACTTTGACAGAAGGCCAGTTCTCTTCTGTCGGAGTTCCTAAAGTTCTGAAGATGCGAAACAACTGATCGATTTCGGAATCTCCTGGGAACAGAGGCCTCTTACGGGCAATCTCGGCGAAGATGCATCCAACACTCCAGGTATCCACACCCATGTGATAACGTGGAGTGCCCATCAAGACTTCGGGAGAACGGTACCAAAGAGTGACCACTTCGTGAGTGTAAGCCCGAACGGGGATAACAATGGCACGCGCAAGACCAAAGTCTGCCACCTTCAAAGTGTTAGTTTTGACGTCAACAAGAAGATTCTGAGGCTTCAAATCTCGATGGACAATTCGACGCTGATGACAGTAACAGACTGCTTGGCACAGCTAAAGAGAGATCGTAAACGAAGAATGAACTCACCTGGAACATAAAGCTCTTGATGATATCGTGATCCAAAAAGTCAGTCTCGGCCAAACGATCAAGATATTTCTTCAAATCCATCGACAAAAATTCGAATACTAATGACAAGGTCTTGTCCGTCATGATCACATCGATAAGTTCGACAACGTTAGGATGTTTGAGTTCAATCAAAGTGGTAATCTCTCTGATAGTAGTAGTGGGAACACCTTCATCTTCTTGTTCGAGGCGGATATTCTTGACAGCAATAATCTGCCCAGTAGATTTAAGCTTTGCTTTGTATACAACACCATAAGTTCCTAAAAAATTAAAAATTAAATGATTTTACATACCTTCTCCGATTTTGTTAATGTTAACGTAGTCTTCATGAGACATATTACCATATTTATTCGGCGCCATCTTGGCCGGTTAGTACTGAAAACATCATAACAAACTATTGGAAAGAATTGAAAAATTGGTACCAAAATCAAATAATAATTGACATGAATACAAGACGATTGGTTGGGATGAATTGTTCACGTCCAGCCTTTTCGGGTCAAAGACGGTTCGGGTGAACACAAAATCGATTGATACGAGGCCTAGGACAGGCGGAGAGCCAAAAAAAGTTGGTAAGAGGTGCCTACGAGGCCTGGGAAGGCCGTAGAATGTTCGGCGGACGTTCGACGAAGGACAATATGGCCACTTTCTCTAATTTTAGTTACTGCTAACCTTAGTTTTCTTCATCATGAGTTATTATCGCATAGAGAAGGCCAAAACTTATGCAAAAAACGAAGATCCGTAAGTTTTATGTGGTATTATTGCAATAATACATGAAAAATACCTCAAAATAGGTGATAAGCTATCCTAGGACCTGATCAATCTAATTACTTCTAGCCAAGTCTTCTCCGCGCATAAAGCGACAAATTGAGGCCCCCAAAGTACGTTGATCCGAACTGTCTTGACCCAGCGTTAATTTTTCATCTAATATAAAATTAAAAAACTATCTGAAACAGGCTGTACAAAAAATGAAACTTACAAATTTCGTTTGTACGAAAACAGCGCACCTTCGCAAATTTGCGCGCAAATAAGGCGAAAAAGATTTTTGCGGAAGTTTGAAGAAAACCTTGCCCGCATTGAACAGAATGCCAAAATTCAGGCAAATCATTTCTGCGCTGCAGCATGAAAGGGAATGACAATAACAGCCGGTTACAATTATACTATGCCCCTAAATACATCTTTCATAAGAAAATGACGACAATTTTGTTTAAATTTTTGACATCTTATCAGCAAAATCGCTTTGACTCACATTATAGTAATCCGAGGAACAATGCAGCTCATAAACCTGCCAAAGTCATGCATAAATTAACAAAAATAAGTCTTATCATCATGACGCGGCAAGTTATTTAGAAGTCCATGCAATGAAAAAGTGCTTCCTTAGGTCAATCATCATCAATTGCGCATTGATTACCACTTTATTGTTTCAGAAGACCTTGAAAGAAACATTTTACATCAGTCCGAGTTTGTCTTTACAGTACAAGTTTCAGTTTAATACGACCCTCGATTGCGTCAGACTTATAATAACGGGACTTTACGTTGAAAAGGTAACTGACCTGACGAAAAAACCGTATTTTTTTATAAAGAGGAAGGTGGCCCCTTATAAAAGAGACATTTGTATTTACTTTTCATTAAAAAAGAGCTGGCTGGTCAAGGTTATTGTTTTCTGATCAGATTGCTGAGAAAAGGTGTTTATGCAATTAAATCTAGCCACCTTCAAATGCTATAATGGGTGCATCCAAGCAATGTTTTCGCTGTTCTAGGTGTATTTTGCTAGCTGTAAACAAAAAAATTGAGACGAGTATGGCGGAGGGATGCGTTTTTGAAATTATCAAAGCAAACTTAATTCATTTTGATTACTTTTAGCATGTCCCAAAAGAGCAATGGAACTCCTCACTTCGACCATTTTTCTGCACCTTCTTTTGATGGACCAGTTAAAATTCTAGATGGCGGAATGGGCTCCTTGATGGAGGTTCTAGGCTACAAACCAGATGTATGTAATGTATGTGGGATTATCGTCAATTTTGATGACTTTCAGCTCTGTATTACATTACTTTAGGCCATCTCCTGGAGTTCTGGAGCGAACACTGCAGCCCCGAGAATTGTGGAGGAGGCCCATAAATTGTAAGTGATCTATTCCATCTAATTTTACTGCAAAATCGTTAGATTTATCGATGCGGGCGCTGATATTATTATCACGAACACATATCAGTCCAACATTTTGAGAAAGATTGATGACGGACAAAAGGAAAATTCAGAGAACGATACCGCGGTTAGTGGTTTTAGGTGTAACAATATCTAAACTCGTTTAGGATGGTGTTAAATGTGCTCTAGCGGCAGCCAAGAAGTCGGGCCGGGATGTGAAAGTAGTCGGATCCATCGGTCCCTTTGCCACATATCTTTGTGATGGATCCGAATACACAGGAGCCTATCTGAATGACCCGGAATTTGATCATGAGGTGGGGGGAATGCCCTTCCATTATCAGTCGTTTTAGCGAATAAAAACAAATTATCGTGTCCATCTGGCTGCCCTGCGGAAACATGGGATCAAAACAGTTGTTTTCGAAACGATTCCCACAGCAATTGAAGGGAAATATGCACGTGAAATCCTTGAGGAATCGGGTCTTTCCGGATGGATTGGGGCTACTTGCAGGGTGAAATCAAATAATTGTGGTATCATAAGAAAATTTCATTACAGGACGGATCCCATCTAGCCAATGGTGACCTTTTCGTTGATTTTGTGAAGAACGTTGCGGATTCACCCAATTTAACAGCGATTGGTATCAATTGTACATCACCCAAATTCATCAAAGATCTGCTGACTATTGGCCGAGAACACTCTCAGGGGAAACCATTTGTAGTCTATCCAAACAGTGGAGAATATTATGACAAGGAGCAGTCGGCGTAAGTTAACCATAAGATTCTAAAATTGAGAATAGATTCTACGGATGCACAAGTATTGATCTCATCCTCAGTCAAGTCAAGTTATGGCGAGATCTTGGTGCTGTCGTCATCGGTGGATGTTGTAGAGTAACTCCTGATGACATCAAGGGGATTGTGGAGAAATTGAGAGAATAAATTGGCTTTACAAAATGTGATATGTAATGGCAGGAAATATAACATCAACGAAAACATAAACAGATGTATTGATAACAACCTTTATGTAAAATTACAGTTTCCATATAACAATCCAACACTAGGTAGATAACAATCAATGCCCATTACGCTGTCCCATTCTCCTCTTCATTACTAATCTGATTGCGAATCTCATTAAAGAACTCAATCAAATCACTCTTGCAAAGTTTTATTGGAGGAATACAGTGTCCACATTCATAGTGTTTGACAATTGCTTTAGGGTCATCAAAAACACTCGCCAATTCTTCACTGAGATCATTGGGGATCACCTAAATTACAAAACACGTTTGTTTAAGAACATATTCTTACCTTGTCATCTTTATTTATGCAATGGAAAGTCCTTATTCCGGTTATGGTTTCCTTTTTGACATTGCGAGAGGCGTTATACGCAATAAACCCGCAACAATAGATAATAAACTTGAGGTTCCATTCCCCTTGACATAGAATTGCATGAGAGAAGGCAGCCCCTTGTGAAAAAGATAATATCCCGTCAAAAGGACCCTGGAAATTGCTGACGGTTAACAACGAGTACCCAAATTTAAATCGAAACAGTAACTAAACTTGCATTCTCCTTTATAAAACTCCTCAAAAAATCTACACTCTTCTCAAAAGAGCCATCGTATATTCCGGTGATCTTTTCCCTCCAATAAGTGCGTTCTGGACTTGTTGTAAACCATGTTTGAGTCTCCTCGGAGCCTTCTGCGGGTGGTTCTAGACCTTCTTGTATGGGGGAATCGATGAATGCTAAACAGAATTTAAAATCACATCAGGCGCAACTTACTAAACTCGGCTTGTGACTGAAGTCCCTTTCTAAAACCTCCTGTTTTCTCACGGAATCTGGCAGCATTCTGATGATGGCCGTGCAAACAAAGTATCTAAAAATTGAGTTTTCAGGGATTGAATCAACAAAGTTTGGAGCATAATTTTCTAACAAGACAAAAATTTGCCAGATTCCTATCTCGTGCTTTCCGGAAACCGTCGATATATGGATCGGGCTTTATAAATTTCAAAAATGAATCCAGCAAAAAGTGCAAAATTCAGTCCAAAGTGCCACTTTGGACTGAAATCGCCAAATAAAGTCCATTTGGGCGAGCCTTCGCCAACCTATGTCCACGCGTTGGACTAAAATCTGCAAATTCAGTTTGCACGACCACATTTCCATGGATTTTTGTGATTTGTCCAAGGAACGGACTGAGTTTTAAGGTTTTGGTTTGTCGAAAAAACTGAATTTGACAAATTTTAATTTTTCGTCGAGGGGGTGTAAAAAAAGTGGTAAGGGGGGACCAAGGGACGAATTTGTGCTCAATGAAGCTAAATTTTTTTGCACGATCGCCTGTTTAGATTTTTCTTATCCTAGCAACGCAATCTCGGTAAAATTAGACTTAAACACCTGGTTTTTTGATTGAAAAATTATATTGTACTAGGTAAACTATGTCAACTTTGATGTCTAGGGCCCGTTTTTTGTGATTCTCGGTTGAAAAATTACATTGTACTAACCAAACTAGGTTAACTTTGATGTCTAGGACCCGTTTTTTGCGATTTTCGGTTGAAAAATTATATTGCACAAGGCAAACTACGTCAAATCTGACGTCTACCGCCTGCTTTTAGGTCGAAAAATTATATTTTTCTACGCAAAACATTTAAATTTTCTTTAAAAACAGTATAAAACCTACATTACCCGAAGTATGGCGAGACAACACAGTCGTTCTTCTTGTTCGGACATGAAATGGTCGATTTTCGTCTATAGAAATTCTCGTTTTAAACGAAATGCCAAGAAAATTCTGCCAATTTTCGTGATCTCTCTGATTTCCGGTTTCAGTACGTGAGTTCGGCAGGAAAACGACTGCAATAATTTCCGGCTTTTAGTTGTGTGTTGTGTTGTCTCGCCACACCTCGGGTAATGTAAGTTTTATACTGTTTTTAAGAAAATTTGAATTGTTTTGCCTAGTACAATATAATTTTTCAACCGAAAAACAGGCGGTAGACGTCAGATTTGACGTAGTTTGCCTTGTGCAACATAATTTTTCAACCGAAAATCGCAAAAAACGGGCCTTAGGCATCAAAGTTGACCTAGTTTGCCTAGTACAATATAATTTTTCAACCGAAAAACAGGCGGTAGACGTCAGATTTGACGTAGTTTGCCTTGTGCAACATAATTTTTCAACCGAAAATCGCAAAAAACGGGCCTTAGACATCAAAGTTGACCTAGTTTGCCTAGTACAATATAACTTTTCAACCGAAAAACAGGCGGTAGACGTCAGATTTTACGTAGTTTGCATAGTACAACATAATTTTTCAACCGAAAATCGCAAAAAACGGGCCTTAGACATCAAAGTTGACCTAGTTTGCCTAGTACAATATAACTTTTCAACCGAAAATCGCAAAAAAGAGGCGCTAGACTTCAGATTAGGCCTGGTTTGCCCAGTACTTGTTTTATACGATAGTTACGTATTGGAACAATGATTAGGGACCACAAAAATTGAATGAAATAAAATTAAAGTGACTTATGCGAAAATTTTGATTGAAACGAGCCAGTTTTTCTTTGGACTAAATTTGCCGTTTTTTGTCCATCCTTTGTTCACTTTTTGGACGGTGGACAAAACCAAGAAATCCAAGCAAACAAGTGCAATTTGTTTGGAAAACAAACTTTATTTGGCGATTTCAGTCCAAAGTGGCACTTTGGACTGAATTTTGCACTTTTTGCTGGATTCACTTTTGAAATTTATAAAGCCCGATCCATATATAGGCTTCGTGGAAAATGGACAGTGAAATTGGACAGATTTTTGACTTTTTTCGCTACAATCGTACGAAATGTCACTATTGAATCATCAAATAATTATTTTTTGCAGTGAAAAAAATCTTCACTTTGCAATTTGTGAGATTATAGGCTTGAAAATTTCAAGCCCAATTATTAACACTCTGTTAGCAATGCCGTTGGAGTGATTCTTGGCTTTTGCACTGTGCGAAAAAATTCAGGGTGCGAGCGAGAGCCCAAAAAAACCAACTGCACGGTGCAAAAAGCAAAAAATTGCACAGTGCAACGTACATTTTTTTTTCTTTTTTTCTCACAGTGCTTGTCGCCGAAAAAGTTATAGGCAAAAACTGTTTCCCGTCTGGCCGACTCTCCTTATTTCGCGTGTTTTCTCGGAAACAACATTCGAATATCTCGCCAACTGCCGGAAAGTGCGAGTTAAAACTTTCAGGAATTTCGGCTAGTTCAGAACCCGCACGCAAAATTTTAAGAAAATTTGAGTGCTCGATCTGAAACACTCGTAAGATAATAGAAAATTCAACTCAACTTGAAGAAAAAGCGTACCTTCAACTTACGAGGAATAGCTTTAGCCATTACTTACTTCATGTAGATATCAATCCAGACATTCTACTAAAAAAATAAAAAATAAAGAAAAAACTTGACATGAGACAAGTCTCTCTCGACAGTTTCCGTCAATCTGTTATACCCAGGGGTGGTCAGTGAGCCGGGCCGGCGGGAAATTTGAGAAACGGGCCGTCATGGGCCGCGGGCCTGGGGTTTTTTTTCGGTCCGGCCCGTCTATATGACAATGCCAAACCGTTGGAATTTATTTTTTCGCGCAGGAAAAATTAATTGACGTTGTTGTAGTTGCAGTTTCTCAAGTTCCAAAACGTTTACAAGTCTATAGCTCCGTTTTAAAAGCCACAAAACTATTATATTAATTCTTTACAACTAGATCAACGGCTTTTTCGATTAACTTTAGCCTTACCTCCAATGTTGGTTTAGGGCTTTGTAAGCGATTCCTTTTGAAGGTCGTTCTTTGCTCATTTTGAAGCTAGGGATGATTAAAGAAAAGCGATGTGAAAGTGTTTGAGACCATCATCATCTTTTAGGTTCATGTGATCTACAAGACCAACTGTCTGTCGTAACCTTTTTTCTTCCTTTCTTTGTTGTGTTCTCTTCGGACACCTCTTATTTCTCATGTAAGCGTTTTTTGGAATTCTGATTCTACCAAGATAAGCTGAGAAAACAAAGTTTTATCTGATATTCTTCTGATGATTTTGGGGTAGTCATCTTTTCCCCCCTCTGATCAGCCAATCTTCTTGTTGTTATAACGTAATCTGGACAGCTGATACTCGAGAGTACCTTAGGTCTAGGTCTTAGGATTTCCAAAACGTGCTTTCTGGGATATTATTTCGTGGGTTCTATAAGGTTGAAGGGTTGTACGTAACCAGAGGGCTCACGTGATATTCACACAAGTGCCGTCTTACAGATTAAGTCTCTGAAATGTGCATATTGATAAGGGGTTTCTCTTGTTTTCAGACTTTGTTTTTATTCCGGGGTTTTTATGTCTAAAAGGTGAAGTACTCGCAGCTTTGGAAATAGCTTCTCCATGCGGCGTTAGGATTATAATTATTTTTTCTCGTCGGGGTTGGGCTAACTTCATTTATTATGACTTTCCTTTATTGCAAATACACGTTTATTTATAATGCGATCCTTATTCTTTCCCCTCTGAGCTGGGAAATCCCAACCTCTGGCCATTTTTGAAATTATTTCCTCCACTCGACCCCCCGGGGGCGAAAGAGTGCGTAAGAAAGAGAGACGGCGGAGTGGAGAACAAACCACGCGCTCTACGCGTCGAATCACAAGACTAGCCGGAAGATAGAGTTCTACGAGCAGTGGAGAGTGCAGTGGGAGAGAAGTGAAGCAGAGAAAAAAAGAGAAAAAGTCCGCTCTTTTTCGCTTCGAAGCGCTCCACCGACGGTTGAAGAATAAGGGGAAAGAGCACGTGGTTTCGATTTTATTTGGGTGAAAAGCGACGCTTTATGAAAGCCTTCGAAAAAGGGTAACGGCGATGGAATGCTTGGGATATGGTAAAAATTTTAAACGTTGAGTGAAAGGTAACAGCGGCAGCATGGTGTGTGATCGACAGCTGTCTTGACTGATGAAAATGTGTTGATTACACAGTACTTTTTGTCATGATATACTCTTTTTCCTTCCTTATGTATTTGTAATCACCACAAAAAGCCTTTCTTATTGTCGCGATATTTTCGTAGATATTTTCAAAGGATTAAATTACCTCTTTTTCCAAAGACGACTTAAACATATAAGCAGGAAACTTTTTAAATTTGTGAGATCTAAATGCGATGACATCTCTAAAAAAGGGAATGGTCCTGACAAGAGAAGATATCATTTTGGTAGAATGAGTGTGCTGTATTCAAGATTATGAGGTTTGTGTTCGTCTGTTCTTTTATGAATATCTTGCTGCTTATGTTAGTAATGTTTGAGTTGTTTTTCATCGCTTTGTGGTGTTTCCAAGATGTTCTGGTTAACCTTGTTAATGAGACACGTGTTGTTTACGAGTAATATTTTTTGCTTTTTTCTTCCTGCTTGTTTCCATATGACATCCAGCCTTACATTACCTATCATTCTGACCTTCGGAACTCCTATTTCCTCGTCTCTTGTAATGCTTACTGTCAATCAACTCTCGAAATGGAAACAAACGTGCATTTGAAGAGTAAATTGTAGTTATTTAAGAGTGGGAATCTTTTACTCGAACACTTTCAAGTTATTTAAATCAATTTTTAAATTCAATTTTGGATTGGAAAACACATTCGGATCCATGAATCGGCCCATTTTGCATTCGCTGAAAAGGAAAGGGCCTTAAAATATTGTAAACAGGGGTTTGTAGTCGCAAACTTGATATGCTTGCTTTTCAAAATAAGGTGTGATAAGTGATGAGAAGATAACGGTTGTTTTTAATTGACGATGTTTTGCTGCCGTCAGTGATCTTGAATGATATTAACGCTTAAAAAAGAATTAGGAAACGTTATTTTAAAACAGCTTTTTTGTAAGGGTCGAGCTAGCTGTGCACATGAAACAGGATGTCACAGTAGAGCCATGAAACACTAACCATGTGTTACCCTAACCGCGAGTACTAAATTTCAGAAAAAAAAATTTTGATTATTGGCCTACTGTAGGTGTACTGTAGTTTTCTCGCATTTCCAGGATCTCAGCCACGAGAGGTTGGATTCCCTCCGGACCTTCTCTGTGTTATAGAATGGACAATTCTAAGAAACTTTCATATTCACACTTTTTCCCTAGGACTTCTGGAAGTATGTGAAAAATTTGCATATTTGGCAAAAAATTTATATTTCTTAAATTTTCTAAAAAATTTTGCATATCGGGACGCCCTTTTTATTGCTCTAAATGACGCTCCATGAAGCGACAATTCAAACGGTAAAGAGGTCATCGCAAGGCGTTCTGCCTATGTTGCAAACGAGGCTTCTAAAGGTCGGGCCATCACGGATTTTTCTTGGGCTAAAATTTTATATGCGAGATATTGGGACAAAATTTGGTCTTATTATAATCTACGCAAAATTCTAAGACTTTTGGACCACACTTTTATGAGTCTCAGACCGACCGGTCGAAAGATACGACCGATTTTTGAGACTTTTCCGGTATTTTACAATTTTTACCCGGAAGGTGACGGAATTTCGGGGTTTCTTTGATTGCATTTAATTGAGCGTCTCTGAATAACTCAATGTTTGTCGCTTTTCGTACTTTAGCTATTCAAGTTTTTTTGAAAAGTTGGTTGTGGCTTCTAGGAATATTCTGAGGTACACCTGTATTTTTTTGGAGTCTGACACCATGCCGCAAGTGAGCTTCTAAGAGGAAAAATCGACAAAATTACCTTTTTTAGTTGCCGCATTTCGAGATTATTCTATAGGCCGAATCGATCAAAATATTTTCCATTTATTTTCAAATCAGAAAGAATCATGCAAATTTTTGTCGGTTTTTCCTCAAAGAAATTTTAATATCTAAAATACGAAACGCTAATGTGATGAATGGAGCACGTATCTAGTTCAAATTATATGTTCGGATTCAATTGTGCCATCAGAATGCTGAATTTCAGTCATTAAAATGGAGTTTTGTTAGATATTGCGCAAAAATTTTTAGACAAAAATTCCTTTTTTTTCGCGAACATCCGTATCGGTATGCGGGATCGATGTACGTAGGCAACTTTGTACGTGCTACATCGAATACTACCATCAGAATCCTAGAAACCCAGAAATTCCGTCACCTTCCGGGTAAAAATTGTAAAATACCGGAAAAGTCTCAAAAATCGGTCGTATCTTTCGACCGGTCGGTCGGAGACTTATAAAAGTGTGGTCCAAAAGTCTTAGAATTTTGCGTAGATTATAATAAGACCAAATTTTGTCCCAATATCTCGCATATAAAATTTTAGCCCAAGAAAAATCCGTGATGGCCCGACCTTTAGAAGCCTCGTTTGCAACATAGGCAGAACGCCTTGCGATGACCTCTTTACCGTTTGAATTGTCGCTTCATGGAGCGTCATTTAGAGCAATAAAAAGGGCGTCCCGATATGCAAAATTTTTTAGAAAATTTAAGAAATATAAATTTTTTGCCAAATATGCAAATTTTTCACATACTTCCAGAAGTCCTAGGAAAAAAGTGTGAATATGAAAGTTGCTTAGAATTGTCCATTCTATAACACAGAGAAGGTCCGGAGGGAATCCAACCTCTCGTGGCTGAGATCCTGGAAATGCGGGAAAGCTACAGTACACTTACAGTAGGCCAATAATCAAAAATTTTTTTTCTGAAATTTAGTACTCGCGGTTAGGGTAACACATGGTTAGTGTTTCATGGCTCTACTGCGACATCCTGTTTCATGTGCACAAGGCAAATCTGAAAGCTTGAGTCTCTCGGAAAACTTGTTTTAAATGTTTTAGGTTGTGTATTAGGGTTTCCCGAATATGCACCAAGTTGAATGCGCCCTTTTTGCATGTTTCTGTGACTCGAATGAACCTCGGTATTTAACTCTTATTTTAATGGTATTCGTGTACAATATAAGTTTTTTTACGTTGGTTATTCAAAGTCTAGAAAAGGAAAAAGCGAATCCGAATCATTTGTAATCATACGGAATTTTTATCTTGAATAATATAATAAATGAGAAACCTAGAGCTTGTTTTCCTATATTGTTTGCGGAAAAAACAATCTTTGGTCAAAAACAATCTCAAGTTTATTGTTCTCGATTAGCTATTTCGAAACGCGTTTTCTGTTTAAGACACTTTTTGATTACTAGTTATCGCATTCAACTTTGGTCGAAACCCTCTTTGTGTATTGTATGTTGAGAGGAGACTCTTTGCTAGCTAGCGATTAAGTAGATTCGCGAAAATCTTGTCAAATAAACAAAAAATGAAGATTTAGACGAGACGATCGTCAGTTGCGGGGGTTTTTGTTAAATTGCTTCATTTTCTGACCAATTTCTTCGTAAAGTTGCACACTTTTCGGAGATTGATGGAAGTCTGATTACTCTTCCCTTTACCTTCGTCGTTCCGTCAAGTGACCTCATTAGTTCGCGATCATCTTTTGACGTTTTTTCTCTGTTCTCCGTCAGATGACTGCTATGATGAGAGTGGTCATCGTTTATTTATTTTCTTGTTTATTGAGGTTGAAGATGGTATTCGGTCGTCCCATTACATATGTATAATTTAGTGGACTAATTTTGATTAAAGTCGGCAAGCCAAAAATCAGCATCATATGATTCTAATCGCGACGGGTATTTCTTTTGTTCTTATAAAGCGAGAGATCCCAGAGGAATGGCTTTACTTGAGACCAAAGCACATCCAGCATATCTTTTTTGGCGGATATAATTTGAGAAAAGAACATCTATCCTTGTCGTATATAAATGGAATCAATGCTTCACTTATTTGGAGCTCCTATCTGCAAGCCTGTCAGCTGCATTTATTCTATCACCAATTGATAAAAATACCACTGACCCGCCATTTTGTCCTTCAGCTGTTTGTCGGACTATTTTGAAATTTTATAGATCTTGCCTGAGGGGTTAGACGAAATTTCAGAGCGAATTAAACCAATTAGCTGTACCTTTTCTGAAGGAATTACGTTGACTGTTTTGGGGTAAAACTGTAACTTTTGTAGAAGGTGTTTCGTTTTTTTACTTCTGAATTCCCTTAGAAAGTAAGGAGCATGGCTGGTCACATTACTTGTCCTGCTTTTTATGAAACATGTGATCGGATTCTACGGACATGACAGTCTGAATCTGATAGTGAGTGGCCGGTTCTTTGTGTGCTGTTTTTTGAAATGCCTCAGGGCTTTTCTTAGGATTTGAAGAGATTCGCTTTATGTTCATAGATATTTTGACTTGTCTCAAATCCGATGGAAATCCGGTAGATTCATGTGTTCGCAATCATAACCAGTACAAACCAGAAGACGTTTTTCAATTCTTCACATGAAATTCAGATGGAGAATCATGGTTGTAATTTGTTATCTGCGAAGGTTATTTTCTCGGAAAGTGGGGCTAACAATAAATAGAGACCTTAGTTGTCTGCACTGTGAACCCATACAGATGCTTCGATTTCCGTCAAATGATTTGTTTGTTTTAGTTTTTCGAATTATATTATAATAAGGAGCGCGCAGCAAAAAATTATATAATAAACCCCCAACTTCCAGAAGTGCGTACTTTAAAAATGGCGGATATCAGGTCCAGAAAAATCAAAATTTCAGGCAAATCGGCGGAGTCTCCGCGGAGAAATCCAAAGAAAAAGGCCGGCAGCTTCGAGTGGCCCACCCTGTATAATATACCATTCGTGACAATTTATGATAAAGAACCTTGACCAGTTGATCTTCAACTTTACATTTTCAGTTTTCAGTCGAGTTGGACTTGGCCTTTTTGTACAAAATAATATAAAACAAGCAGTAATTTATAACACAACATGTCTTTCTTCGATCGTCAGCCAGCTTTATTCGACTCCAAGAAGCGTCTAGGCAATACGGGTTCGACCTCTGCATCAAATGTGAATAATGGAAACGGAAACGGGACTCCTTCCATCTCCTCCGTCTTCGGATCACCTCTCCAACAACAGCCTTCCAACGATGAAATTGACAGTCAGGCTGGTAAGTTGGGGTGCCTGGGGCGAATTCAATAAAATATTTTTTTTATGAAAGAAAGGGTGTTTTAGAATCCTGGGTGGAATTGGCGCCATCAAGAGCTTCGATTTGCAGTAGTGTCGAGGCGATCATGGTAGACCGAGATGGCACCGAACAGAGTGGAGCCAAGATGTCGCGTGCTAGGTACGATCTCTGATTTTTCGTTTTAATCTAGGAATAGTTCCGACTTACCAATATTATTTTAGTCCGGTCAGTTTCCAAAGTCCTCATGTTGAATTCGAAACAAATTTGGAACAAGTGAAGAACAAGTTGGTGAAAGACATGTTACCTCCTGGAAAGAACACAGACTGGATCTGGGATTGGTCATCTCGGCCTGAAACTCTCTTTGCACAGAGAAACATCAGAAATCGAGGGAATGGAGAGTCCACTCTTACCACACCCCCCAATTCCCCTGAACCCAGTGAATATGATTTTGGAGGGAAGAAGGCTTGGCCATTGTGGCGTTTCGAAGTGATCGTCAGTTTGGTGGTCTCCAATCTGATGACTTTTGTTCTTGGTGCTACAGTTGGGTAAGAATCCTCCAAACTTCTAGTGTAATATCGACTTAATATTACCTTACCCCTATCGTTGTTTTTTTAGATTCTGCCTTTGTAAGAAGCTGGCCAAGAATCGCGACACCTTTTACTGATGCCCTTCTTGTACTAACGTTATCATCGTTTAAACAAGTCCATCAAAAAGAGATGTTCATTCCAATGTTCATCGCAATCGGAATATGCAGATTATTTGTAAATTCATAAATTCCACGTCTTATTTCGAAGTAATTCAAGAGTTTTAGTCGCGCGGGCGCTTTTTGTAAATTATCTGAAAAGAAGACATCTCTTTGCAGTATAATATTGATAGATCGACGTTGATATCATGTCTACGGTTTACTAAGGGAAAGTCATCACATTTACAGTCATCGTATTTTGAAAACGTTCCAATGGCTACTCTTGTAGTTAAAGTTTCAATTTTGGATATTTAGGGACATTTTTTCGATCCTTTTCTTCCTTTGCCCGCTTTTTTGTATGTAGTACTTTATTTACTCATTTTTTAACAGCCTTGTTGCTGCGCTGCAACCCTTGTAACTCTGTTCGTCCTTTTGTAAATACATTCCTCTATATGTTTATAAGTGCTTTGTAATCTATTACCCGTACATTACAACTGCTGTTGTAAATTCATTGGGTCGAATCTTAGGGAGAAGAGTGTTAACTGAACTACGTGTTATAACCCTTACAATTGTACATATATCTGGTTGAAATAAACTATGCAAACGAGAAAGGGTGATGTAAATTACAGTACTGACAGAAACAGAAAGATGGGGGAGATTCCTAATAATATACTTTCAAATACTTTTTTTCGGTTTATACTAGTCGCGACATAAAGTCCTGACACATTTGCACAGTGCATTTTGTTTTTCTTTCGGACCCGTCGCGGCAATTCCCCGTTTTTGCACTAGCGACATGCACTTTCGCGCGAACTTGCCACTTTTCTCGCGCGACACCCGCGACAAAATGTGTCAGGACTTTATGTCGCGACTAGTAACACGAAGAACAAATTTCCATATACCCCGCCGTGAACAGGTGATCCGAGTTCTTTCATTGCCTCGTGCACACTTTTTGATGGCTTCCGGTTGACACTTTCTCAACCTGTGTTTATTATTTTTAAGGTCGGATCAAAGGGTTTTGACGGGTTCTTGCCGCAAGTCGTCCCTTCGGCCTGCAAATGTTCACGCCACATTCTTGCAGCATTAGTGTCTAACTAATTGCTTCGTTTTTGAGTCTAAAAAGTTTTAGCGAATTATGTGTAGGGCATATCTTATTTATGCATGTCCTGATGATACGAAGATTGTGACGTTTAGTAATCGAATTCAGGTCAATCTTTTTTGTGATCAACATAGCTCTGAAAGGAAATTTCAGGTGATTCCGGAGAGTTTCAAATCAAATCATGTTTCTAGTGTATAAAAACAAAATAAAAACTTCTACTTTTTATTTGCGATTGTAGTGGTAGATATTACATACTTCACCTCAAATATATTCAGTTTATTATTTTCAGCGTTCACATCTTTAAACTGTTTTAAAAAATTTTGAAGGCCAACCAATATTTCCGACTCCCAATTTGACAATTTACTCGAGCCTCGAGGGTCCAAACATAAGCCCTTCTGAAGTGGTGGAAACATGTTTATTCGGGGAAAAATAAATTTTATTTTTTCTCTGCAATTCTCCTTTGTGTCGGCCTAATCCAGGAATGTCTCCCCAGTCCAGTTACTTCATTTTTGTTCTATATTTTATTTTTTTAATAGTTGTTTCGAAATGCATTTTGGCTTGGAATTAATACGGGGAAAAGGGCACGTTATACAACACTTTTTTTTATTCTGGATTCTTCTTACAGTATGTTTTTGTTTTTTTCTTTTTATGACTTTCTAATTTTGAGTCCCAGGCCTTTTGCCAAACATTAACGAACGCAATAAACAAAACTTTGGCGGAAATTCTGATTTTCTTAAATGAAATTTGAAGGCACCAAGAAATGTGGGCCGTTTTTATTTATACTGCACGTCAAAAGTTTGGAACAGGCCAGATCTTCTTTGCGGCTTGAGATGGGAGTTTCATTTCTTTTTTATTAGAAGCTCCATGTATTAGGAACCTCAATGAATACATAGCCATGGAAATCAGAAAGCTCGTTGGAGTTTTAAAAAAAATTTTAAAAAATAAGTGCGTCAAAAGTTTGGAACAGCTTTTGGAAGGTGATTATAAACTTCGGGATGGAGGCAGGTATCTTCGCATTTAGTGTTTCTGGATGATGTATGGAATCGGCATGCCAATGGCATACTGATTTTCACCGATAAACCCAAAATGAAAAAAATGCTTATTGAGCCAAAAACTACGGTCAAATTTGCGAAAAAATGAATTTTTTGGTTTGGGTTCTATATGTTATCGGTGTGTAAACGTTCTAAATTATTTAATGTGGTCGCACAATTGTACAAGGGCACTCAGATCTTCGCATGGGAACCATATCCGCACAGCATAATTTATGAAAAACTTGAGTTTTGCTATGAATCTTTATTTAATGTATTTTATATTTTTTATAGAGCGGCTTGGAGGCTAATTGGCTTTAACACCGTTATCGTGGAATAAAAAGGTGTCTTCAAGAAACAAAAACCCACGCTACTTGCAACATCCAAGGCCACATCTTTCAGATATTAAAAAAAATTTTGTCCCCAAAGTCAATATTCATATCGGACCCGGATTTGTGGCGTGATAATTCGGAGAGTTGGTTTATAATACTGTATCGGTGTGATAACGATAAAGGCACTTAGTTTTAAGCCATGCAGCGGCTTCAAATCCGAGGTAAAAAATATGGGAATATTAACATTTCATATACCCGCTATTTTTAAAGATGTGGCCTTGATGTTGCAAATAGTGGCCAGGTTCTGATTCTTGAAGACACCTTTTTATTCCACGATAACGGCGTTAAAGCCAATTAGCCTCCAAGCCGCTCTATAAAAAATATAAAATACATTAAATAAAGATTTATAGCAAAACTCAAATTTTTCATAAATTATGCTGTGCGGATATGGCTCCCATGCGAAGATATGAGTGCCCTTGTACAATTGTGCGACCACATTAAAGGACCAGAAAAGGTATTTTTTGAACCGATTTTTTTATCGGCGTAATCAGGCAATTTCGTGGCGGGACCATCAAGGTATGTATGTGTTCTCGATTTTTAGAATGGAGAATAAACTTCTCCAGTGGATTTCAAATGGCCGATTGGCCCAGAAACCTTGATATACGTGCTGAATAAGATGTGCAGTCTCAGGAATTCTATGGAAAATCCTCATATAAGTGCGAAAATGATGTTGTACTTCATGAATTTTCAATTTTAGGTATCTCTTTCCATCGATTTACTCTGAACAAGGCGTCAAGTGCCTTGACGAATTCAAACACTATTAATAGAGCATAATAACAAGATTTATTGCTTATTGAGGTTAGATTATTAAGGTTAGATTGAAATATTGATGGAAAAAAGAATCAACGATCGTGAGGCGATAATTGTCCGTAGTGATGGCTGTGGTTCTAGTCTCCAGCATCGTAGTCTTTTCCCGACATACCAGGAACCTGAAATAAAATGAATACAAACAATCTATTGCCAAAAAGTTCAAGATTATTACCCAAAAAGCAAGTTTTAGCCAAAATTTTGATATTATCCATGGCAAAAGTGCATACTTCTGATAAAAACGGAGTAAAAACATGCTCTGTTCTGTAAAACGTGCATCAATGCCTGGACTACTCCATACAGTTCTTAACTAAAGCTCGGGCCCTAATTTCACTGATAAAAATTATATTATCCATGATCCCGGTCTAAAAAACAAACAAAAAATGTAAAACTCTCACCTGTTCACCACGTTTCCCTCGACCATACCCTTCCACAGGTCCCGGATGCACAATCTAATCGATTCTAATTGTCCAATCTTTATTGCTCATGGAGAGATACCTAAAAAAGTAACTGAAGGGCAAAAAAACAACTTACATGAACGGTTTTGATGTTTTTCATCGAGTTCCTGGAATGACCCAGCTCATTCAACATGTGAAGCAATGTTTTTGGGCCAATCAGCCATTAAAAATTCACAGGAGAAGTTTATTCTCCATTCTAAAAATCGAGAACACATACATACCTTGATGGTCCCGCCACGAAATTGCCTGATTACGCCGATAAAAAAATCGGTTCAAAAAATACCTTTTCTGGTCCTTTAAATAATTTAGAACGTTTACACACCGATAACATAGAGAACCCAAACCAAAAAATTCATTTTTTCGCAAATTTGACCGTAGTTTTTGGCTCAATAAGCATTTTTTTCATTTTGGGTTTATCGGTGAAAATCAGTATGCCATTGGCATGCCGATTCCATACATCATCCAGAAACACTAAATGCGAGGATACCTGCCTCCATCCCGAAGTTTATAATCACCTTCCAAAAGCTGTTCCAAACTTTTGACGCACTTATTTTTTAAAATTTTTTTTAAAACTCCAACGAGCTTTCTGATTTCCATGGCTATGTATTCATTGAGGTTCCTAATACATGGAGCTTCTAATAAAAAAGAAATGAAACTCATATCTCAAGCCGCAAAGAAGATCTGGCCTGTTCCAAACTTTTGACGTGCAGTATACATTGTTTCCCCTTTATCTGGGATAATATTACTTGCCAATTGATCAGATAGTTAATGTTTCAGACCATAAATTTTTCGGAAAGTAAAATTTTTGACGTTCCAAAAATAATAGTTGCATTTATAAATATAAAAATAAAACAAAACACTGTGTACATCCTTTTGTCCGTCTAATATCAATGGGGAATTGACATTTGACCTTTTGAGCGGTCAAATAAAACAATGGCCCTTAGGGCATGGGGCAAGAGCGGGGTTATACAAGAGATGGAAACATATATATCTCGTGTCTTATTTATATAATTATGCAAATTTAATGGTTCTTAAAAAGACAGTTTCGAAGGCCAGTTGCATTTTTTATGTCATCCGAATGTTATTCAGTTTAATGCTGGTGGTTTAAAGAGGTTATTTTGATAAAAATAATGAAAAAAATTCATGAAACATTTTGAAGACGCTCTTCACTAAAACGTAAAAAATTCAGACCGTCGACCATTCACACAGAGATGAGATATCAGGGCGCTGCAAAGTGTAAGAGTTTGGCCGCCTTTGCAAATCTGTAGTCTTGTGTAGTGAGCGGTCATCTGGTTTGCTACTTTTTACATTTTATTACATAATCGATTAAACGCCCATTTTTACGCTGACATTACCAAAAGACGGATATAAGATGGATGTCTAGCATCCCGTTAAATTCAATTTTATGTTCGCCATTACCACAACTGCAAACTTTTTAATGGCTGCAAAGTTTAGTCACTTTTTATTGTTATTTGGTATCCTATGATGACATTTTTAACAACATTTCCTGGTTACTACCTATTTCCGATTTCTTTGAGTGAAATATTTGGACTTTTTCGAAAGTCTGCTTCTCGATCCGAGTGAAAATCCCTCAGAACAAAGTCAAATGAGAGTGAAAAAGCTTTATTGGCCTGACCAAGAAAATCCCCAAACCAACTGCCTCCGGACAAAACTGATTTTAAATCCGATCAAGGATTCGTTTTTAATCTTTTCCCCCTGAAATTAATGAAATTTATGAGGTCATATTGATATATATAAGCTACCTGTTTATATTGATAGGACAAACAAATTGTATCTTAGATTTGCCATTTTTAATAAAAAAGAGCTAACTGTAAACTGAAGTACAAATAGCGTGAAAAAAAAGTTATAATATTAATTTTGGATAATGCCCTTGCCTTGCAGTTATCTGCTCTCTGTTGCCTCCTTCCACTTTAACTTTCTAATCTCCTACCACATAAACTGATCATTAAACCCGTGAATAAATGGCCACTTTGGCGCTATTTTTTCTTTGGGTTTATGTCCCCATCCTCGCCTGGGCCAAGTTGTTTTCCGAAGAGAAAAGATTGATTACATATTACCGTGTTCATCTTGGTCATACAACATTTTTAATGCTATTTCTACGTTGGCAGAGCGTTCTTTCTTACAAAGTTCGCTTATCTTCTTGCCTTTGCATTAATTTTTCCCAATATTACCACCATTTTACGATTACATTTCAGATATATGCAAAGGCTCGGCTTGATGGTCAATTTGATGGCCACAGAGTGGTCTAGAGAGACAAAGCCCATCCGTTTACTAAGGGCTGATTAGCTAAAAGTGGAGAAACACAAATTGTGTGTCACTCAACATGAAGTACACCTGGTTGTTATTGAGTTCACTTATCTGGAGGTTGGTCAGAGCGGGTAAAGACTGGACAAACTCCGGCTATCCGGACATTCGAGGACCCACTTATGGGATGTGTAATGTGAATATCAGCTCTACGCAGATCCTCTATCTCTGTGATCCTGATAACATTGTGCCACCTCCGGACCGTAAGTCTATTTTAGTCACGTATTAAATTATATTTGATTGGAGGTATCAAATTGAATTCGATGATGGAGAAACTGGCTGTAGAGACACCGTGCCCCTGCCAACGACGTTCCCAATGTTCTTCGGGTAGCAATCGTATTACCTCTTTTCACGGGTTTATTGTGTCTATAGCTCTTGTCAACAACCTTCAAATGAATTTCCACAGTCCATCCGAACAGTAAGTTAATTTAAAAGTATTTCTAAATCTTTTTCAGACAATTGACTGACCGTGCCGGCTCTTTTTGTAAGACTTTGGAAGGGCGATGGGCCTTAGGGGATTGTGGGAATTCCGTCTTAATCTTTGTTTGGCAACATTACAAAAAAGTAAGTAAAAAAAGCAGTGTGGATTAACAATTACAGTTAATAATTTGGCCTGCTCGTCTGGCCGAGAGATATGTCACTTTGGAGGAGCGAAAAAGGATAATAAGTAATGTAAATGACTTGATTCAGACGGATCGATGGGCCGAGGCTCTCGAAACTGTAGTGTGTAAGTGAACTATCACGATTATTAGAGTCAACAATATAATTTTAGCTGACATTGAAAAGGAGCTTAAAGGAGAGCCAGAGGATCGGGTGGATACCGGAACTCTTTCCTTGATCATCGCTGTGGGAGTAGCCAGTCTCTTGACAATACTGATTACTTGTAAGTTACCTGAATCTATAAGCTACCGTCTAGGCTGCGTTTGTGCATTCCGATGTTGTGGAAATCTGACTCCAGAAGACGATACAAAATCTCTCAGTCACAATGACAGTAGTTTCGCCTCTTCTCTGAACCAAGTAAGCTCTATAATATCAGGGTAATCGTAGTTTAGAAGCCATTTGTCCGCAACAACTTTGTACGCCGTTCAGAAAGCCGATCACCCAAATTTCCGCTTCGAAGTGCAACTTTATCGCTGGAGCCGGCGCCGCTCAATTACATCCTCGAATCCGACACCACAGTGGTGTAAACTGTATAGCTTCTAAATAAATGTTTCCAGCTAGATTGTTCGTTTATGTCATTCCCAAGTAAACCCTGAATGGTTGGCATTACACAACAACCGTTTCCAATCTCCGTTTCACAGTGCAATTCCGAATTCTGCCATTCTGGCTGCACTGTGCGTTAAAAACACGTTTTTCCTAACAATAAGACTCGAGGCCATACCTGGAAGTCATTTTTTAAACTAGTCATTGCGGTTCGAATAGGCCTAAAAATTCCGAAACTTGATTCGACACGGTTGCAAACATTTTTTTTTAAAACTAAACTTGGTTGGCACTCCCCTCAGTAATCCCTTTTTTATGCGTTGTTTTATAAATCGTGTGACTATGAATAACTTAATAAAGACTAGTCTATAGTTTCAATCTTTTCATGGCAACTGCGCATCATTTGTGGATGTTTTCGTCCTAGAGCCGGAACAACGAACGCCAATTTTCTGGCATTGCGTCTTAAGCAAAAATAATTCCTCCATAGTTTTGCAAAGCCAAGTTTTACGTTGGAAATTTTTTATAATTAGTCTGCGAGGGAGAAGACTATGAAGAGGCATTACGATGAACCAAATCCTTTCTTACCAGACATCAAGAGGACCATGGAGAAAGTTCCGGATGCCGGCCAGAAACAGATTGTGCGGTATGTTTTCGTTCTGAACAGTGAGTACCTATTCTTCGAAGTGTCTATTTATCTTCTATTTCAAGGTTCAAGCGCAATTTTGTATCTTTGGATGCGTATACTAGGCACAAAATGATGGTAAACACATACTTGCTCAATGTAAAAGGAGCAACAAATACATTACAAAGAGATAGTTCGAAAGACAAAGGAGTGTACGATGTCGTAAAGGTAGTTATTTCAATGTTTATTTTGGAATTTAGCTGTCATGCAAGTTGTAATTTCCTACTTCTGCAGGAAAATCATCGGTTTCTCTGGGGCGATGAAGATCTCACTGATGTGGCTAAAAACTGGGACAAACAGCTGGCAAAGAGGTACTACGACAAGTTGTACAAGGAGTACTGCATCGCTGATCTCTCCAAATTTGAGAAGAATAAGATTGGGCTTCGATGGAGAACAGAGAAGGAAGTTGTTAATGGGAAAGGTCAATTTGAATGTGGTGGGAAACACTGCGAGAAGAAAAAGAAGTTAACGAGCTGGGAGGTTAATTTTGCCTATGAGGAACATGGAGAGAAGAAGAATGCATTGGTCAAGGTCAGGTTGTGCCCAGAATGCTCTCTGAAATTGAATTTCTTTTCTAAAAAAAAGAAGATTAAGAAAGAAAAGGAGAAACGGAAGAAGAAGCACAAGAAGAGGAGGCGAGAATCTTCATCAGAGTCAACTTCAGAAGCCGAAGAACCAAGTTCGAGCCAAGCGAAAATAAAAGAAGAGGTTGATGACATCAGGAAAGGAGAACATCAAAATAAGAAAGTCGACGACGAAGCCGAAGAGATCTGGTCGAAGCCGGTGTCTGTAAATGAAGAAGAGCCGAGTGTGGAGGATGACATGGAAAGCTTCTTCGATGATTTGTTGTTATAAACTTGTTGCGTTTGATTGTAAATATTGTTGAATATACTGAAATTGTAATAATTTTTTGGTTTGTTTAGTGTCGAGAAGGAACCCGTCTGAGTTGTTTCTGACCATACTATAGTCGAAACTACTGAAAAGCCAATTCCGATTCGATTAAAACCCGAGGCAAAGAAAACCTTTGAACCCTGCAAAAGAAGACAATGAATGTACGGGATCGTTTTTTGCTTTTTTGGGTTTGACTCTCGAAGTGAAGGAATAAATGCGAGCTTTCTGAACCTTTTTCGAATAACCTGTAGTTTCTGCGGGGTCAGACTTCCAAATCTGAAATTTAGACTCTTTCCGGATTTCTTTTTTGGTCCATTCGTTTCCTAACTTTTCGTTTATCTGCTGGGAAAACGGGTTCATCTCTGCTAAAAGTCATGGAGTACGATAAAAGAGAAGGATGAGGTCGTAGTCTGTTAGCCAGGGACTCAACGTCGGTGTTCGCTTGGATCTTGTCCGTGTAATCGATCACAAACAAACGAGCGTCAGTCCTTAATAAGACTTTTTTTCTAGTGAGTATTTGTAATTCGAAGTGTCTTCCATGCAGATATGTAAAGTTACTAAGTATGTGACATAACTTTTTTTTTTGATTTTGATGATTCTGTGTTTCTTAATACATGAACTGAGAAATGCGACTTGTTATTGCAGTCACAAGGACATCGGAATACGGCTGAGTCACGGCTTCTTTTATGCGTCAGCTCTTGCTCTTAAGAGTATTTGCGCTTCATATTCCCGTTTTACAATTTGGGGATCCTTGATCTAGTTCGGGTTTAGTGGTAGTCAATGTTGGGTTACCTTGTCAGTCCTGTCGGATCATAATCTATGTCGGTTGTTTACACTTTCAATTGGATGTAAGATTACGTATTGGATTAATACATTAGAGATGCGGTAACATATTAAAACTCCATTTTTTAGAGTATCAAAGAGTACTGTACCTTGTAATGCGAGTAGATTAATCGGGATTGTCGGTTTCAACGCCGAGAGAAATATTTAGGCGGATTTAAGGCCCATTATAATTGTAATGCTATTTGGCAGCACGAACTAATCTGTGAACATAAATGTTGTAATTACCATAATCCACAACTTGTAATCGTTTTTGTCCTGAGACTGCCCTTGTCCTACTTTTATGCTCAATTTTGTTTTTCATTAGATTTTACATCTTAATGCTTTAGAATGCACTTCTCAAATTAATCACCTTGCATTTCCATCGTTCTTTCATGCGTATAATTTGTGTTTGTGGATGTCAGATCTATTCTCGTACATCTTGTGCTCTTATAGGGAGATTGATTTGTCTGGGAATTCCGAATAAACGCATCTTTTTAATTTTTATGGTTCTTGATTTGCATTTCTCTTCTTTTTGACTGTAATTTATGAGACGATATACTGTTAGCAACTGATATATAGATTTATTGTTAGATGTCAAACATGAACCCTTTATTTTTCATATTCCAGTAGATTTGTAAGCCCTTTCTGTTTACAGCGCACTTAAGATGGAATATTTTTATTCTGAGACCTACGATGTGTGATATATTAAAGATTACTGTGCACAAACACGGGGCGCCAGCACAAACTCCATCACGAGTCCGAGGTTCCTCTCGTAAAAACAAACAATTACTTTCCGATCTCCTCTTAGACTGTCCACATCTATTGGTTTTAATTTTTCAGATGATTTGTAGGATAGTATTTTTACAATGACAGACATCACTGCTCCGGGAGACACTTTTTCAGTCCAACTATTAACATTTTTCTAAACTTTCACCGCGGCATTTTTGATCACTGATGTTGTAGATACTGCTACAAATGTATCTAAATGTATTCTCATATTCATCGGACATAATACACGCATAGTAATCCTATCGACCCCTTGTAAAAGGAATAATTAAAAGATTGGTCTTGAATCTGTTGATGTTCAAAGTATGGAGTGGATTTGTTGTTTGAAGGTGCAGTCTCTCTTTGCAGAACTTTTCAAAAACAATGGTATATTCCAACGTAATTATAAATATGATGTCATTCGAACTGTAATGACGTCTGATTTCCCACAAAGAAAGAGGGTAGGGTTTGTTTATTTGCAAAATGTGTATTTTGAAGGGTCTGGACTACTGTAATTTGATAAACAATCCCATCAAAACTTTCCTTTTGCTGGTTGAACCTTTCATTAGTTTATAACAGAGAAACGAGTACTTTTCTGTCTTATGAGATGTCTATGTGAATACCAGGCTTCATTCTTTCGAAAAAATAAACCAGACGTTTGTTTTCGGAAAGTGGAACAGCGAGCATGGATATTGTGCGAGATGAAGAGTGTATGCACCCTTCCTTATTTATTGCCTAAGGCTTCCAATTCGTAGCTTTTACGGACCCTGATCCCAACACTTTTTGGCGGTTTCTGTCTACTTTATCAATCATCTGTCGTCTTTCCTAGAATTTGTAGTTTTCGATTATAAATGCATAAAGAAGCATAAATATCTGCACACGTCTTTGTCGATTATTCATGACCTTTGGTTTCGACATTTTTTGAAGGCAAAGTGATGCTGCTTTAGCTATTTGAAGGCATGGAAAGGATCCACGTTTGTCATACTATCACGAAATACTTCAAGTATCTTTAAACAGGGGATATCCGGTCCTGTGTCGTTAATCTTCTCTTGTAACATTTGGGAACATTCTTAAAGCCATGTCCGGCACAAAATACAACAATTGGTTCTGCTCAGTTTATGTAGTTTAATATGGTATTTTTATTGGGGAAAGGGCTGTACTTTGATAACACCTCTGTTTATGTATGTTATTTGGAGGGAGATAATCGTGATATTTGAATGAATTACATTGTTTGACGCCACAAACAAGGAAGACAAATCTAATGGAAATTTGTGTTTTGTATCCGCTTTCAAATTAGAGGACTGTTCTTACCGTGAACTTTTTAGGAAGTTCTCCTTTGTATTTCACTTTTATTTTTGATATTTTTTCGTATTTTTTACCCTTGCCCGACTAGACATTGTTATCTTTGTTTTGCAAAATGAACTTGACGAATCCACAAATTCTTTTGCAAGTAATTACTGTACAGTGTTATTTCTGGGAGTTTGTAAAAGTCCAAGCAATTTGGGAGAGTTGTTTTGGACTCGACAAAAAGAGTTCATTGGAGATCTCTTGTCCTTTGTCGAGAATTCGAGGGTTCTCAGGGATTACGTGGAAAGTGTGTCTGTCGTTTCCTTTCTTTTGCAATTATAAAATAGGAACTTGCAAAATTAAAGGATAAGTGCAAAGGTTTAGGTTGCGTAACAAAATGTTATTCATAATTGTGGAGGAACTGAAAAACTTAAAATGTAATAAAAAACACGTCACTGTAAACTTTCCACATGTCTTTTACATTACAAATTCAAAAATGTATTTTGTTTAATTGGCTCTTTTTAAGTCATCAGACTGTAAATTTTTATGCGTTTTTACAAACAAAAAGTCCTTTTACATCAATGGAATTTGAATATTTTAAAGTTTGCCGACGGCATTTGGTCTTTTTTCAAGTATATTTGGAGGATTCAGAAGGAGTAAGAGCATTAAATGGCTGGTGTTGTATTATAGTTTAGGATTAAAGTCCAAAGATTTCTGGTGGATTCGTGTGAGCCTTCAAACTGAGTTTGTGTTGTTGTGTCCACCTTGTTCGCAACTATAATTAATTTAATTTTATCTCCCTTTATAAATTAATTTCATTTTACGCTCAGTGCCCTTAACATTGGAATTTTGACCTTACAAGGGAATGGACTTTATGTGTAAATCGATTTTGACTTGGGACATAGTCAGATCGAAAGGTGTGTGGTAGTCGATTATTCACTTGGGGGGAAATCTCTGCGCGGGGCTTCAAAGCCGAGAAAATCGGCTTCAAAGTTTGGACGAAAATCAAAGGAAAAGGATAGGGATCCCGGAAAAGGAGCCATAAAAAGTGTGAAGCAGTGGCCGAGTGGTCAGTGCGCTCGCTTTTTGCGCAAAAGGTCGCAAGTTCGAATCTGCTTCCATTCATAACTTTTTTAAACAAAAACTTCTATTAATTTTTTCCCCTTGAACTCGATTATCGATGCAAGAAGTATATTTTAAACGGAACCTTTCCATTTTCAACGGCTTTGCACCTTCCCTTTACAGTTTTAGACCGCAGAGCACAACATCAACCTGATGTATTCAAAAACAACTTTCCACTTTTTTAAATGTACAGCCGGATTAGCACGAAGAAAGCAGAAGTAAAAAACGATAATAATGATTTGAGCTTGGAAACACTCGAACCTGCAACCTTTTACGCAAAAAGCGAGCGCACTTACCACTCGGCCACTGCTTCACACTCTTTATAGCGCCTTTTCCGGGATCCCTATCCTTCGATTTTCGTCTAAACTTTGAAGCCGATTTTCTCGGCTTTGAAGCCGAGATTTGGTCGTGTTAATGATACTAAGAAAAGAGTACTATTCTGATAAGACATCATTGTACTTATAGTTTGAGCAGCTTAAAAAAAGATATAGTTTTAAAACGGAGACAAAATAAAAATTTCTAAACACTTTACAATCTTGCCTTTGGATCCTTCAAATTAAAATATTTGGCGACAAGATTTGAACTTAGAGCTGATACGTGCTGCAAAAAGTAGCAGTTGTACTTACAAAGTTTGGTTGACATTCGTTTTGTTTGTTTAATTGCAGAACGGTTTGTGGACCGCGAAAGCAAAAAATCTAGAATTTTGTGCTGTGATTTTGTGTGTCGTAATTGTTTCGTTTCGAAAGTAGGCGCTGCTCTGAAATTGTAGGTTCCTTTTTGTAATTCTCATAATATTGGTCCAGCCGTGCTCTATGTGCAACGGGCGCTACGACATTTCGGGTCAGGGACAACTCGGGTCGCGACAACTCGGGTCAACGACAACTCGGGTCAACGACAACTCGGGTCAACGACACTTCGGGTCAACGACACCTCGGGTCAACGACATTTCGGGTCAACGATACCGTTTAATATTTTCGCTTCGGGACTTGGAAAAAAGAATTTTTTGGTGAATTTAAAAAATTTTTCAAATGTTTTCGCTTCGGGACTTGGAAAAAAAGGATTTTTTGTGAAATTTGAATAAAATTTGAAATGTTTTCGCTTCGGGACTTTTAACAAAAGGATTTTTTGTGAAAATTGAAAAAAATTTGAAAGGTTTTCGAGCTGTCTGAGTATGAACTGACTGAATATGAAAACTGGGTTTCTGTTACCTTACTGCCTTTAGGGATTCTTTTTGAAAATTTTTCGACTTATAGCACTTTTAGACGTTAATGGTGTTGTTTTGGTGCCTAGTACTGCTTAAAAAACACATTTTTAACACTTGGTACTATTTAGTACGAGGTGCAAATTTGGCCGCAAGGCGGTAATGGCGTTGGTTTGGTGCTTAGTAGAACCCAAAAACACGTTTTAACATTTGGTACTATATAGTACCAGGTGGTACCATTGGTTTTAGACAAAATTTTAGTGCTGCCGGCACCACAGTTAATATTCAGTCAGACACCCTTTTTTCTACTTCCGATGCGAAAACATTTCAAAATTTTGTTGAATTTTCCAAAAAATCTTTTTTTCCCAGTCCCGAAGCGAAAATATTAAACGGTATCGTTGACCCGAAATGTCGTTGACCCGAAGTGTCGTTGACCCGAGTTGTCGTTGACCCGAGTTGTCGTTGACCCGAGTTGTCGCGACCCGAGTTGTCCCTGACCCGAAATGTCGGGACGCGGTGCAACGAGCACAAAGATTGGATTGTTGTTCAACCCTCAAGTTACATTTGTACCTGTCAAATGCAGCAAAAAATGAAAAGAATTTAATTGGCTCACACGTATACTGAATAGTACTTAAAGTTCGGGGTAAAGAATGTTCCAAATTTAGAGGGAAAGGCCTTACGGGAAGACAAAGCCACAACTCATACGTTGACGCTGTTCTGTTTGCTCAAAACCAACGTTGAGTCTAATTCGAAACTCAAGAGTATATATTGTAATGGGCACAAAGTATTCAGTACTTGTGCCCGACATTTATATTAAACTTCTGAACCTGCTTTGTCAAAGTTAGACATCCGAATTGCAAATATTGGCTTCCATGAATTGCAGACCTCCTTTCAATGTTTTTTGCTCTCTTCAACTCTACACAAACATCCAATTCACGTGGAGGGACGTGAAATATCATGGGATAATTCTAACATGATATATTTTTATATTTTTTTTATGAGATTTGGATTTTGAGAGCACAAAACGGAAGGGGAACAAAAAATTTCACATTTTTACTACTTTTTGCTCGTTTACGATCGCAAAATGTTGGGATTGAATCACCCTGCCCTTTTCCAATACTTTCTTCAGTTTTCCCTTATGTTATTTATTTGCAGAGTTTTATGATTTCTGGTTTACAAAAAGATGATCTTTGATATCCAACATAAAGGCAACCCCCTTTACGTTAACTTACGAGAGTTTCGGAACGCGGTTGGTGAGGGATTAAATTTACATTAACATTTTATCGGTAATGTAGTGGAATTGAATTTGGGCAGAGTTTAATGGCAGATTAGAATGGTGAAGTCACCACTGTTAAACAAACTAGGCATTACTCGCCTATTCAAGCAAACTTTACTGTAACTTTTTAAAAACACGGCGGCATTTATGCTGCGGGCAAACATCCGGGGTTTCATCTAAATACGTTTAAGGCAAAATTTAAGCGAGCGAATGCAGTGACTTTAGTTCGCAAAGCATACAAAAAATTGCATATTCATATGTTCTTTATGTCCGCAAAGAATCGTTTATATTCGCCAGCGGCTGTACGGCTAGCTGAAAGAGAAATGTCATTCCCAAAATAAATAATTTTTCGCGATGACCGGTCGGTGCTGAAAAGGGTGACGCCATTACTATTTTGCAAAGTAGCAAATTTGGCGTGTAGCAAAGCTTTGGACTGTTTTTATTTCAATTACTATGCATCTATAATAGAAACCGAAATTTCCTCACTTCGTTTACTATGGATTTCTTTACATTGCAAATCAGCTCTAAATTGCATTTTTTATTCCTCCGTTCTGGCCTCAGGCAAGATGGTAAAACTTATTTTAAAAAGAAACCCAGATGTCTGACAGTTAAAACACAATGTATCTCCGACAAGGTTGCTTATTTGGGATAAGACCAGATGACTTGTTGACTGTATATGTATTTACTACAGTGACGAATAAGAATATCAACTGTATTCGGAAAGAGATTAAAAACATCATTTGTAGTCTAGAAGTTGTGTGTTCTCCATATGAAAAGTTCATGTTAGTCTGTCGTCTTTCAGTCAAAACACTCTCATTTTGATCATAATACGTTTCGGCTCTGAATATTTTTCAATCCTATATGATTACAAGCGTTTCTTATTCGAGGAAATACGCAGTTTTCGATATTATCTGTGAATCCTATGGGAATTAAAGCCAGATTAATTTCCTATCAAATGCCACTTGAAACTAAATTAACGTCTGAAATCTGTGAGTGAATATCTGCAGTCCTATGTAATTATTCGCGATGCCATGTTTTTGCTCTCTATTTGTCGGAAATTGAAGGGTTGAGTAGTTCACTTCATGAACATACGTGTAGTGTGTGTCGTGCAAAACCAGGGTTCTTCGAGTAATAGGGTTGTTATGTTTTTTGCTTCATTTCATAGTCTACATTTCATTCGAATTCTACATTCAATACATCTTTTGTAATGTGTTATTGCTAAATCTATGTCACTGTTCTTAGAGTAAGTAATTTCAAATGCGAGCACACAAAGGCTTCATGGAGTTTACTTTGGCTTCATTTTGGTCATAAAACAAAAGTTTTATATTTTGGGTTGGGGCACAATGGTAAGGGCTGTCCTGAACATCACACATAATGTCAATTAATGTTTAATTAACTCTTTGAAATCGCCGTTGATTGAATTATCCTTAAAAATCCCCTTACGAAGGCTATATGTAGTATCCGCTGAAAATCCATAAAAAAATTAAGCCTTCGGGTCCAGAAATTATTCCAAAAATAAATTTGTTTCAAACAAAACATGTTTATGCGAAGGGGTCGGGAAACGAACGCCGAGAAATCTCTCTAGAGAACTCGAAAGCGCCCGAAATTTCAGGAAGAAAGGGTGCATTGAGAGACGAGAGAGGGGACAGAGAGAAAAGACCATCGCGAAAAGTCCGGCGAAGCCGCGAAAAGACCGGGAGAATTGGGCGAAAGGGTATATATAAAGCGAGCGAAAGGGCCTTCCCATTCAGATTCGAAAGAAAATTATATTTATAAACAACTGTAACGCTACTCTACTGTTACTATTACTATAATGGCTTCGTGCAAAGCTATTGGAATTGACCTTGGTACCACCTATTCTTGTGTTGGTGTGTATCAACATGGTAAAGTCGAGATCATTGCCAACGACCAGGGTAACAAGACCACCCCGAGCTACGTCGCCTTCACTGACACTGAACGCCTTATTGGAGAAGCTGCCAAGGACCAAGCCGCCAGAAACCCTGAGAACACAGTCTTTGACGCCAAAAGGCTGATTGGCCGCAAATTCGATGATCCTACCGTGCAGAAGGACATGAAACATTGGCCCTTCAAAGTGATCGAGCGAGGAAACAAGCCTGTCATTGAAGTGGAATTCAAAGGAGAAAAGAAGCAGTTCAGACCAGAAGAAATCTCCTCCATGGTGCTGATCAAGATGAAAGAAACGGCCGAGGCATATCTTGGCCACAGAGTGACTGATGCTGTGGTTACGGTACCCGCTTACTTCAATGATGGACAACGACAGGCTACAAAAGATGCTGGTGCTATCGCTGGCCTCAATGTCCTCAGAATCATCAACGAACCCACAGCTGCGGCCCTTGCTTATGGATTGGACAAGAAGATGAGCAAGGAACAGAACGTCCTCATCTTTGACCTTGGTGGTGGAACGTTCGATGTCTCCGTTCTGAGCATCGCCGACCAACTCTTCGAAGTCTTGTCAACGGCTGGTAATACTCATCTTGGTGGAGAGGACTTTGACGACCGTCTAATGCAACACTTTGTCCAAGAGTTCAAGAGGAAACATGGCCGTGACATCAAGAACAACGCCCGAGCAGTGCGCCGTCTGAGGACTGCTTGTGAACGTGCCAAGAGAACTCTCTCTTCGTCTACCGAAGCTGTTGTTGAAGTGGACTCGCTGTTCGATGGAATTGATTTCAACTCCAGAATCTCTCGTGCCCGCTTCGAAGAACTCTGCGCCGACCTCTTCAGATCTACCTTGGAACCAGTTGAGCAAGCCCTGAGGGATGCCAAACTTGGAAAGTCTGACATCCACGAAGTCGTACTAGTCGGTGGTTCTACCAGGATTCCAAAGATCCAGAAACTTCTGAAGGACTTCTTTTCTGGCAAGGAACTGAATGGATCCATCAACCCCGATGAAGCCGTCGCTTATGGAGCAGCCGTCCAAGCCGCTGTCCTGAGTGGAGTCAAGGACGAATCCGTGAAAGACGTTCTTCTGGTTGATGTAACTCCATTGTCTCTTGGCATTGAGACAGCTGGTGGCGTGATGACAAAGATCGTTGAACGAAACACCAGGATCCCGACGAAAGCATCCCAGACATTCTCCACTTATTCAGACAACCAACCTGGAGTCTCCATCCAAGTCTATGAAGGAGAACGTGCAATGACCAAGGACAACAACAGATTGGGCACCTTCGACCTCATGGGAATTCCTCCAGCTCCAAGAGGTGTTCCTCAGATCGATGTCTCATTTGAGATTGACGCCAATGGAATCTTGAATGTCAGTGCTTCGGAGAAGAGTTCAGGAAAGACGAATAAGATCCAGATCAAGAACGAGAAGGGCCGTCTCTCACAAAGCGAGATCCAGAGAATGTTAGATGAAGCCAAACAATATGAAGAAGAAGATCGTCGTCAACGAGACCGAGTAGACGCCCGCAACCGTTTGGAGGCCTACCTCTTCCAAGTGAAGCAATCTTTGGATGAACATGGTGATCGTCTGGCTCCAGAAGACAAACAAATGGCCAAGGAAACTTGTGATCGTATTCTTCAATGGGTGGAGAGCAACCAGACGGCAGAGAAGGAAGAGTACGAAGATCAGATGAAGGAAGCCCAGAACATTTGCACCAAGATCCTCTCCAAACTCCATCAACAGCCTCAAGGCGGTGCCAGCACTTGTGGCCAACAAAGTGGAGGATTCGGTGGCCAAGCCAGTGGACCTACTGTTGAAGAAGTCGACTAAACAATGATCTCGTCGTATAAGATGTTTTGGCAATATTTTATTAGTTGTATTGTTGTATAGTATTTAAAACATGCTTTATTGTACAAAAATTGTTATCATATATGTATAAATGTAAAGTTTGGAGTTTTATTTGAGTGGATTTATTCTAACGTGATAAAGGTGTTTATTCAGGAAATAATATAGTGGAAGTTTGTATAACTTTAGGGGCTTATAAGGGGAACAAATGTCCTATAAGGATATGTTATATCCTTTTGTATATTAGAGATTTCGCGGATCATTTGCAGTCACAAAAGATCAGCCTCTGGAAAGGAAAACGTTGTATAGGATTACCAAGTAATGTGCTTCGTCATTATCCTAAGATGACAAATCGCATTACTCACCGAAAACAAGTTTTGAGTCATCGACTCGCTTAAAGCGAAGGGCATGATGTTTGGTTTAGATTATTTCGTTTATTCCAGCAACGGTCATTTTAATAGTCCCATTAACCCATTTGCATTCATTACTTTTCACATACATACAGCTATTTCATCCCTAAAAAACTTACACTTTTGATTTCAAAAGTCCAAGTTTTGTCGGGTTGAGCCCACTTGCCCCTTCTTCTTTTTATGAGTGTTTATTATGTCTGAATTCCCAGGAAAAACGTCATTTGCGTGCCGGCATTTCGGGTCTTGCTTCGGATAAATTATAGCTTTTTTCAGAATAAAATTAGTAAAAGCTTTCAAATGAGTGTACGTTGTGTACGCGTGTAGTTTCAAAACAAACTTATTTAAAAAAAACACGACCGTTATCTTTTGTTTATTCAACCTCCAAACAAAAATAGGCATATATTTGGGATGTTTTTGTCGTGCAGTCTATGACTTCATTGTCAGCTTTACTTGCCTTCCCTTTGGAAGTGGAGAGGTCTGTGCGGATAAATAACACCAAAGTACATCTCGTACGTATTCTCTTTGCACTTTACGCTCCTTTATCGGAGTGGAAAAAAATATTTTTTCAAACGCAACAGAACACTCGGGCTGACGGACGGAGAACGCACACCGAGCAAACAAAGCGCACAAAAAGTTATGTCTGGCCAACATTTCTGGGACCAACGCGCACGTTCTCGACCTTTCCAAGATGTCTCATTCGTGTCAAGATGTGTTTATACGCCCTAGTCAAGGTTTTTTTAACTGAAGAACTCATATTACTATATGAGTTCTAATCAGCACTCGAAGATTTCTGCTTTGGCCGATTGATTTCTCCCGATACCCAGAGCAATCTCGGGGCTTTATCTGTCTTCTTTCATATCCGAAAATTGATAGTTATGGTCAGTTTTACGGTCCCATTCCATCTTTCTTTTTCTCATATGACAAGCCCGGAACTTTGATCCCGGGGTCCATCAATTGGACCTTCTCTAGCGCAAGAAGCAGGAATTTTATTTTTTTTTGTGCCCTTCCGTCCCCATCCATCCAATTCCCAAAATTGCGCCGAACTTGTGCACTGGAGGGAAGCGTTGTCTAAAAATGCGCCCCACTTTTTATATTCTAAGAAAAGCCGACGAGTTCATTTCGACCAAAATCTGTGCTGCGATCGCCGTTTTTACAGCGAGTTGAAGGATGATTAAATAAGATTAGGAACGGCAGTGAGGGACGATGGCTTTTTGAATCGGGGCTACGACGTTAAGGAGATCTCAGGGGTTTATATGGGTCGTTTTATGAACCCGTCATGCATGCCCTGCGTTCCTCATATACACATACATACGCAAAGTTGTCTCTTCTGATCTTCATAAAGATAATATTCCCGAGAGCCATCTGTTTTGAATTTTTTGGACCACTAAAAAATTGGGATATTCATGGGGTACTTTGGAAAGGCAGTTTTCGAATGAGGCTAATTTACATAGGGAATGCTCAAATCTAAAGAGACTTTGCCAAGAAGCACGTGGGTTCAGCCCTTTCCATGGGGGTTCAGATGCACCATAAGGGAATGTGAGTGATTACCGGAGTCTTTCGTTGGGTGGAGATCGACCTCCGATAAGAGCTCCTCCTAATTTTAACCTTGATTGAAGTAACCGCTTTCATTGGTCTTTGAATCCTTCATCAGCTTCATGAATCATTCATGTTGGGTCTAATAACACCTTTCCTTCGACTTCCGGCCCTGAGGCATCGTTCTGACAATGCGCGATCTCTGATGTCCCCGCTGTCCCCAATCCCATTTCTCGAGTCCCTGCCCACTTGGACTCGCTTCTCTCGATTCATTTTCTCTTTGAGAATCCAATTTAACGGGCTCTTAAGGCCTAATTTATGCGTTTTCTTCGATTTCTGGACCCTCCTTCTTTGGGACTGGTCTATCTTTAGACTGTCATTGACGACAAAGATCATCGGGACTGAAAGCAAAGGGAGGGCGCAATTTTTTGCAGAATCACTTTTTACTTTGCTCTCCACCGGAAGAGAACTCGAGAATAGGCGGCTTCGAGTGCAGCGGGGAGTTCTCCTCCAAATTCCAGTAATTTATTTTGTTTACGAGAGGCGGGCGAGTTTCGGGATTCTGATGTCGATTTTATGCGTTTCTAAGGAATTGATCAAAGAACACAGCGATCGCAAAATACGATGTCTAGCCTTATAGATCCAGTCGGGGGAAATGTGTCACCAAAAAAAGGAACGGCTGGTAAAAAGAGAGGCATTTCGAACATTTGGAGTAATTTCTTTGTTTTTGCGGCTTCTTTCCTGTGCAAAGATAGCGCTTATCCATTGTTTACCCGCTCCTTTTTAACAGGATTTGCATACTCTTAACCTGGAACAAGCTTTATTTGGAGCAGCCTTGTCAAATTCATCGCCGTTAGTTATCTCTGTCGTGTCGTGAGCACAAAGACGAATGTCGGCGGCTTTCTCTCTCGCACAGACCCAAACACTTTGTGTTCTGGGAATTGCAAATTCGTCGAGGGTAAAAGTACAAAGTTCATAGTTTTTGTTTGCAAAACAGGGATTTATTTCTGCGAATGTTTTGTGCGCCACAAATTCATTTGAATAGTGGCCAAACCACGCAAACATCACTGGCCAAGAAAAGAGTTTGACGGTGTTGATTGACATAATACCCAGAGGCTTTTCTAAAACAAAACACAAAGAGATCGGAGAGTCCGAGAAATGTGAACAGAAAACGTAAATATTGGAAAGAATCTGAACTTTTAAACGGTCCGAATGGTCTGTTTGTGGGGTAATAGGGTTAGGAGCGCGGTAAAAATACGATATGACATTGGCCTTTGAAAACTTTTACACACTATGATACCGTATCCGCAGAAGTTTGATTCCTCTTGCCGACGTTAATCGTATTCTCGCCCTGCAATAAATATTCGGACGTTTTCAATCCGCATATTTTCAGGTCCAACTTTTTTTCTCACGGGAAACGTATGTCCAATTCTGGCCGATGGTCGTTTGACTGGATTCGCTGCAGATTCGGGGCACTCAAGTGCAAGAAATTAGAATTGGGCCTTTTTTGTCTGCCCCCCCCCCCTTTCCATTTCTAATTTGGGTTCTTGGAATGACCAAAATGTAGCCAAAATATTTTTAGAGTTTTCGTTGTTTTGTGTTCCTCGAAATTAAAACCTCCTTCCCTCCACTTGTCTGCTAAATTTCAATAAAAATGGAGATAAAAGTATTAGTGCCCAAAATGTACTTGAAACCTTGTCACAACTGTGGCTGGTCCCTATTTTATGGTGTGGTTTATAACGTTGGATAGGCCACACAAGGAGCTCCCGCGGCATTTTAACCCTGTCTGCATGTCCCTTGGCTTTCAAAAATAACCGATGTTGTTTGCGCCGAATAAGCTGATCTTTGAACTGATGAATAATATAGTCGGGCTCTTTGTATATAATTTGCATTAAGGCGTCATTTCAATGACTTTGAAACGGAATAATTATGCTTTTATGGTCCAGTCTGCGCTTTTATAACTGTTTTTATTGTCTTCTTTATTATCAGTGAGTCATCACAATGCTATGATGTATTTTTAAGGTCCTCACCTATTTGCCGAACTTGCCGTATTATTGTAAGAAGGAGTATATACCATTTTTACGTTGTATGAACTTTAAATATTTTGGGTTGAATCACAAGATACGTTTGTTTTGAAATACGGTGACCTTTTTCTCCAAAAACTCCGCAGTCAGACACCGAATATCTTCCTTTCTTTTCGAGATCAAGAGGTTCAACGGGATCGTTTGCTCGGACAACAAATGATATTTCTGTAAATTTCTGTACAGGTGGCTATCGTATGTATCTATCTCGGTTGTGAAGAATAGTTTCAAACCATAAGCATACTGCTATGCCTTGTGTTTCCTAAAAAAACGGAAGCGATTTCCCTGAAGGTCTGTGCAATGGATGAGCCGCTGATTTTTTCATTTGAAAGCCTTAAGTAGATGCAACTTATAATGTTATGATCGCGTATCCATTAATTCTTTGAACCCGCATGGTCTCCCCAGACAGATTCTGCTCTTTGATCCATCTTTTTATGCCCCGCCCTCAAGTCCAGGCTGAAATTGATTCCATTTCCCCCTTTCCAAACCCCTCCAAACACATATTTATTTATTTTGGATATTCCGAATCGTTTTTGGTCGATTCTAAGAACTCAAAATTCATTCAATTCAAGGGCCGAATAGGAGTAGGGATTATAGAAGGGTCGTGAAGAGGTATCGGGAAAGAGAGGCTTGTCGGAATCATCTTATCTAAGATTATAAAACGTTCTCATCTCGTTCTATTCTACTTCCCTATGAACCTTTGCATATTACATATACATAATCAGAGCATTTTGGACATTTGGGTTCGATCGGAGACTCTTTACATAGAATGTATTTTGGAGACTTTGTGGGTTGAATCTCAAAAAACGAAGTAATCCCCTTCGAGGTCTCTCCCATCCATTTCAAACGGCAGATGTTGATCATTCTTTCGTTGTTTAGGAGGTCATGAATAATTGGAAAGACCAAACTGTTTGGACCTCAAACATTGTTACACATGCCAATTTATGGCCGTTCCATATGCTCACATTTAATCTGTGAGGATGCGCGTAAAAAATGATCAATTTGTGGTGCTTTAATGTCGAAAACAGATAATAGGAGCGTTCTGGGTGTGCATGGAGGACATGTTTACTAGGAACTGGACTTTGAACTAAATCCCGCCCTTGTTTTCGAAGCTCGAGGAAACTTTTTATGTGAAATGTATTTTTTGTTTTCGAAATGGCATCCTTGATGTTTATTCCCCTGGAAATCTTTGATCCACGGCCCGATCTTTGAAGTGAAGGCGACTAATTATTCGAAAGGCCGGTTATTTAGCAGCTTCCTGTCTCTGAGGAAAGATGGGGAAATTCACGTCTGAGAAGAAGGCCGTATTACTTTATTTTGTATTAAAAATTTTCAGGACTTTGTCTTGCATTGCTGGTCATCGTTTGTCGTGTGACATAGCTTTTTTGTCCTAAATTTAGTAATCTACCATTTCATGAAACCATGTTTAAATTTATATTTTTATTACACTTCTCCACACATTTTACAGCATTTTTCACACTTCCAGTTGATATGATAAAATTTGTTTTCAAAAATAACCATGGTCGTCGTCGTCTGAACACTCCCTTTTTTATGACTTTATTTTTAATTGATCTGGTTCACCATCAGACTGAAATGTTATTGCTCAGAGATCAGTGATCACTACGAAATGCGTCTGCAAACTAAAAACAGGGTGGTAGTGGCGAGTAAATAGATAGTTTATGCAATAATGGCATTGCGAAACTAGAATGGGGGAAGGACCCGCCGCGCTTATAGTTTGGGAACAAAGATCTTCGTGGGCGATAGACGGGAAGGGGGTCGGGATGCGTATTCCGTGAGATAAGAGGTTATTTGGTTCATTTCAAATTATCTTGTAAGCTCATCCCGCGACCACATATCAAATGATGTATGTGGAGACTGGACTCTGAACTCCCCAACATCACTAAGCTTTTTATACTCTTCTTTCATCCCTTGTAACAGGGTTTTGAGGGGACTTTTCAAACTAAAAAAACCAACGCATACGCTGACTGTACTCGCATTTTTTGTCGCGGTCGGATTGTAAGCCTACAGAATTCACGATTGAACTCTGATCGTATTATTTCCCCCGAGACGTATTATATTATGAAAGGAACCCAGTTTGCTGAACAGGATATTTTATTTTTGATCTGTGCCTTTCGCTCTGAAATTCCCTCGGTTATTCGAATTCCTCTTTTCTTCTCGCTTAACACGTTTTCAAATCGAAAATTTCGTAAAAAGAGAGAAATCACGCGATCCGAAGGTTACTGAACCGTGTGTCTTTGTGCTTATTGCGCATACTGTGGTGACAATGGGTCGTACAAAAATGACTCTTGCCTCGAGGCAAAAGCGCTTTGATCAGTTGAACCGTCCCTTTTCCGCGGAGATTCTACAGCCATCTTCTCAGTTTGGAGCTTCTTTAATTTTATTGCCTTCATCATACATACGCATTGTAAGAACCACTTCAGCCAAGTCATCAATTTTAATCCAAAAATTTGGCCTAATTTCCTTTCTCTCTCCGCCGAATCCGTCATGGTTGGAGCGCTCGAAGGCCTGATGTTATCAAATTCTTTAGGAGCACAAACTCCAGAGCAGTAATTGTTAGCTTTCCCGGTCAAAGTTCCTTTTTCTTTCTCGTGATTGCCTCGGGGATTGTGCTCGTTTTATATTCCGCTTGTCTTTTCAACTCTGACGAGAGATTTGGTTGTGCAGAGCGTTTAACCAAAATTCAGGGCACGCATTTGGGCGCGACTTTGTTTGTATCGTGTAACTTTTGTACTAGTCCTTCCGGAAAGTCGCCGGACGGAAATCGGCGACATGCACTGTGAGAAAAAACTCAGGGTGCGAGCGACAGCTCGAAAAAGCCTATTGCACAGTGCAAAACCCCAAAAATTGCACAGTGCAAAGTGAACTTTCGATTTCGCAGAGTGCATGTCGCCGATTTCCGTCCGGCGACTTTCCGGAAGGACTAGTATTGGGCTTGTTTTCCCTACACTTGAAATCGAATTTGAATACTTTAATCATCCAAGGAAGTGGTGTTATGAATGTTGGAGGTGGATGAAAGGCCTTTATTTTGCAGCGCTGTTTGGTGCTGGGTGTTTTCTAGTCACGGATGTTTGTTTTTCCTCTTCCTTCCCGGATTTCTTTGGGCGTTCTTGTTTTGTCGAGAGAAGGGGAGAAGTCAAAGGGCTTGTAAATTATGAGAAATTGATTAAAAACCGTTTATCCGCGATTATCTTTCCCTAAAAATTTGCTAACGGTAGTGGCTTCAATTTGCTTTTCAACATTTTAATCGCTTTTTGAGAAGGTGCATAGATCATGTTGTTGGAGAACACAAACTTTCCCTGTGTCTCACATTCTGCACGTTTTATGTTGGGAGTAATTTTTTTATCGTCCTCCGCTTAGATGGGGGAATTTAGATAAAAATAAATGGGATTTTGAACACTTTTTCTGTTGTCACAAGCGACTTCGGATAGTTTGTGACAAAGCACCGGTTTCCCGTTCCTTTTTATATTTTTCTTTGTATCTTGGTTTTAAATACACAAAACATGAGGAAGTAAGTATTTTGCAAGTAGTTTAGCTCCTTGTTGTAGATTACCAGTAGATCCGCTGAAAATCGCCTCTGGCATAAACCTTAATCCTTCCTTTCCTTCCATTTGCACAGTCTTATTTGTTTGTAAATCTGCTTTAAAATATTGGGAAATCAGATGGTGTCAGGATATGGGGAGTTCTTGCAAAAACTAATTCGTTTACAAAACATGACAAAGTGAGGGGATGATGTTTAAACGAGGGGAAGATGACCTTAATCCGAACCATTTTATGACGTCATCAGTTATCCGTTCTTTTTAATTTTTTGATCGAGCTTTTCATTGCGTGCTCCATTCCGAGATAACATGTGATTGACCTACAAATTGCAGCAATATTTATTTCCGCGTCAGTTGATCTCAGTGCGTTCTTTGGCTGCATTCGAGAACATCTTGGGCCATCGAAGAGCCGGCAATGGAAGTCGATGATGTAGGTTTTTCCTCTTTTTTTCTCCATATTTAGATTAGTAATTCTTCCTCAAACTCATCCTTTCTGGTCATTTCCGAAAAGCAGCATGTCTGTGACTCTTCTATTGACTCAACCCGGGTTAGACTACATTTTCCTGATATTGCACTTCGTTCCCAATGCACTCTTAAACTCATTTTGTCAGAATTTTTGGGTTGTGGTCCGTTTTCGTAAAGCATAATGGCATGGCATGTGATGTTTATTTGGAGAGACGAAAAGTTCTTAAAAAATGAGACCCGAATGGGTAATTTGAATATATTTGGCGTCCGATTACCCGGTCTGGTCTCACAGAAAGGATGCATTACTTTAATATCCTCTTTCCGTTTTGTTTGTAATCATTTTTTTAAAGTCATCGTCACAAATTTAATAGCTTAGGCGCGGTTGAAAATAGATGTTGATGTCTCATTTTTGAAGTATGGTCCTAAAAAAATCTTTTTTGTTTTCTTGCAAGCCCTCATTTTTTTGGTCATGACCATGAAGAAGGGCCGGAAGAAGGACATTGTAATGCATTGGTCTTTAATCTTTAGTCTTCTTTACTGAGTGAGGATGAAGTCCTTTCCTGGGATAAATTTAGACTTAACGGACCAACAAATATATGAAATCTAATTGTCGACTGAGGGACAGAAGGAGAAAAGCCCTTCCCTGATGGTATCAGATCCGTTTTGAGATTATCCTTTACTTTTGTTATGGTCAAATGACTTTTTTTGTAGGCTTCAAAGTTCTTGTTGGAAAAGAAAACATTTCCCCAATCCGCCCCCACTCAACCAACGTTCGAGTGTTTTTAGGCAAGGGGACACGAGATTCCCCTAGACAAGGATCTTTGCAAGAAGCAAAACTTTTTGGATCCTTGCACTTATGCTCCACTTCCTGGGCAGTGTAATGTTGCAGGCTTTCCACGAAAACGGATTCACGCGAATACGAGAAGAGGTGAACTCGCATTTGTTAGTTTAGATAGAAAAATTAGATTTCCCGAGCGTCGTGGGTGTTATGATAATCGAAAAAAATACTTGAGACTTTGCAGTAAGTAACCGGATACGCAATTAAACGCCGGCAGGGGAATGTAGGGTTAGCGCTTTTTGTGTGTTATATGACGACTTTACCTTTTTAACGTTTAGGAGAAGTTAGAAAATAGCTTCTCATCAGTTGAGAAATTCTTTAAAGACCATTTAAGAACCGAGTCAGCGTGGAGTGATCTCTGGTCAAAACGCCCGTTGTTGACGAATTTATTTTGGTTGGAAATGGTGTTATTCCCTTGTTTTTCGGGCGATCTCTAGTTCTCTCTTTTCATTCCCGAATTCTCAATAACAATTCACGGTAATGCGGAAAATAAAAGCAAATTGGGGCAGAAAATGCGACGGTTTCAGACCGAAAACATCTGTATTCGATTATTTTCTTCTTAAATGTGACATGGCTGTTTTCCTGGAATAATGGAAAGGATGAATTTGGGGAGCGTTTTAATTCATATCATAATATATAGTCTGATTGTAGTGTCTATAACCTCTTGTATCTTAAAATCATCGCAGAATCTTATGATTATATTCTCAGAGGAATGACTTTCATTTTTTATGTTTATAGTTCCTGCATGATGCGAGTCCAGGAGAAGATACGGACTTGCCTGCTGATCCATGCCAGCCAGTCCAACCAAACCATCCCCATTGTTCGACGATGCAATCTGAGAGGATTGTGGGCCATGTTCTGAAGAGAGGTCGATTATATTACATGTACATCCCTGGATATGGAATCCCACCTATAGTCGAATCACCCGTTAACTTGCCGGTACACCTAATTGCCCAATTCGAATACGAATTTGCCCAGAAGGGGCCATCAATGTTCCCTCCGACAGGTGTGAGTTACAATACGGAAGTCGCCGAAGTTGTTTGGACTGGTCTGTTTGACGGAATTTCGTATGCTTTGCTAAGGTATGTGTTTTGGATTTTTTTTGTAATCTAATATTTATTTTTGAGATTTTATCTATTGCATTTTAGGCATATTGATAATGTCCATCGTCTTGTTCCCCTTGGTTGGGCACAACTTCATTTCCCTGAACTAATGCGGCGTTACCTTCAAGCAGATTCTGCCTATCATAACAACAACCATTTCAAACATTTGAATTCAACCCGGCATCGTTGGAATCCCATGAATCCAACCCAATCTCGTCGATCCATCACCCGGCCCACCCCCAATGTGATGACTAGGCCGATGTTTCCCCAACCCAGCAATACTTACAACTTTAATGGCCCTGAACTCAGGGTCCCCGACCTTCAGGTTCCTTCAATGTCTCTTCATAATCAACTCCAGAATCTGGTGCCCCCCACCCACTCAAATAATATCATGAACTCACTGCCAAATCCCCAGCCCCTCAATCTTCAACCTCCGCCATCATTCCTGAACATGACCAATCAAAACGCCTTAAACCTTCTAAATAACCCCGAACCGTTGGCCATTCTTGACTCGGTGGCCACCACATTAAGCCAGGTGATCACAGATGTCCAGAAGTCGGCTTCCAATATCGTCGTCAGCGAGGATCCGTATCAAGAAAAGCCGGAAAGTGCCGGTCAAGAAGATGAAGAGGTCCCGCCTGACCCATTCAACATCTCCTCGACCTTGCAACCACCTCACAATCAACGAATGTGCAGTGTGAATATGACTACCGTGCTTAGAAGACAGAATCGAAAGCTGATGCACGACGAAGTCATGGATTCTGAGGCTCATGGCTTCGCTGGACCCTCGTCAAAACGGAGAAGGGTGTAATTATATTGTTATCCTGTTTGTGCATAAAAGAGTCATACAATTCTCTTGGAGATAACAAAATACGAGTAAATCGCGCTTTACGAAATGCATTTTCGCCTCGTATGACACTGTTGAACGCACAATTTTTCTGTACATTGCATAGTATGATTGTCCTGACTTTAATAACCTTAATTTAAGTCCGCCTTTTATAAAACATGTGCCATTAAATAAACTTATGACGACATTAAGACCCGTTTATCATTTTTTTGAATCCTTTGTGCCAATGAAGCCAGAGTTATGGTGGCAAGAGAAAAGATTAAAAATATTATTACGCTAGAAAAGAAGATCACAAACGGCTGCGTGACTAATTTGGAAAAGACAATGGGTATACTGTACTTGGGGGAAATACGATGACACTGGGATAATTAAGATACGGATGAAAAGTTAGGAAATTGAAATACTGAAGACTCCAAGGGATTTCATCGGGAATTCAAACTCGTACGCAGAGAACGCTCATCTTCTTGGATCCGGCTGAAATAAGGCGAAAGTTAAACTTTTTTTATAAAAATTAATTGCAACGCAGCAAGAATAAACATACTCAACAATCATGCCAATGAACGGAAGAATCTCATCAGAACTCTGTTCCCGGGCCCATTTCAAAAACGGATGTTGTAGCAGATCCTTGTATTTGGGACGCTGTTTGCAATCCTTGATTAAACTAAACAACAATAATGGATAAAATAAATATGTTCCTACCAGACAGTAATGAAATCATGAAGTTGATCTGAATATCCTCTCGATGGATTTAGAGTTGGAGGAGCTTCTTGAACGACCTGTTTCAGCTGCTCGAATGGAGTCTTCCATCGGGCATAAGGGTGCTGACCATGAGCAATTTCAAGCTGTAAACACACAATAACAATCTGATTTCCTTGAAAAAAGAAAATCAACTCCAACTCCGTACCAATGTTATTCCAAGACTCCAAACATCCGCCTGAACTCCGTATGCTTGTTTTAGGTCACCATCAATCCTCTCTGGGGGCATGTAAGGTTTACATCCAGCTTGCAATGTTTTCGCGACAGAGTTCGTCAGTTGGCCCGAGATTCCAAAATCACAGATCTTTATTTTTCCAGACCGAGAAATCAGAATGTTGGATGGCTTTACGTCCCGATGGATAAGACCCATCTCTTCTTTCATAAAGTTTAGCCCATCTACCAACTAAAATAAAATATAATTTTAAGACGTATAACTCACCGATACAGCGACCTTCCCAATTATATTCTCGGGCATTTTCTCCCCAATATCTGTTACTTTCTTGTAGAATTTGTCCAAAGAGATGTCCATGACCTCCATACAGATCCAGACATCGTTCTCTCGGAACATTGCTCCATAAAATCGAACCATCTAAAAGAAAAAAACATCAACAAATGTACACTATAAACATACCAAATCGCAGTTCTTGCTTTTCATACAAGTGTCAAGTTCCAGCAACATCCGTCGTTGTTCTTCATCATTACTCGAGAAGTGTATCCGCTAAGATAGTTGACTAGATTAAAATACATATTGTATAATACATACCTTTACCGCGAAATGTCTCTTGGTTACTGTGTGTTCCATTTCTTCGACAACTCCATACGCACCACGTCCGAGTTCGCGGACAACAACCAAGTCCAGGGCCGTGACAAGGACGTTCTCACCGTTTTCTCTGTAAAGCAGAAGCTAGATTCACTTTAACAAATCTAAGACTTAAAAAAATAAAAACTTACTCATAGTAAAATTTATCGTCCAAATCCACGGTGGCAGCTTTTGGCATCTCCGGCATCTTTAGCTTGGGCATCATCTTCTTCTCTAAACTCCAATATCAATCAGAAGTTGACAACATACTTTGCTTTACTCCCTCGGAACTTGAAGGTTCCATCTTAAGACCGGAGAACACAAGTACCGTGCTGCAATAATCAACTAGTACCCGTATCTGGAAATGATAGGAATGAAAAGAACGATAACAAGTTGACAACTAAACAGCGTAAAAAAAGAAAAAGCGAGTTTTGGACATTAAACAATAAAAAATTTGTAGACATACTATTTTACTAGTAGCAACAAAATTTGATTCTAACCCTGAGAATGTTTGTAATGAGGGCAACGGCAGTATAACCTACTAGAACGGCAAAGAAGTCAGTAAAAGGTGTTGTCTCTTATTCAAGACAACCCTTTAACATTTCGCCTCAAATTTTTGGCATTAAAGTTTTCGTTTCGGGAGTTTTTATAATTAATTATAAATACAAATGTTTGAATTACGAGCAACTTCACGGCGGTTTCACAGCAACCCTTCGAATGGGCGAAAAAAACTTTTCGAAAAGAAAGAAATGAAACGCGTGCAAATTGCGGGACCAAGTTATACGATAGAAGTTTTTCGAGTTACATTGCAAAACAAAGAAAAGCAATTTATTTGCGTGTAACACGGTATATAAACGGGTCTAAATCGGTGAACTATTCATAATTATACCGAATTAAATAAAAATATGAGGTATGGGTTCAACCGTGATGATCATAATCTTCGGATTCCATAATTACGTTCGCGATGTTTCACCGCTTATAAAAAGCACGTCGACGTTCCTTTGCTACTAGACTAAAAAAGATCAACGAAAACACTGAGCCAAGAGAGTCCGTAATAAGATTGCCCTGGAAGTTACACTTCATCTTCATTATTAAGGAGAGCTTTACAGCTACCTGACGGGTGCAAACATTTTGCCTGTGTGAATTCCGTTTATGGAAAATTTTTTTCACGACGATCGCTCTTCTTCAAGATAATGAAGATACTAGAGGAATTTAGCATAATTACAAGGTTATGGACCATTTCAGTCATAAAAACACATGTGCAATATTGAGGTTTTGTTTCAAAATGTTTGTTCTCTATCGCAACTTTGTTGCTTTAAAATACCTCATTTAAAATTCAGAACGTTTAAAATAGAAATGCTTACCTCCCGAATGTCGGACATTACAAGGAGACACAGTTATAGCACATTTGCGCAACGTTTTCTAGTGTACAAGGTTTTTAAAAGAGAGTTTTTTACAACTCGAAGGATGGCCCGGACATTTCGAAAAAACGACCAACTTAGAATCTTTTGATATTTTGCGTAATTGTTGTACTATGATAGCTGAACGTCAGTACGAATTTTTAGTTTCAGAAATTACCGTATACGGGGGTTACGGTAGGTACAATTTTCAGAAAGATTGGGTTCGTGTGTAAAAACCCCGAGGAGTAAAAGCACAAAACATCGCTGTTTTACGTTTTTGACCATGGGGAACATTTTCATAATTGACAACTTTACCGTAGGATGTTGCCTTCGACTACTTTGAAAAATACCAAGGTACCATATTGAATGTAACTTTTTTGCAGAGAACTTGTCTCAACTTTTGAAACCTCTCAAATATACTTTGACATGTATGTAACAACATATCAGAAATGCACGAAAATAAAAGGGGTGGTTTTGGAGTTACGGTACTTTGAAGGCAGCCGGTACGGTATATCAAAAAATTATTTTTTCAAAATCGGTGTAGAAGACCCGCAAAAATTGCCAGAATACGTTTTCGACCATGGCGAACATTTTTGTAATTGACACTTTTTCTGTAGGATGTAGTCTTCGCCTACTTCGAAAATGACCCAGATACCATGTGTAATGTAACTCTTCGGCATTCTACTTGTCTCAACTTTTGAAACCTCAGAAAAATACGCTGACATGTACGGAACAACATATCAAAAATTTAGAAAAATAAAAGGGGTGGTTTTGGAGTTACGGTACTTTGAAGGCAGCCGGTACGGTATACCAAAAAATCATTTTTTCTAAAATTGACGTAGAAACCCCGCAAACCTCGCCGAAATACGATTTCGACCTTCGCGAACATTTTTGTAATTGACAGTTTTGTTCTAGGATGTAGCCTTCAACCGGTTTGAGAAATGTCAAGATACCATGTTCAATATAACTCTTCGGCATTCTACTTGTCTCAACTTTTGAAACCTTTCAAAAATACTTTGACATGTATGTAACAACATATCAAAAACTTAGGAAAATAAAAGGGGTGGTTTTGGAGTTATGATACTTTTAATCTTGATCATACAGTACACCGAACTTTCGTTGTGATGCTGACGCCCGAAATTGGAAGATTCCACCGTCGTATAGCACACACGACTCTAAGCCGTGGTAATCGTTGCAAAAAAATTAAGAAATCGCTGATCTTGCTGTTACAGTAACCAATTATCTGCGCACGATATGTTACAGTATGCTTAGGCCTAAATTTTCTGAATTTCCTAGTGAAAATTGTTTTTGAGGGTCGTACAACATACATAAAGCATTAAATTTTGTTTTTAAAATAATCTACATAAAGTTTAGCCGAGAATAAATCGAGGTGTACTGTATGTCCAACATTCAAAGTGCCATAACTCCAAAACCACCCCTTTTATTTTCCTAAATTTTTGATATGTTGTTACACATATATGAAAGCGTATTTAAAACGTTTCAAAAGTTGAGACAAGTAGAATGCCGAAGAGTTACATTACACATGGTACCTTGCCAATTTTCGAAGAAGGCGAAGACTACATCCTACAGAAAAAGTGTCAATTTCAAAAATGTTCGCCATGGTCGAAAACGTATTTTGGCAATTTTTGCGGGTCTTCTACATCGATTTTGAAAAAAATGATTTTTTGATATACCGTACCGGCTGCCTTCAAAGTACCGTAACTCCAAAACCACCCCTTTTATTTTCGTGCATTTTTGATATGTCGTTACATACATGCCAAAGTATATTTGAGAGGTTTCAAAAGTTGAGACAAGTAGAATGTCGCAAAGTTATCATGATCATGGTATCTTGACATTTCTCATAGCGGTCGAAGGCCGCATCCTACAAAAAAAGTGTCAATTACAAAAATGTTCGCGAAGGTCGAAATCGTATTTCGGCGAGGTTTGCGGGGTTTCTACGTCAATTTTAGAAAAAATGATTTTTTGGTATACCGTACCGGCTGCCTTCAAAGTACCGTAACTCCAAAACCACCCCTTTTATTTTTCTAAATTTTTGATATGTTGTTCCGTACATGTCAGCGTATTTTTCTGAGGTTTCAAAAGTTGAGACAAGTAGAATGCCGAAGAGTTACATTACACATGGTATCTGGGTCATTTTCGAAGTAGGCGAAGACTACATCCTACAGAAAAAGTGTCAATTACAAAAATGTTCGCCATGGTCGAAAACGTATTCTGGCAATTTTTGCGGGTCTTCTACACCGATTTTGAAAAAATAATTTTTTGATATACCGTACCGGCTGCCTTCAAAGTACCGTAACTCCAAAACCACCCCTTTTATTTTCGTGCATTTCTGATATGTTGTTACATACATGTCAAAGTATATTTGAGAGGTTTCAAAAGTTGAGACAAGTTCTCTGCAAAAAAGTTACATTCAATATGGTACCTTGGTATTTTTCAAAGTAGTCGAAGGCAACATCCTACGGTAAAGTTGTCAATTATGAAAATGTTCCCCATGGTCAAAAACGTAAAACAGCGATGTTTTGTGCTTTTACTCCTCGGGGTTTTTACACACGAACCCAATCTTTCTGAAAATTGTACCTACCGTAAAACCCGTATACGGTAATTTCTGAAACTAAAAATTCGTACTGACGTTCAGCTATCATAGTACAACAATTACGCAAAATTTCAAAAGATTCTAAGTTGGTCGTTTTTTCGAAATGTCCGACCCTTGTTATGAGAAGCTTCAATCTGTAAAAAACTCTCTTTTAAGTGGAAGAAGAGGTCTTTAGAACTCATTTATGGCATGCCTACTGTAACCTCATAGTCTTACAATTCAAATAAATTTTTTAGAATTTATATTACTAAATATTCCAGAGAGTCCTATACAAATCATGTTGAGTTAGTTCAGCTGTCTCAAGTGTAACATAAAACAAGGAAAATGTAATCTACAGGTTAAGTACAATTAACAACGTCAAAAGCGTTCACGTATCAACTCTATTTTATGCAAATTTTGTGGTTGTCAACAATTCCGACGATTTTACTACGATTTCTCTCCGCCGATGTCATGATTACCGTATCTTTCGCTTTAAACAATGGTTCAAAATCGAAGTCGATGATCCAAATTTTTTATGCATAAACAATCGCTGTTTGATTAAGTTTCTAAATCTCTGGTCGATTTTTGATTAAAGGTCTCATTAAAAAGATACTGTAGTTTTAGTGACATTTTTCAAACCTCTGATTTTTTGGTGTTTTTCAAAAGACTGTAACTCCTAGTATATCCCACCGTTTTTTACATTTAAGGTGTTGTTCGTTTTGTCAGGAGCTTAGCTCTGTAACTAGGCTATCAGTTTTTCCAAATTCCACCGTATACGTATGTTACATCAGTTGTAAAATACGGTTTTTTCGGCTTTAAACAACATACCTCTAAATCCAACCAATTTTCGAAATCTTTATGCCATTATATCAGTAAATTAATGCTCTTTCTTAATCTCTGGTCGATTTTTAATCCGACCCTTACCAACAAAGTTATGACTAAAAAGGTCGTAAAATCGCCATTTTCCGCTCCGCGAGCTGCCGCCAGGCTTCAAAAACGAGACCAAACGAAGGAAATTTTTTCCCTTTGTTGAAACCGCCGTGACATAGTAAGTTATCAACGATCTGTAACCATAGGTTTAGGAGGGCGAAATCTCTCTATAGTACGTTTACAGAATTAATGTTGAAAGGACGAAGTGTTCTTCAAAAGCGCAACGAGAAAGAATTATAATCAATACCACCATCTCTCAATAAATTGAAGCTTTCCCATATCTCATGAAACATTGATATTACAGTCATTTATCGGAAGCTCATCGTCATCTTAATTCCATACATTGTGCAATGTTTAGGCCCCACCCATGAACGAGAAATGGGATGGCCATAAATTTTGCAGGCGTTTGTATTAAAACGATGTATTAAAAAAATAGAAGAATGTTGGTGACGCTTATCCATATTCATTTCAACTAAAGGTACTTACCGACGGTAAGTTACTATTGTGGATGACGGAATGCCAAAACCGCGAAGAAATTTTTTTCAAAAATATTTTTTCTCATCCGAAAATTTTTTCCAGCCGTTGTTTTTTTCTTTCGTCTTTCCTAGCAAGTTCTACTATTTTGTCTAATTTTGTAAAGTCTTCTACGTTGTTACAACCTTATCCTTTTCTATATATTTATCTACAATGAGCTTCCAAACGCGAAAATGGGATTTGAGTCACTTTGACATTGGCAGAGAACTGGGAAATGGAAGGTTCGGAACGGTGTTCTTGGCGCGGGAAAATCAATCCATGTATGTGGTCGCTCTAAAGGTGCTGAACAAGTCGGAATTATCCCAGGATATTCAACATCAGGTCAGGAGGGAAGTAGAGATTCAGTATCATTTGAGGTATGTCGGTTTTAACTATTTTTTGTTGGTTTAGGTGTCGGTTGAGGAATAAATAGGGACTCGAGTTGTGTTATATTCCATATTCCTTCCTCACTTTGAAGAGTTATGTTGTTGCTTGATACGTGTGTTATCATTATAGGCATCAGAACATTGTCCGTCTTTTTGGTTACTTCTACGACGCCAAACGCCTTTATCTAGTTCTGGAATACGCGAACAATGGAACAGTCTTCCACCATCTCCGTCAGATGTCCAAGTTTTCAGTGCCTCTCTCCTGCGCTCTTTTTCTTCAATTAGCCGATGCTGTTGCGTATATCCATCGAAATGGAGTGCTTCATCGAGATATCAAACCAGAAAATATGTTGCTTAACCACAAGACCTTGAAGTTGGCAGATTTTGGATGGGCATGTCATGTGAAGTCTTCCAGGTGTGTTATTTTCCAGTCGAGTTTCATCTTGTAGACTAATGACTTATTGTGGAACGCCTGATTATTTGGCCCCTGAGATGATCAAGGTTGCCAATGAACCTTATGGATTTGGGATCGACATCTGGGCAACAGGAATAACCTTATTTGAATTCATAACGGGCCGAACTCCTTTCAAGGGGAAGGAAAACTCTCCAAGGAACTCGAATTTATACAGAAACATCTGTTCTCTTAACTACGATGTACCAAAAACTTTTCCAAAAGAAGCTTGGGAAATAATTAAGAATGTGAGTTGGCCATATAATCAATCCTTTATTGAATCCACTTTAGCTTCTAGCCAAAGAACCAAATGATCGAACAAACCCAGAGTCGTTGCTGGAACATCCCTGGCTAATCGAAGAGGCTAAGAAAGTCCGGGATGATGAATTTCCCAGAAAACCCAGTGAAAAACAAAGCGTAATCCATTAAATTCGGTGATTGTCATATATGTTGATTAGATTTATTTCAAAGTTGCAATAGGTATTTTCTCCGTTGTAAATGTAATTATTTGTCTGTGGCAGAACGAAGTTTATGTGGATCATAGTTTGTCCAAGAATTGTTTCATCTAAATCCAAATGTGAAACGAAAGTTCAGTCTACCTGCTCCGGTGTGAACTCGTAGATCAACGGATCTTCTGAATTGTCGGTATGTAGTTTTAACTGAATCAGTGGCTTCAAGTTGTCTGGAGATCCGTCAACTGAACATACTAACTAAATGAAGAAGTTAGAGCGACAGACAAAGAACATACCTTCGACGTCCAATCAAATTCAACTAAACTGAACATGGCCTTCCTGTGCGCAAAATTTGTAAAGTGAATATTCGGACTTTTGTTTCAAAGGTAAATGTCCGAGCTGCGCCCTCACTAGTGCCTGTGTCAAAACATTACTATAGCATATGTAACGCTTGGAAGATATTGGTGGATTCAATTGTTTGTACACTATAGTGTGCACTAATTATTTTTTTATCGGCAAGCAGACTTATCTCGTAAACGGGTTTCTATGTTCTTTGCGGAGAACTAGCATCTTTTGTCGTATAAAATGTCGAACCAATTCGCAAAAAAATAATTTGTAAAATTGGGCGCGAGCTGCACAATTTTGATTTTTCCGACAAAAATTTGTCGTTCCTCCGAAAAGACGCGAGTGAGGTAAGTTTTAACTGTTCTTGGCTTTACACTTGACTTGGTACTGTGCTTAATTATTATCTCTTTTTCAGGCTGTATGCCTCCGAAAAGGAAGGTAAAAACCGTTCGTCGGAAAAGCTCATCTCGTAAGAAGAAAGGTCGAAAGAAGAAGATGTATTCATCGAAACAGAGAAAACAAGCAAGTTCAGCGAATGGAGAAAATGGTTATGTTCTACATGAAGAAAGTCCTCCCCCAGATGTGCTGGATCTACCTCGTGAAGTAGATGTAAAGACAGAAAGACCTGAACTCAGCGCAGAATTGAAGCTTGTTTGTTCGCAAAAGTTACTCAATGTGTTTGGACATCAGAAATTCTTGAGTATTCATCAGAAGTTGGCCATTATGTTGGCATTAAAACGTATGTACGTTCCTATTATCGTTTACTTCATTTAGAGCCGGCAATTATCGGGTAATTTTAGGTCAAAATGATGTGATGGTTATCTTCCCGACTGGTTCAGGGAAGTCTTTAGTCTATCAACTACCCGCTCTTGTCCATTCTGGAGTTACGATCGTCTTCTCTCCTTTATTGGCTCTAATAGCTGATCAAGTAAAGGAATTGCAACGAAAAGGAGTTAGGGCTGAAGAGTTGAACTCCAATGTAACTGGGGATAAATTCAAGAAGATCATTGGTGTAAGTATTTTGTGCTTTGATTTTATTGTTTTTAGGATCTCTCGGACTCGCGCCCCACGATTAAAATGTTGTTCATCACCCCTGAAACAGCTGAAAGGGCGGAGTTCAAACAAGCGCTGAGGATAATGGTTGCGAATGAAACTTTGGCTTACTGGGTAGTGGACGAAGCCCATTGTCTTTATAAATGGGGATCTCATTTTAGGTAAGATGGAATAAAATGATTCTGAAGCTTATTTATTAAGGCCCAATTACAAGAAACTCATTGAGACGCGTCACTTAGTTCCCGAAATTCCATGTCTCGCGTTAACAGCTACTGCCACCAACCTCGTTCAGCATTATTTGAAGAAGAAATTGAACTCCTCCAAACTAGATATGCTCCTTGTCAAGGCTCCAATGTACCGATCTAACTTATATTTCGATGTCAAATTTAAACACCAACTCCCATGTGGACTCGAGAATGAGATTGCGGAGTTTGCAAAGAAAGTTCTTTATCAAAATGGGACCACTTCAACGCCAAATGGATGCGTTCTTGTGTTCACTGTAACCTGCGGAGATGTGGATGATTTGTCTGCAGCATTGAAGATGAGGGGCCTAAGGAGTCTTGCTTATCATTCCAAAAAACCACAAAAAGTAAGTAGTAATAATGATACGTAATATTTTACAGGAGAAAGACGCCATTTTGGATGCATTCCGAGCTGGCAGAGCGCCTGTAATTGTCTCAACCTCTGGATTTGGTATGGGTATCGATAAAGCGGATGTCCGGGCTGTTATCCATCATCGTTTCGCCCTTTCCATCGATGATTATCTTCAACAAGCAGGCCGTGCTGGCCGAGATGGAAAGCGATCTTATTGTAGAGTCTACTTTGGAAAAGATGATCTTAATCTTTTGTCCTTTATCTCTCGGGGCGAAAAGAAGAAATCCTCAGTGGAAGATGCCCGGAATTATTGTATGGGGAAAGAATGTCGTCACGTTTTGTTGGCCAGATCTGTTGGCGATGTGGTAGAACCATGTGGAAGGAATTGTGATTACTGTCAGAACCCAGAGGTTGTAAAGAAAGCCATTGAATTGTGTGAAGCCTCAAGCCCACTTAACGCAAAAATAGGTGGAAAAAGAGGAAGAGGCGAACTTCTGGGCGACATTAAGGATACATGTAGAAACTACAAAGAAGTGCATGGCGAGGAAAGCTTTGGACCCTCGAGTTATAGCCCCAAACAGAAGATCATGAAGTTTGATGTCGCGAAGAGAAAGATGAGTTATGTGGATGCAGAAAAAGGTAAGACTAATTATAACTTTTTTTGTATCTTCCAGCTTCTGGAAAACCAGCAGTTATCGTGGGCAAATTCGTAGCGCCTGAAGATGATGATCGTCGAAAGAAGATGAGAGATTGGCTCCAGAAGAAGATCGCAGAGAATCCCTTGGGCAAGGATGACTCAGATGTGGCCTTGGCCATGTCCTATGAACTGGAAGACAGGGCATATTCGAATAACTCCTCATATCACAACTATCAAACGATCATCACCGGTTATGTAATGCAAATGAGTCGGGATACAAAAACGGGTTTAAAGTATAAAATTCCGGATCCTTGATGTATAAACATACAATGTAAATTACGAATATTATATATTGGAAAGTAAAGCAAGTCGGAAATTAGTTTATTTCCTCGGTCAACATTAACAAAAACAAGTAACAACAAATTGACTACTCAATATAAACTAAAATTAATGGTTGAAAGACGCTATCAAAACTGAGGTAAGAATAGTAAGTCATGGTTGCTAATAATCTAAGCTCTACTGTAACTATAGTACTACGACTAGGTAAGTGGAATAAAATAAATTAGTGATCCTTCTCGGGATCGAATCCGAAAACAGTAAAATAAGCCTGAACCACAGCCTCTCTGATGGTTTCCACCTGTTCATCTCTCTGGATCCTCCGATACTCATTTAGATAATCGACCGATTGTTGGCGGAAGTGGATGAAGAACTCTCGGGCTTCATCGGCCGATATGTGGTTGAGGATATATTCAGCGAAACGGATCTTATTATTGGACGGATACAGCCACTGAAAGTAACATTTCTGCAACTTCTACATGCACACACAAAATATAAACTAGAAAAGTATCAAGCCTACTCTCAAGATATAAAAGAAGACCGAAGCGGCTTCGGCGATCATCCCGGAGTCCACTCTGACAGTAATCGTAATCAGTGCGAGATAGGGTTGGAGGATAAGAAGAGTCACAAAGTTCTGCATGGACCACATTGGAGACGCTGAAAGAAAGTCAGAGATGTTGTAATCTCCCGTAAATTACTTGTTAAATCCTCCAATAAAGCAAAGCAAGCTCTTTTTGACCATCTGATTATCCTGGGTACATCAGTGGATTCAAGAGACGGCAAAATACGAAAGAATTCAGAGATCCCACGGAGTTCCGTTGGGGCGAGATGTCCATCTTCAATTTCTTCGAAATTTATCGCCACTATAACAATATAAAGTAACTCACGCTTCATAAACAAACAATAACTTACTCTTCTCTCCCGACACTTTCCTCGGTCCGAACAGCGCCATAACACAGATATATTCAACTCTTGCGGTCCAAAGACTCGCAAAATATCTGAGGAAAGTCGAAAATACCAACGCCTTGGTATTATTCTCCATCTGCACATTATACATGGTCTCCCTGAACCTGAGGTACATCTCCGACTCCAACTCCGTGTATCTCGTCGAATCTTCTAGTCGAATCTTGATATAAGAACTCATATCTTCTTTGAAGAAAGCTTCGGTAAGGCCACGAATAAGAAGGATACGGTATTCTGTGGAGATTCCGAACATAAACTAAAATCGTAAACCAGATTTACCATAAAGACAGAGCAACCTACCGTTTCCAACATCATCGGAAGAGGGAGAACGTCTCGGAATGGGTAAGCAGCCTTCAGCCAGTTCAGAGCACTTTGATAGTGGAAAATACTGAATTCATCCATGAATACTGCCTTCACTAAAAAGACCTTCCTCATCCAATATTCTATTCAAAAACTTACTCATAAACTGGCACATCTTCGAAGTCTCCACATTTGATCTGAATTCCGAAAACCACTTTGCAAACTTTGGAATCTGTGATGTCCTCTTCAGAAACCTTATCACATCATATTTGGACTGACTTGATACTTGCTGAAACCGGATCAAACTGGTAAGATCCATGTGTTCAAAGATGTGCCAAAGGGTTTCTCGAGGTAATTGCAGTATACCGAAGGAAGAGACCGGCGGCTTTGTAACTAAAATTATATTATTTGGATTGTTAAGTCATCAACTTGACGCGTCAGTCATGTTGTCCAATTCTTGTCATTTTATTGTCAAACTGTACTTTTTGGAATATTTTTGTAAGATTTTACTCAAAAATCCTAGAAATTAAAAAATTTTAGGGACTAAATTCCCCCTTCATGTCCGATGAAACAAGCAGTAAAATCAGTTACGACCAGAGATTGCCACGGCTCCGGAGCCGGAGCCGGAAATTTTGGGGTCCGCTCCGGCTCCCGAGCCCAAAGTCGGAGCCAGGCTTCCCAGTGGTCAAAAAAGTAAAAATTTCGTGATCTTGTTAAACCAAATTGCTTGAAAAACACTGCGGAGGATGTGACTTGACTGCAAAAACGTTGGCTGTATGATCTCTGGCACTAATAACTTTTTTATTTTTGGAAAAATATTTTTAAAAAACGTTTTGCATAGGAGCCGGGATTCGGAGCCGGAGGCCTTTTTAAATTTTGCACGGAGCCAAGAGCCGGAGCTGCAAATTTGGCATCGGCTCCGGCTCTGGGAGCTAAGAGCCGGAGTCAAAATTTTGACCGTGGCAATCTCTGGTTACGCCTAATATTAACGGTGCTCATCATAGTCTATGTTAAACTCGCGTTTGAAAGCTTCGTATATCGGAATTTTCAATTTAGCCAAAGTGACAAAAATGACGGAAATTTCACGAATTTTGACGTCAAGTTGACGCCAATTTGAAAAAAAATCCGTCAAATTAACAACCCTTATATTACACATGCCGAACTGATTTAAAAACATACATTCAGCAGAAGACTCCGTAGATTGACGTTGTTTCTTAGCCACCAAACTGGGAAAGGACTTCGTCTTTCTTTTGCGAGAAGAAAAGAAAGATGTGATCTTCTGAAAATTAGATTTTTATGACATTGATTATATAATCCTGGATGAAACTAACCTCCAACGCGTACATTGTTCGACCAGCAAACGGTTTCCGTATAGACAGTGCCAAAAGAGATCGGATGAACAAATTCATTTCGTTGAATTCCGCAATTTCAGTTGGAGTCAGAAATGTTTTCGCGTCGGGACACAGAGGAGATAGGAATGACTGAAAAGAAGAAGTTTATATTCTAATATAACAGGACGTCAATCTGATGAACGGCGCTGCAATGGTCCCAAACCGCTATTATTTTATAAAAATACAAAAAAGGACCTTTAATAATGCTATGATTAACATAACTCAATATTGCGCAACAGTTGTTACGCAATATGCTAAAACATTCCGCTAACCAACGCCTTTTAATCGAAATATTTCAGTTATCCGAGAAGAAGGCCTATTGAGACGGTAATTAATCCAAATTGCTGTTTATTACGGATCATTTCGGGGATAAGCCCGAGTGATACGCCCGCTTTTTGTTTTTAGGGAAACGACGGAAGCGGAAGACAACGAGTTTATTTACATTTAGAGATGGGCCCTGAATGGACATGGAAATGCATTAATGACCGAGAAAAATGCCTCAGGCAAGACAATGGGGGTATCAAGGTAAACAAGAGTAACTGCTGGGTCAATTAGACAATGAGAGGCAGTCCACAATAGGGGGAGATCGGGATTCCAAGCTTCATTCGATAAACACCCGCATTACTCTGTTTTATTGCAAAAAAGACTAATATGGGATATAGATATTATTTCCTGGTACCATCTTCTTTGGTTCGACCTTGTATTCAGCACACTCTTCCAGCGTATTGTACCCACGGAATGTCCAAAAGGGAAGATGTTCGAATTGATGGGGGTTTCCAGGAGTACTGTAACCAAGGTGAGAAAGGAAAGAGATCATAGATTTGATGAAAGGAAAGCATATCTTAGTGAAGTTCTGCCCCAGGATTATCCATCCATTTTCGGTCTTTTCAAGCGGACGAGCGATCATCTAAAATAATTTTATATGCACAATTACACTCAGACTTACAGATCCAAAAAAGGTTTTGTAAATAAGAACTGGTCGGATTTTAGTGGCGTTGATTCCAGTTTCGGTGTTCAACGCATGATGATAATAGATTCCAAATTCACCCGGATTCAGAGTTCCCGGAACAAGAACACCTCCAGAAATGATAGGGTTTGGAGAAACGAACCCAGAAGGGCCCATGACGATACTCTGACGGGAATTGGTCAGATCACTGGCATGGACGGAGCGGACATCCGCGAGCGAATCGATCATACTTTGTTGCTAAATTTGTTTTGGATTGGAAGAGATCGGCTTACATTTTTTGAAGACTTTTCCGATTCCCGCGGGGATAGAGTTAACCTAAAAATGGAACAAAAAATGCATATGGTATCATCAGGATAATAATCATCATTTTATTCAGCTTACAGGATAGTAGATTCTCCAACAAAATCATCGTATTCTGAGCGACTTTCGGTGTCCATTTTTCGCACTGGTCCGATCCGTTTATGAACAACCGAATTTTCTCAACATCAACTTATGCAAATTTTCGAACAAAATGTGTAATCCTTTCGGTGAAATGTGCATAATGAAAATTTGGAATTTCAAAATTTTCTGCTCGCACAGAATAGAAATTCCGAAAGGACTTCTTACACTTACTACAGATGCACACATCCTCCTTGTTAACATAAAAATTTATTACAGTTTATAGACAATTTGTACAAGGGTTTGAAACTCGTCCTACAAGCAAAATAAACCCGCAAAAACAGATTTCTTGAACGAATAACATTGAATGCGTAACTCGCAAGAAGATGGATTACAAATAAATATACCTGTGCATGTGGAAACAAAAATAATTCGATTAAAAAGAGGCCCGTTCATTTCCCTTCAATATTATTGGAACTTGACGTCGATGGTTCTGCAGATTCTTGTTTCTGATCTTCTTCTTTCTCTACAATTGTGGAACTCCTTGATGGTACGCGATCCTCCGTGACATCCAAGCTTTCATCCACATTTTCTTTTTCGATGACTGGATAGGGCTCTTCCCCAAATGGAATTTCATTTCCTTTTTCATCAAGTTGAACAACTTCGATTTCCCCATTTACTGTTTGTTTGAGAGAGACAGTCGGCGGCATCATGAGCTCTCGATCCAGGCCATCAACGGCGCTTTTTATACTATCAATTCGTCTAAAAATAAATATTCATATAGAAGATGCCATAAATAAGTCCAAACTTACTGAAAAGTATTCTTTACCAGCTCATCAGCCCTCTCACTTAGTCGTTTTTGATTTTCTGAGAGAACATTTATTTTTTTTAAAGAGTTTTCGAGAGATTTGGTGGCCTGAAATAATTATTGTTACCATAGTAAAAAACAAAACTTCTCACAAAAATACAAAACTTACAGAAACATGAGATCTTCTGGCGACTGGGGCCTTCTTTGTTCCCGTCGTATATGCTTCAAAGTCTTCATTGGAAATGTTCAATTTTTCTGCCGTCATGTCTTGAATAAATTGGAGAGCACAAGAAAGGTGGGTAAAATAATATCCTGGAAGACCGATCACCATAATAAATTCGCCTTCAACAACGATTACAACACTTCACATTCAAATTCTTACCTGATTCTCCTCTCGCCACCTTCGATGGGCATCCAAATCGACTGATAAAATTTAGATTTGACTGGATGAGAGGGGGATTCGACTTCAGAACAACATAAATAAGGCATGGCAGAAAGTCATCGGCACCAGCAGGGGCGTCAGTGCTGGCTTTGAGGGCATCGAAAATTTTATTAGAACACCTGACAAGACAAGCCAGCTTTTCTTCAATGGCTTTATGGGAGTTCATGTAGATGATTTCATTGACCGCGTCATCCAAGTGCTCTTCTACAGTGGGACTGTCAAAGTCCAGAGAAGTTTCGAAGATTTGAGGTACCCAATGGAGAGAACGAATCCGTTCTTGGAGAGAGAGATCAGCAACTTCTTCGTCAGTTCTAAAACACAAAATTAATCGAAAATAAGACAACTTGCTTAGTGCAGAACAAGAATTTGTGGGCTTTGACTGAGATATAAGTTTCGACTTGTTCCAAAAGAGCAGTTGAAGTAAACTCGGGGTTTGTTGCGCGATATCTGTTGGCCTTGTCGGCTAACTGTTTGTAAAAGTTTACCACAAGTAGGGACAGGTCTTCCATAGAATCGTTTTCATGCTGAAATAAGATAAGATTGAGGACCAAAACGAGTTTAATCCATATCAAAAATAAATCACCTACTTCTTTTATGGTCTCAATAATTTCCTTGCAATTTCTTTCCAAATCAGCCGCAGGAATTGGTTGGAAGTTCTTCATCAAGTAACTTCTGAAGGCTTTTTCGACAGCCAGAGATTCCGGGGAAAGACTGTAATTGGGGGGATTATCCGAGCGAAAGAAAACATCAATTTCTGGTCTCAAAATGGACAAAAAAACCTCCATAAAACTATTTCCACAACCGGTGATGACAAAAATGAACAAAATAAAGGCTTACCTTCTGGATTGGCGCTCATGAGTGGGAGATCCGTTGTCTGAAATTTGGGGGTTATCATCGGATTTGTCAGCAATGATCAGCAGATCCAGACCCTCAAGTTTTGCCGGTTTAATCGGTAGCCCTTCATCTAATTTCCATCGAAACCACTTCATTTTCATTCTAATATAGTTATTTCTCTCTCAAACTGGTGACAATCTCGCAAGAACCCGCCAATATTGCAATATATCAATGACAAAACTCAAAATAAACCCCCTTCTACACTTGATAACATAACATCCCCGGCTTCGAACCCGCCAACCCAGTCATCCTACCCTTATCAGTCCGGAATCTGATTAATTTTCCATCCGAACAGCTTCTTTTAGGTTGAGAACGGTCTTGCGGGTGCTCTCGTGACCCGAGATAGTTAGAACAATAAGGTCCCGAGGAGTTTCTTTTGTATTTATATCACTAAAAAGACATGTGAACTCAAAAAGCGTTAATAAAGGGCAAAACAATTGAGCTGCTGTCTGGAATCATCATCAGAAACTAGAGTAATAAAAAGTAAAAGGTCAAAGAAAAATTTCAATGGAGGCCACGCAAAAATTAACACAAAAAATCATACGCCTTTTGCAACAAATACGTTTCTAAACCAAACAACCGAGTTCTCTGGACTTTCATCAACTGGCTTCCCGCTCAAAAATAACCCCTTCTCGATTGGAACAGCTTACCAGAAACCAAAACGTGACTCACAAGTTCAATAACCAATTTCGCAATCGAATCAAGTAAAAATTATGCAAAATAGACCTAAACCCAGCATGAATCCTTCTCCAAAATCAACTAAAGATGCACTCTCCCCACAGAAGCCACGATTTTGATGTGCTCTGGACTAAAAATATTGCACTCGTTGATCATATTATATAAAAATCGCTTCCTTTTACCAAATAAACCCATATTAATCTCTAAAGAACAGAATTCTGTGCCGATGAAATAATAGAAAACTGCTGGGGCTGCAAAAATGTCTGAAAAGTTATTGGGGTGGCTCCATTTTTGATAAAAAAAGGTCAGCACAGACGGGAAGGACTGAGTAAAAAGCGGAATAATGGCCTTAATCTACCTTATACAACTGGCATAATATATTTTTGGAATGAATAAATGGCTAGAAAAGGAGCGAGTTACACTTCTCGCAAGAAATAGGCTTATATATATTCAGGATTACAAAATTATACAATCTGATTCGATTGTTTAGCTGGTGTTTCTTAATCAGTGAAACACCACGAAATTTTTTGATTTCTGGGGATCAAACCTCAATCTCTTTCTACTCCTCAGAAACCGACAAAACTCTAGAAAAACATGGAGAAAAACAAGCATAATATTTACAGTTTCATCGCAACACACGATAAAACAACCAAAGACCTCAAGGAATGTGGAAACAGAAGATATTAGGCTTAAAATTGAAAGTGGACTTACTGCTTGAAGTGGAAAACATCGAAGGAGACTTCTTGATAATCGCGCGAAGAGAAGTCTTTGGATCGACGGACAAACGCCGGTCATTTTGACTTAGAAGAGACCTGAAAAGAGCAAACTTATCGATAAGAAACGTGCACAGATTGTCTAACGATGCAAAGACTAAAATAAAAACATCCACATTATTGCAGTAGACAAGCCTAATCGTCTCCATAGAAGAACCTCTTACCTGTTTCGATTAAAATGCTGAGCCCTCTTCTGCTCGAACTGATGAGCCCGATAACATTGGGAGCAGAGATTATTCCACTGAGGAGCTCCATAGAATCCACATTGATTCTTACATAACTAAACCCAAAGTAAAAGAGAATGAAAGATAAACATACCAATTGTTGCTCTGTTATCGAAACACGACATCCCCGATCCTCCACTAAAGGTGTGCTCATCTTTTTCTTCAACCTCGAGTGCTCAGCGTAGAGTGCAGAATATCCGTACGATCTGAAAAAGCGAAGGCTTTTACAAGTTGTGATGTAATTAAATCAATATTTTCTTTGAAACAAACATCATTTGCCCCAAATTAGATTATACTTGTCCGCGAAACCGTTGGAATTTGGTGGGAACTGTCTCTAAAATCAAAGTTAAACAGAGTTGCCTCCTTTCCGCAGTGCAGTATAATATAATTTGATGCCCGTCACAAAAGTTTAACCGTTTTTGGTTTGGGGGAAGAGTGAGAGCTGCACAAATCCGTCGGAAAAACAAAATTGGACTCTCGCGAGAGTCCGAAAAAATCTATTTTCCACAAAAATTTAGAGAAACGGAATGCCAACGGACTGCGAAATGGGCGGAAAAGGAAGTTTTGGAGAGTTGTAAGTAAAGAATAAGGATATCCGGATACAGGGAATGATTTTTTTACATTAGAAAATAGTTTAGAAACAAAATAAACTATATATGTATATCAGAGCTTTTTTGGCATGCCTAACACAACAAAAGAAGAAAGAGCAAAAGTTGAGTCCTCCTAGATTGACCGATTTGAAGGCCGAATGACCTAAGAGCCTACGCGACACGCGATATGCACGTGAAAGCAACGCGTGGTTGATGGCAGAGATATTCGAGGTACGGGAATGTCGCATCCCTTATTCGCCACGAGTTTAATATATGTGCAAAAATACTTCCAACTGAAAATAGACCTGGGTTTGTCCTTTACCGGCAGGAAGTCGGAGGGGAGTATGTTTAATCTGGCGGCAGATCACATGAACTAAACAAACATTTTTATTTTTTTTTTTTGGCAGTGACATCTCTTATCACCTCTCTTTATACTACAAATAAATATAAAAGTATCGATTGCAGAACCAGACGTGACTGTATAAATGTGTTTATGCTAAGTCACTAAGATATCAAGAAATAAGACTTTTGTAAAGTGAAGAATTTTGAAAACTTCAAAAATGACATTTTTGTAAGCGAAATTCTAAAAGAACACTGTTTTTGTTGTCTGTGGCTGTTTTTTGTTTGATCATTCGATGGCATATGATTCATCTATTAGAGATTTGCCATTTTGAATTTTGTCATAAAAATTCTGAAGAAGATATCTTTCTTACATTTCGTAGGTAATATGTAGTAATATCGAGGAATATTATAATAGAGCTTCTTACATTCGTGCAAAAGCTTCGACCGAGCGAACCATCCTGTACAATATAATGTTGGAAAAACATCTGGGATGACCTTTGGTATATACCTACAGAATGCATTCGACATTCGAGATGACGTCATAACACTACACATCTGCCAAATATTCACTTTTTATCCATTTAAACATATGGTAAGTACGTATGTTATATAAAACAACAAATCTTACTGCTATTTCTCATGAGATCTGTTCAGATTCCACATGGCCGTTTAATCAGATGATCTTTAAGAGTCATTTTCCGTGCATAATGTTTTATTGCGAATTCCCAGACATTTGGATTTGCAAGAGAATGGAATTGAGAGAGCAAGTACATTGCCAAAGCGTTACAACGTTATTTTTAAAGATCAAATAAATATCAGTGGGGAAAATGGCCGGAAGTCAGCGTGATAATGGTACTCATACAGTTATTTTATGAATGGTCTCGGCTATTCTCATACAGCTTCTCGAACCTTGTTATCTTTTGTGTGTATTTAAAATTATTTTCAAAATAAAGTCATCTTTTGTAAACACATTGATATAAGACTGGCAACAAAATCTGTTTTCATAGTGTTACGATGTTTCGCCCCAAATTAATTTTATTTTGAGGCGGAAGTTGTTTACAAGACGTAAGCAATAACAAAAAAGTCGTGCAAAATAAAACCCTTTTAAAATGACTTCACTGGGTATCTCTAACGTCTTCATAAAGTTTATTTCTACCACTTTCATTTCCACTACATAACTTTTTACAATTTTCTTTTCCGATGACCCACAAATTGTGTCATCGAAAGCATTAAAGCGTACGAAAGGTAAGATCAATTTCCGCCAGTCCAATCACTGAAGAAGATGATGAATTTGGAATGTCATCAGAAGCGATGTCTTCCCAGTTTGCTTCACCTTTGTGATTGGACTTTTCGACCAAAGTTAAACGACTAAAGACAAAGTTATTTCAAGTCATTTACAGAGGCAAATAATTTAGTTTATTGAGTAAGTTTGTCTTAAAGTAACTCAAAAGACTAAGTCTGGTTACAGATTGATCAAACCTTTGAAAGGCTGCTTTTCTTTACTGTGGCTCTGAATTTACAGTATTTTGATCAAGTAAATATCAAAAGGGAACCCCTTCGTATTTTGAACTACCAAATATTCGAGCTGTTACTAATGTTTTCTTCGTTTGTGCAACTTGGAATCTCGTTTTCCTTTTTTAATCATTTCTCATGAGTTTTGATAACCTTGTTCTTAATTACGTCCCGTTGATTCGGCCGACCGTACCTTGTTAACGCGCGTTCTACCGTTTCCGTCAGCTTTAGGAGATCATTGAGCTCTCGTCGTTTGAATACTTTTGTTCAATTTTGAGTTCCCCCATTCGAATGAGTAATGCATTTTAATTCGCTTTTCGCTTAATTTGTTTCCAAAGTCTGAGAAGTTTTCTGGACATCTTCCTGATCCCCTTAAATGCACAATTCATTGCGTGTTCAGTTGTGTATGTCCAAGTTATCAGTCAAAAATTGTAAAATGATTGCAAAAAGGACGGTTTTTTGTAGTCACACTTGTTTTGGGTTTTTTGTTGGTGGCGCGAGGCGGAGACTTTTTGTGATGATTACGTACGTATATAAGCTGTCACAAAAGTTACTGCATAAGGGTGACAAAACGAGGGCTTGCGACCTTTCGTCGTCTATTATCGTATTATCCTTAAATTTTTGTTGTAACATTACACCTCCGCATCGTAATTGTAGGTCAATTAAATGGTAACATTACCCATATGTTTGTTAATATCTTTTCTTTTATCCCCTAATACTACAGTGTTACACCATAAAGATTAAGATAATAATAAAGTCCAAATGAGCATTACACATACTAGTCTTGAAACCTGTGTTACCCTTTTTTTTATGCTCGCAGATACATTTTGTGCATAAACCCCCTAAGGCGATCATGATGGTGACATCTGGAAGTTAATTGAATGTGAAAACCTCCAAGTTCTTACTTCCGGGGCTCATAACCATAATGGTGGACTACTTATTTTCGATTATTACTCACTTATTTTGTTCTTTCCTCATTCAAAATTTGAATTCGAAACGATGTAACCTCTCCCCCTCCCATTTCGAGTCATACTTTTTCCAGTTAATGTTTCCCGGCGTTTTTTTTCATTTGGCCAATTTTTGAGTGCAAAAAATCGGGCGAAATGAATGGAAACAGCGGTCAGAATGGCCACGGGTCGGCTACACCCCTCGGGCATGGAAGGGACGGTGCTCGGAAAACGACCCTAAGGCGTTTTTTGACTTGGAGCCTGCTATAAATACGGTCTGAAACTTAGGCCATGATCTATGGATCTGATGATTTTGCTCTCTCTCGGACAGTTGAGTTATTTCTTTGCTCATTAGTTGGGGGATCCCTTGAATATCGATATAAATAATGAACGGATGAGGGAAGGTTTTGCAGGAGGAGGGTTCCCTGGCAATTTTTAGGTCTTGGGGGCAAAACAAAGAATAATATTAGCCTTTCCAAACAAGGATCAACTCCTGCTCTACAAATTAAGGTTTAATCTTTTTTCAAAGCCCCACGTTGATGCCGATATCGCCTCCAACTAAACATTTGATTTTTTAGATTAAATTTTGATCAATCCCAATCTCCTCATTTGCTCATGACTTTTACTTTTCTTTATTGTTTGTGTTTATTTTGCAAATTCCAAAAATTAGAAAAATGTGTAATGGGAAATGATTGGCTTTGATACGCTGGAACTGGTTGAATCAAAGTTCACTTTCCTTGTAAAAACTTTGATATTTTTCTCTCACCTTGAGTTGATTTCCCAAATGACTTGTCGCGTGTTAAGAGTGCTCCTTTTGAGTGCGCCTTTCCTTAATTAGTTCTTAACACCCATTGCGGGTACTTTTTTTATTTCCCTTTTCACTCATTGGGAAGGTTAGATGTCACGCTTTTTGCGCGGTAAAATACAGTAGCTGAGAGGGCAGGCAAGATGGTATTTGGTCTGTCACGGGTATCTGTGGCTACTTACGTTACCCATGCATTTTTTTATTCTTTTATCAGAGATAAAGCATTTAGAAATTCAGAATGGAAAGCTCTTTCTCAAACAAAGGCTAGCCGAAAACCTGGATCGGCTAGCCAAAGAGTTCGATTGGATTGCCAAATTGTTAGACCTTCACAGACAAGAGCAACGGTAGAAAACACCTTTGACAGCCATTCTGACACATTGGCTAAGCCAATCCAGCTTTTTGGCAAAATTTTTTTTGGGTGTCATAAAAAGGTTCCATAAGCAAAAAGACCCGTTGAGAAAAAAGATCCGCTTTGCAAAGACGGTCCGCCAAGATTTGGACATCCAACTTGGCCTTGGCTACGACCAAGATCGCGCGCTTGGTTGTGTGGGATCTATCCTCCGGTATGAACAGGGAGTAACCTTCGCTGGCCGATCTGCCCCAAATGAAATCTGCCTCAAATGAAGGGCTGCCAAATATGCGCCGTTGTACGTCACCCAAAATTGCTACAATTACATAGATTGTCGTTGTCGTTTTGCAAAAGCAAAATTTGATTAATGTAACCAATGTCATTTTTAAGAAACCTGCAAGTGTACCCAATTAAATATGATAGCCTACAAAAGATGGCATCCCCCTCCTTGGTGGCCATACTGTTCTTTGGACAATTTTTGATCTCTCTGTTTTTCAAAAAACAAACTCGGATAACACGGTCTGGGGGTTTAATTACACTTTGTGTGGGATATAGATTTCACCTGGGTATCCCCTTGTTTCATTCCGAGACTCAAAAGAACCCTCTCATTTATACGCTCGAGAAATGTTTTTCCTTATCAATTTTGTACGCCATTTCTTAATTCTGTACATTGATTTTGTGAATACTCGGTCTTATTTGTCAGCATATAAGAGTATTGTTTACAGTACCCAGTACTCAACATGGCTGAGAAACCCGTCCTGGGGAAGCCGGAAGAAGGACAGACTCTTCTGAACGGTGATTCTCAAAAGAATGGAAACGGATTAAGTAATGTTGAGAATGGAATTTACGAGAGTACAACAAGCAATGCAGAAGAAGAAAGAGGAACATGGAGTGGCCCCCTTGACTTCCTGATGAGCATGATCGCTTATGCAGTTGGATTGGGTGAGTTTACAAGTCATAAAAATAAATACCCCAACGAAAAAGCAACGCTGATATTCTTTAACGCTATTATTCTTTAGGCAACGTCTGGCGATTCCCATATCTCTGTTTCCGGAATGGGGGAGGCTCTTTCTTGTTCGCCTACAGTTTCTTTTTTGTCCTTGCTGCTGTCCCCATCTTCAGTATGGAGGTAACGCTCGGGCAATACCTTCAAAGAGGTGCTATGGAGATCTGGACGATGTGCCCCTTATTCAAAGGTGTTGGCATCGGCAATGTTGTTATCTCTTTCATGTGCATCTCCTATTTCTGTGTCATATCAGCTTGGGCTATCTATTATATGATCGCGTCATTCAACACCACTTTCCCATGGGAGACTTGTGCTAATTATTGGAATGACAATAAATGTATCACCGGAAAAGAGAGACATGTTGATCTACACCGAATTAAAGCAAATTTATCCAGATACGGTCTACAAACAGAGACATCAGTGGAACAATACTGGGAGAGAAGGGTGTTAATGGTGACGGATAACATCTCAGAGTTTGGAGGCATCCAATGGGAACTGTTCTTTATCATGGCCGTCGCGTGGATCATCGTTTATTTCGCTCTTTGGAAGGGAATTACCAATGCCAGGAAGTTCGTCTACTTCTGCGCTTGCTTCCCTTACTTTTTAATCGTCGTTTTGCTAATCAGAGGGTTAACTCTACCTGGTGCTTTCACTGGAATCTCATTTTACTTAACTCCAAACTTTACCAAACTCTCGGAGCCCGCCGTCTGGCAAGATGCTGGAACCCAAGTCTTTTACTCTTATGGTGTTGGTTTTGGCACTCTGATCGCTCTCGGATCTCACAACAAATTCACTCATAATTGCTATCGGTGAGTATCAGACGTTGTATTGTTTAGCGAGAAAATTCATTTTCTCGGCGCCGATGCGATTTTCGATGCGACGTTGCGCTCATTATTTTCCCGACAGACTGATAATACGGCTATTTCTTTTCAGTGACGCGATTATTATGTGTTTTGTGAATGGGGGCACAAGTATCTTGGCGGGCACGGCAGTCTTCGCTATCCTCGGATACATGTCACTCATAGCGGAAAAAGATATCGCCGAGATTGTGAAGCCGGGAGTCGGCCTCGCTTTCTTGGCCTACCCTGAAGTCGCAAGTAATCTCCCAATGAAACAAGTTTGGGCTTTTTTATTCTTCCTTATGATCACAATCCTCGGACTGGACAGTCAAGTAAGTGACCGTCTTGTAATTGTCAACAAAATCTCCCGTTACGTTAAATTTTAATTTTCTTATAGGTCTGCATGGTGGAAGGTCTTTTCACAGCCCTCGAAGATACCTTCCCCACTTATCTCCGTAAACATAGAAAGAAGTGTCTAGGCGCTACCTGTCTATTCTTCTTCATCCTCGGCATCCCTATGGTCTCCTTTGCGGGGTCCCATTGGCTGACTTTAGTCGATAATTACGGTGCGTCTGGCTATGCCCTACTTTTCGTCGTGTTCTTCGAAGTTGTCGGACTTTCCTGGGGAGTTGGTGCGGAAAGAATCAAACAGGGACTAAAGGAGATGATAGGGATCTACCCAAACCCTGCGTTCCCAATCTTGTGGAAGTATATCTCTCCAGCCGTTACATTGGTATGTTTCGGAATCATAAACAAGACCTCAATCTTTATTTTCAGCTGATGTTCATCCTCTGCACTGTTATGTACACTCCCATTTACTACAGTGATGGTCGTCCATTCCCAATTTGGGCCCAGCTCTTCGGAATCTGTCTCTCCCTCTGTTCGATGGTTGTAATCCCTGGTTATGCTATTTATTACATGGCCACCAAACCAAAAGGACAGACGTGCAAGGAGAGATTCTTGAAAGGTGTATATCCACCGAAAGAATTGGACGAACAATTAGAACGTAGGCGGCAAGCAGCGGCGCTGGCCAAACAAGCGGAGGAAGAACAAAGGCTGATTACTAAATGAATTTCTCGGTAATTGTGATTACTCTGGGTTTGCTTGCATGCTATCCTTCGACTCTTCCTTTCTTACTCTCCTTGATCTTTAATCTCATTTGCTATCTCTCCTCTAATTAAGTGGCCTTACTCTGTAACCTGGCGTATCTTCCAAGGACCTCCGCTTCTTTCCTTGATCTTATGTTAAGATCGGCTTGAATAAGGATAGCCAATGTAATCATCATTTGTCTACTCTCATTCCTTAATCCTTCGTTTATGGGGCTTTATCTGTTCGAACGAAACACCATCATCTAGTATCATAATTCACACATAATCTTGTCTATCCGGTTACTATTTTTGATTTCATATAACGGTTACCATCTTCCCTGTTTGAATAAATTTTTGAATCCCAGACGGCAATAATTGTATCTAATTGTAAGAGTGTGCAGGAAGTGGAGCGGAAAGAATAGCTTCTTTAATTTGCCTCAGGACAAATGATGCGTTCTTTCATGAAAAGACGCTATCCAAGCTTAAAAATAAATTTTGTTGTCTACAATCCATATTATTTTGGGCATAGCTAGCCGTGTCTATTCAAGCATACAAAAATATCTCTTATCTTTCTCCAAGCAAAAGCAAGTATAATATACTGCTTCATTCGCTTCGTCATCATGCCTCTCTGTGGGCCCGCTAGAAATGCGCAAATTAAGCGTTTGAAAGGTTCGTCTCTCAGGATTGTCAATTTGACCAAAATGACAACAATTTGACGTCACTAGTCAGATTGAAAAAATGACGTCACCAGTCAGATTGAAAAAAATTAGCACACTGCAATGCACCGGTTTGTAAACCTCTCGCGAAGACATTTTCATTGTGTCAACGGAATGCCACAGTGAATAATGATTGTTGCGGAGTATCAAATTATTTTTTTTACTTTGCGCGCAAGGTAATTGCAATGTAATAAATTCTAATGAATCCTCCGTAATTGTCGTATCAATTCAAAAAAGTTTGTACTTTTTTTGAGTTTACTTCGAAATTAATGTGTTTATAAAAGAAAGCGGCTTTTTGAAGGTCGCGTACCCTTTTCGCAGCTGCACCTTCCTCGTTTCCCTTGATTCATAGAAATTTTCGGTATTGAAGTGTGTATTCTTATCCAGTTATTCAGTTTGAACGGGTTCCTGATGTTTTGAGTGGTCAAAAAGCGCGGCCGGCCACTTCAATCCTCCCAACTGGCGAGATTTTTTCTTTTTATGTTGTACTTTGCTTCTAACCTTTTCTTGGATAATATTTTCTTGTTTAGGTGGCCAGCTCAATTCTCTATATTATAATGTGTTAGATTTTTATTGGTATTTCTTTTATTGGTAACTCTGCCAAGATGTTCTGCCGCATCTCTTGGTGTGATTGTCGGAGTTGTCTCGCCCGGTTCGAGAACTGCTTCTTCAATTTCCTGGCCAATAGCAAGTTTATGAAATACATGGATTACTTTATAAAGCACATTCTCGGAAAGGTGAGTCTTTATTATTTTTCCTTCTTGGTTTAGTTTTATCCACGTTCACGAACTTATTATTTTCGTCAAATTTTTTTAATTTTTCAAGTAATTTTGTTTGTCGAATTTTGATTGATTTGCAATGCCAAGTTTTTCTGGTCGAGTATACATTCCAGTGGCTTATAAAGAGGCGAAATTTTGGAATTTACTTCGCTTAGGTTCCCGATGTCTTCTTACTCCGGTAAAATAATACTTTCGTCGTATTTTATTAGTGGAAGGCTTATCTTTTTTGAATGTTTCAGATCTTGGTGGTCCTTGTGTATGGCATTATGTTATTCATCGCATTTGAGATTGCCTTTATCGCTCTTCCATACGAATCTCTTTACAAACCCAAATGGATGGTCATCCTCTTGGTATTTGTGGCTGCGTATTTTATATTTTCGATATTGTATTACTACTATAAGGCCAGTAAAACACCACCAGGGTCGCCAAAGAAGGTAAGTTGTGGTGTTATATTATCTTAGATAATAGTAGGTCTAAAGTAAGGTCGATAGCATTGCTGGTTTGGTATTTATTTTTTATTTTTAGAGAACAGGTACCCCCTTCTGTTATCGATGCCAGAACTTTAAGCCTTTTAACGCTCATCATTGCCATATCTGTGATATTTGTGTATTGAACATGGACCATCATTGTGTGTGGATAAATCAATGTGTGGGTGCTCAGAATCATCGGTACTTCCTGCAATTCATTGGGTTCTTGACTGTGGGATGCTTTTTGTTTGTGGTAGTCACCTTCCCAACCTTCTATCACAATTATTGGAATGTAAGTTTACATATATCCAATTACAACATTTTTTAAAATTTTAGATTAAATACGATACCTTCTGTAATCGTCTAGAGTTGGATTATCTTCCCTGGAAGGAGAACTTTTGTATAAATGGCCAAGAGTTTGTGATGACATCCGTTTTCTTTGCCTATTGCTTAGCCGGAGTTGTTTTCTTCTTGGTCGGGGGTCTTTTCTGGTGGAATTTCTCTTTAATCTCATCGGGACAGACTTACATCGAATTTTTGGTATGTTTAGTATTCTATTTTCATTTGTTTTTTGTATTTTAGAAAAATGGAGAGCGACGCGGATGTATGCAAATGGTCCTTTGGCCATTTGGCGCTACTCATTTTCGAAGGAATTGGGAGAATTTCCTTGGATTGAGAAATGGGAAGACCTTCTGTCGCAATATACTTCTACCATCTAGCCATCTCACCTACACGGACGAAGAAGATCTGGCCAGACTCACGATTGTCTAGAGATATTACATTGTACTTGCCTTATTTTGTGATTCAATCTTTTAACGGGTCATTTTATTAACAATTGTTATGTGGTATAATAAGTAATTGATAAAAATACAAAGCAGATCAAGTGAGAAAGGTGATTGAATTTCATAAAAAAAAAACCGTAATTATGACGTGTGGAAACAATAAAAATCCCGAAAATTTGCATGGAGATCTCGACCACAAACTGCATTATAACTTTTTTTCGTACTCAGAATTGGTGATGGTTTATGATCAATCTTTTATTATAATCCGAGATGATGAACATCGTATCCCCATCCCCGAGAAATGGAGGGATTACTCTGTTTGTTTTGAAGTAAGTAATTTTATTATAAAAATTTGTTCCAGATTCTCCGTTACATCTTTTTCTGTATGATGTTCTTTATAACATTCTTTGTTGTTTTCATCGCTGGACCTTTTGAGTTGATGTACAAGTCTGGATGGATTATACTTGCATTTTACGTTGTCTCCGCGTATCTGATGACCAATGTTTTGTATCATTATCACAAAGCTTGTTCTCTGAAACCAATAAAAATGAGACAAGTTAGTGTTTAAATTACGAAAGATAATACTATTATAGGACTTGAATAATTTTATTTTACGCTGTATCCTCAAGTGTTTTGTAGCTTGATCGTGACCCCATCTGTAGCATGTGTAAAACCTACAAGCCCTCGAATGCCCACCATTGCCAGATGTGTGACACTTGTGTATTTGACATGGATCATCATTGTGCTTGGATAAATAACTGTGTTGGGGCTCACAATCATCGACACTTCTTCCAGTTTTTGGTCTTTTTATTTCTCGGAGCTATCGTTTTGGTTATTAATTCCACCAACACTTTTTATTATGGATTTTATGTTGTAAGTCACCTGTCTAATCACACAATTCTTTAGGGAAATGATCAGGCTTACTGTAATAACACTCAACTGTCTTATCTTTTATGGCGAGATCTCCTTTGTTCTTACGGTAATCTTCCCATTTATTTTTGTATCGTCGGGGCTTTCTACTTAAGTTTTGTCACCATAATTATGGTAGGATCTCTGGTCTATTGGAATTTCGCGATGATTTCGTTTGGAACGACCCTTGTGAAAGTCTTGGTACGTTAGTTTTGGATACGGTTTAGCAATTTTACTGTCCCAGAGGAACGAAGGCGCTCCAGTCTGGAAGATCGCCCTTTGCCCCTTACTGGCACCTCATTTTAAACGAAACTGGAGACGATTCCTTGGTCTCAGAGGACGCCGAAGTTGCTGCAGAAGACTGTTGTTACCCTCAGGCCATAAGGATTACAATCAGATGGAGGCTGAAAGTTATTCCTGAAATTTGATTTGGGTGTTGCATAAAATTTGTCAATTAAACTGTTGGAAACCTGTTTTTAAAACTTGTCGTGAGTCACTCGAGGATATCCAAACGGTCTTTTATACTCTTCAGTCGAGGGGTTACTTCTCTCTTTCAACTTGTGAATATCGAGGTAAACAGAGGTCGCGTTGACAATGGAAAACCGAATGGTTTAATGTTTTGAATTTTCAAAGGTTCCAAATTTTAAAAATGTAATTAGTTTTACAATCTCGGATGTAATCGGTCGGGATGATTAGAAATAATGAATACATCTCGTTGACGGAACTTCAAGAGAGACAGAGAATTGAGGATAGAAAAACGAAACGAATCATCGGAAAGGTAAGAGATTATGAAGTTGGCAATGATTGTTCAGGTCTGCCCATTCCTAGTTTACGGACTGTTATCCTTCGTCGTTCTCAATATTATCTTTATTTTCCTTCCATTCGAATCTCTCTACAAACCACTATGGTTGGTCATAATGTTATGCATGATGACAGTTTACTTCGTATCTTCTATTGTATTTTCTTATTACATGGCATGCAACACCCATCCCGGATCTCCAAGAAAGGTTTGTGTCCCACTTTTATTCATAAGACAATTTCTGATTGTCAGAAATCGTCTTATAAACAAAAGAAATATTCCTATACTGGTGCTGTGGAACATATTTATGCAAAAATCCTAAAAAATGCCATGGCCTAACTACGGCATGGTTTACAATTGTAGTAACTTGTTAGTAACACGGAATTGTGTTCTATTGCGCAATCATGTTCTCCTTTTCTCTGCTTATGATTTCGCCTCTCTTCTCTCTCGCTTTCGAAGTGAACCCATTTCACTTCTCTGTTTCAAAGGTCATCTTCATTTTCTCTTTCCACTTGTCTTCAGCTTTGCGCAGAGGCGATAACGTGACCCATGAGGCCTAGCCGAGGTGCGTTTATTGCTGGTTGAAAACTTCTACCAATTGCCCGCCACGCTGCCTGCCTCGCGCGGTATGCGCTGGCAATTTTTGGACGGCCAATGGGCCTAATTTTCTTGCCCTCCTTCTAGTAAACGGAATGTGGCTGCGGTAATCGCGTCGCTGAAGTGAAAAGAAGTTTGATTTTGTCGCGGCTGAATTCGTTGTCTCGGTGTTATTTTCAATGCGATAGAGCGTTCACTAAGTATTTTTCTCACGTCAGCAGAATGATAAGTCTTGCACGCTCCTTTAAAATTCAGAGCATAAATTTTAGCGGCTTGGAACTCCCGTCTGCTACTATTGCAAAGGTTACAAACCGTCGGGTGCTCATCATTGCAATGTTTGTGAGACTTGTATATTGAATATGGACCATCATTGTGTCTTCATAAATTCCTGCGTCGGCGCTCAGAATCATCGATATTTCATCCAATTCCTCGGATTTCTCTCCATCGCTTGTCTTCTCTTTGTCATTTTTACTTGGAGGACCTTTTATTACAATGTTGTGGACTATCTTCTGGGCAGTGTAAGTGTATTCAAAAATGAATAATTTCATTTTTCAGGGGAAACGTTCCTTCTGTGCTCAAGAGAAGTTGTTCTTTGTCTCCTGGAGGGATACTCTGTGTTACAGTAATTATTTGGTCGCGATCCCTGTGGCCATTGTGTTCCTTTTATGTTTACAGATCTTTGCCTTTGCCGGTTTTTTATTCTGGCAAAACTTCTCAATGATTTCATTTGGAATTCTTTACATCGAATCCCTGGTAAGTTGAGGAATACGTGAGGTTTTAATATAAAGTAATATTATATTATTCATTCGTACGACGTTTAGAAGAGTGACAAAAAGAGCTCGCTCCAGATGTATTTGTGGCCATTTGGGGCTCCAAACTTTACGAAAAACTGGAGAAATTTTCTGGGATTGCACTTTGGAAGAAGATTCTGGTCGCATATCCTCCTTCCCTCCACTCATAAGCCTTTTTTCCATGAAGAATATACCCCTCCTATGTGCAACTTGTGATTTGCACTTTAATTTGTAAATAAATTATTTATTGGAAAATATATTTTAACGAGGTATAATGCTGGCAGTTCCAGTAATAATCGAGACCTGAGTGCTTTTTTGATTGCCGTAGGCCTTGCATTTCCCACAACTCAATCTCTCCATTAAAGTTCGACGATAGGGGGTGACCAGAACCAGGGAAAGAGTCGCATTTAAAGTGGGATGCCATGATAATGGAGTGGTGATAAAAGCGCCAGTGAACTTAAAATTAAATCCCAAAACAATGGAAGCGAGTAATAAGAGCAATGGGAAGGTCCCACAAACCATCGCTGTCCCGGTCTGAAGGATTCGTATCAAAAATTATTAAGTTAAAACATAGGAGATTTAATTGTAATACAGCCCACACAAAATTAAAAAAATTACCTGAGCAATTAGATTTCTTGTGAACTGGCGTTGTAAGCTTTTTGTTTTGTCGGTCACAAATCTTGATTTTACATTTGCTTGAAGATAGTTGAGAATTACATAGTAAAACTCTACTAGATGGCAGGCAGTGAGCAGAATTACGCACACAGGGACAAAGGCAATGGTGTATGGGTTATACTGAAATTAGTAACATTGTTAGTAGACAGTAGTAACGATTATATTAGAGCAATCGGTGTAAAATAAAGCGTTAGACGAAGAATTGTCACAACTTCGACGAAAACGTAGATATTAGGCCCATTGGCCGTCCAAAAATTGCCAGCGCATACCGCGCGAGGCAGGCAGCGCGGCGGGCAATTGGTAGAAGTTTTCAACCAGCAATAAACGCACCTCGGCTAGGCCTCATTGGTCACGTTATCGCCTCTGCGCAAAGCTGAAGACAAATGTAAAAGGAAAACGAAGATGACCTTTGAAACAGAGAAGTGAAATGGGTTCACTTCGAAAGCGAGAGAGAAGAGAGGCGAAATCATAAGCAGAGAAAAAGAGAACAGGATTGCGTAATATAAATAAATATAGTGTTGAAAATAGCGACGCCTCACGATCGTCAGTTGCAGTGTCAAATTGGCGTCCAGAAGACTTTATGCTCTGAGTAGTAATAAACTCGCGTTTGGAAGATTCGCATATCAGCCTTTTCAATTTGAGCAAAATGACGCCAATTTGACTCTACTTGATGTCAAGTTGACGTCAGATCGACAAAAACTCCGTCAAATTAACAACACTATTAAAACCAATTGTAAGAAAATAAATAGAATTGACCATTACCAATGTAATCATGTAAATGAAGACCCCTCCATCGCTCGGCGAATGCCATGTTGGATCGAATTGCTCCATATAAAACGAAGCTCCTTTCTTCATCGTACTCACCATAGCGACTGCCAAGAAAATGGATAAAAAAGAGGAAAGGCTGACTGCAAACAACATGTTCCATAGGAAATGTTTAACCGAAGTTGATGGATTTGCAATGATCTTAAGGCGATAATAAAACTGAGGGGGAAGAATGATCATATTCTGGAACATGACGATAAAGTGGACGGTCATTAAAATGGGGTGGAAAAAGAAGGGAAGATAGGGCTCCACTCCATAGGATACGAAGTAGGCAGTGCTGTTGTAGATATAGGTTTGCTGAAAAGAAAAATAACCAAAGGCGTTCACCTACATGTTGCATTGTAACCTCAAAAATACAAGAGCATAAGTCTTGTATTGTAGTCGCAATGAGCAGATGAGAAAACGCCTTTGCTCTCGACTTTGTAGTCAACACAACCCATAATAGTAATCCATTTAAAACAACTCCCAAAGATGCACTTGAGAAGGATATGACCCATGGAATGTACATTCACAACAATTACATAACTCCTGGTGTTTTCTGGATTCCTAGACTTTTATACCAGTGTTTTTTCAGAGCAGGTGTTACTACGAAATTAATGTCATCAAAGATTTCTTTTCTTATAATCATAGGGCGAATAATTTTTCTTGCATTAAAGTACAGTAATTTTTGAAGGGAAAAAAGTTAAAGACACACAGAAACAGGGATCTGTTATAACAGTCAAGTCGGGAAGTTTGGGATTTCCAGAATGGGAAATTTCTACTTGTTAATGCGACTTTGTTTCTACAAAAACAATTTAGAACAAAGCGCAAAATGTTTCTTTACTTTGCCGACTTCATTTGCTACGTTTCTTCGCTCAAAAATCTTTAAGGACTTTGGTTGCACAAACTACGAACTCGAATTCTCAGACTATGATGGGGCCTGAGAGATCACCAATATAACTGAAGAAATTTGACTAAAAAATTATTTTTTTAAAATCCAGTTGACCTCATCGCATATGCATGAACTCTGATAAATTAGTCTACCTCGATTTCAAACTATATTGACAGGTGTATAGAACATGACTTTGATTTCTAGCTTGATGTCCTTCTAATTACAGTAATCCTGTTCAAATGTTCAATTTAAGCCACGGATATTTGTTAAATTTATATTGTGTATAAGCAGTTTGTTAACAATGCCGACCGTGCCTAACTTGCCCCCAGGGAATTATGGTCATAAAAATATTCTAAAAATATTAAGCCACGAGTTTTATTTTGATTAAAGAGATCTCCAAAATGTGCTCTAGTGGTATTTATTAGTAGCTTGTTAAAGAATATACGATAGAACATATTAAATGAAATAATTAGAGTAAATGGTAGTCCTATTGGATGCTCGATGGGGAATTACCCGGAACTTTCTTCACCCAACCCGCCTTTTTCCTCTTCTCAATTAGGGGTTCTTTATTTATCCTTGTCATACATATTTTCGTACGTTGCATGGAAAACACGTGTTAAGGCAAAGGGCTTGATAAAATTATAAATGTTACAGTAGTCTCCCTTCTAACTCACTTCCGGGATAGTTAATTTCAAGGTATTTAAGGTTGACTGGGAATAAACGCTGGGTGTATCGATGATGAGAAATATGGAAAGATGTGTGGGTTGTCTTCCCACCTGTCATCCGGGCCCTTTGAATGCAATTTTAAAATTTGAAGCTATCAATGGCTTTGATGCTTGAGAGTAACTTGGGGGACATTACAACACTTGACACTAGTCTTTAATTCCGTTACTACAGGGAAGGGTATCTTTGAGGCCGGTTTGAATTGGTTATAACTTCTTTAGTTTTGGACCGAATTTTAAGATTTTTTTCTTCCTTGAATCCTCATACTTTCCCGTTTATTTGATACAAAATCTGTGAAAAATTTCGCCTTCATGGTGAAGATTAAAAAGAGAATGTCGGAAATCCGTTGTATTTTGCGTGGCAATCCAACAACCTTACAGTGTTGTGCAGAATAGGACGGAATCAAGAAATAAAAAGAACTCCTGCGTGATGAAACCGCATTGATATCAATAGTTTGTACATCCGCAAAATTGAGGCAATGTTTTCAGCTGATATACAAAGACAGAATTTTCCAAGAAGCTAAAGACAAGCCAAAAAATTTTTGTTTCTCAACTTATCCCGTCTGCGTGTCTTTTAAAGGCTTGAATTAATGATAACTTTTTCCACCTCTTTGGCGTGAATGCGGAGAAAAAATTTTCTGCAAACTCTCAGAGTCCAAACCTTGTGATTACAGTATCCTTGCAAACGACCTTGTCATCTTTTTGCTTTGATTTCCTTACTCTTTTAATTGCCATGCTCGAATCAGAAGCCATTCTCAGAAACTCTAGGGGGTGAGGCGACGTATTCTATTTATGTATGTATTTAGTTTGGGGCTCTATGTTTACAAATTGATAATCTAAACCTATTCATTTCGAATACAAATCCCTTGCCAAAGTGGGAGTGACAAAAGTTTGCTCGGCGTGTAAATTGGAATACTCTCTAATGAATCGGAAAAGATGATTCTGGCATTAGAGTCGTGTTTTGTAACTTGGATTGGAGTCTTTCAAACCTGTTGATGGCCAAATTTAAATCAATTGGGGTTGGTGATGTTTGGCGAAAGCACATGCTTGAAAGAAGCGAAGAGTGGGCTGAGAACGAATGTCCTAACGTGAGAGTAACCCCTAAGGGCATGATGATGATTGCATTCATTGCATACGACAATAAATGTTTTTATGTAGTTTGGTTGAAACATGTATTGACTTTGTTTTATACGGAATATACGTTCACATTAAATGCAAACCCCAAAGTTTGTATTTTTTTATAATTAATTCCATACGATAAATCCCTCAGGCGACTTGCTAGTCAAACTACACAGACTTTGTTTCTTTTTCAGTTTGCAAGTGGACCTTAGGAAAAAGGCAAAGCAAATTTCACCCTCTAGTAGTTTTATGTATTAAATAATATACCTGTAGTTAATTCACTTTTATCGGCCAATTAAGGCATTTTGATGGTACCTTAGAAAAATCACGTGGTACACTGATTGCGAGGCTTTCTGATGACTATATACAATCTAAATTGGGAATAAAAAAATCCTAGAGGTTCTTAAAACCTTGCCTAGCATATTACCCTGTAATAAAAGTTGTAGCACACTCATAGCAAAGTACGATAACTCAATCTGCGTCAAATCCTGATCCCGAATATTTTTCTGATTGTGAGACTTTACACTTCTGCCTTTGAACCGTGTTTTTTACTTTTGAACTTTTGTTTATTTTAATCAAACGGAATTTTTACACATAAGAAGGGAGGGCCATGGCATGAGGTGTCGTGTTATAGCCCTTCAAATTCAACTTGACATTTGTAGCTCTTCCGTTTATAACTGGCATGAACACGCAAATTCGACAAAACGTTTTTACAGTTTTATGGCTTTGTAGTTTTTAAGTACATTTACAGTTATTCCACTGAATGAAGTCATTTTGTTGTAACAAGCCTACAGTTCATCCTAAAGGGCGTTCAAAAGTTTATTTAAATTATCCTTTTTTTTATCCTGTCATTCCCCTGATTAAAATACCAAAATTTCCCTGAAGCATTTTCTTACCTGATCTGTCTTACTAATCATTTCTCCCAATTTAAATGATTAAATTGCAGCTTGTTAGATTTGGTGATCCCTCGCCCACAGTCCACGATTCTTAAATAAAATTTTAAGGCCCTCAGGGGAAGGGGGTTGTAGCGTTAACGATCGCGAGAGAAGTCAAAAGGGACGTCTGACACTCATTAGTGTAACACTTGGAGCACCATATGAACAAATAGTTTGGGACTTTTTCGGAAATGATTATATTATGGTGCGTTAAGGTTTCCCAGAAACATACGATGGCTGCCATTATTAGGCACCAAATAAATAGCTGCAAACTTGTTTTCTTTTCATTAATCGGCCATTTGAATTGACAAGTCCGCGCTTGCAATTAAGTATTTTTGAAAAAATATCCGAATGAAAAGTTAACGAAAGTGTCAAGAGAAAGTCTCGAGGTTCAAAGACGCAGCCAAGTCTTTCGGTTCTTATTCTTGGAGTTTGTTTCACCGCCTTAGAATACTGTAATTGACGTTTGTTGCGATTTTTCCATGTTATCAGTTACTGTAACATGTTATTTCCTTTCCAATATATAGGATGTTTTGTGTGCTTTGCAAACTTCACAGTGATCAGTTTTTTAGCTTTGGTTGCTTTATTCGACACTTTTGCGCTCTTAACAAGAACTGATGACATGTTGACACATTAATAATCATGTACTTTAGATGGATTTTCTGACAGCATTTTGGTGGTCTGATTCCATAGGATCGTTCTTCGGGATCTTCCTCAATCTCCTCCTCATCATGGCCATTGTGCGAACTTCTAAGGATGGATTCCACTCCTTCTCTTACCTTGTTTTAGCGTCATCTGTAAACGATATGTTATTCTCGGCATATGCTCTGCTTATTCAACATGTAAGTTGAACACTTTACTTTGTATCGCGCGCCAATTTTTGAAATAAAAACAGGATAATTTTGACACCTCAGAGAACTCTTTTATTGATCAGTTTTATTAAATTTCAGTTAGTAAAAATCGACGATGGAGTGATTTACTCGTTTCCCCGGGGAGTCGAGAAGTTTGTTCCCGAGGAATGGCTACCTGTATTTGCATTTTTCCATCTCTTTACAATCACGAATACAATCACAACACAGCCAGCGATCTACCAATACAAGTATCTGATCGTTTCCTCTCTGGGGTAGGTCTTTTATTTATCATTTTTACCTCTCAAAACTGTTGAAATTACTCAAAAAACTCAAATTTATCTCTGTACATTTGTCATCTTACTGTCCGTTCAGGCATGCTCCATCGCCCTGGAAACTGATCCGAAACCTTTTTTTCGCCGCTCTCGGAGCTTGCGCTACTGGTTTAGCTTTTGCGATGTCGACGATGAAAACAAAGGAGCATGGATACGATTATTATGTGCACCGATTGACTCCTCTGTGGTTTAACAGCGATGGATCCACAGATTTCAAGTACGCCGCTGATTGGTCGGACTCGATTACTAAGATCTACTTCTTAACTGTGTGCATTGTATGCACTCTGGCCAATGTTCTTACTTTGTATTACATCATGGCGGCGATGAGAGCGGTCCATACAACGGTGAAGACGGTCAGCTCAAACACAAAGGCGTTGCAGCGACAGTTCACAAAAGCACTGATCAGTCAGGTGAGATACCAGTTAAAACAGGCACTTATGGGGCATCAGTATAATTTTCCTTCTCATTATTAGATAACTCTATGATTCGTCGGGGTTGATGGTTGAGCCGTAAATTGCATTTTTTTTCAAAATTTTACAGTATGTGTTCCACAAGCCCAATATTAATCCCAATTATAATCTTTCAGACCATTGTCCTAACCTTGTTCGCCATGATCCCAGCCTCATTCTACATGGGAGCTCTGGCTTTCAAAATGCAATCAGAGTATATCGGAATCATCGTGATGTGGCCGTTATCCTACTTCTCGGCCGTCAACGCCACTCTCCCCTTAATCTTCATCCGCGCTTACCGCGGATTTATCTTGAATTTGGTGGGAATCAAGAGCAAGATGGACAAGATCTCGCCATCCTCAGAAAAGATGACCGAAAATACGAAAACGAACAAAACAATCTCAGTGGAAAAGGGTAAAAACACTATTTAATCGACCGAACTATTGTAATACTGTAATAATCAAATGAATACTGTTGTATAAGCAACCTCAGCTTTAGACAATTCCTTTGGCAATAACTTTCACCGAAATAAAGACGAATAATTGACTTGTTTTTACTGTGTAAACATTAACAAACCTTGAAACGGCAATCTGAATAAAAATGTTTTTGAGAAATGGGCTAGAAAGAGGGCTTAATTGGGCTTGGAGCCTGGCCTGGGCACGGGAAAACACTCAAAGTTTCTTTTTCAAGCTTTTGAAAACTGTTATTATGCAATCTGGTGATGGAATCGGCCTTATTTCTTCTAAATTTAGTCGAACATCCATTTTGAAGATTCTCCCAACTCCTCCAAGCTCTGTAAATAGTAATTTAAGTTCTCCAAGTTGTACTCTGTACCTGGGATTGTTAAAAAGAGCAAAAGTCAGGCCAATTAAGAGGTATATCAGCCTAATGGGGGGTTAGGTTGGCCTGCATTATGCTTATAAATACTTTCAAACCATAAAAAGTATTGACTCTTCGTTGTAATTTCTTGCTTGTAAACCTGTTATATCTTGTTTTTACCAAACTTTTTGACAAAACTTTTACAAACAAAAAAAGGCGAAGAGAATCGACGGATCGTCAAGTTCCGCTTAGAATCCTAATAAAGCGCGAACAAAGACTGTTTATCAGCCTGGATTCGGCAGATCGGGGAAGCTTTGACTCTCTTTGTCACCACTTTGGAACTCCCTAATTCTGTCATTTACAGTCTTGTTTTTACAATATTCCGAGCTTGTTTTTAAAGTTTTCAGGGCTGGGTTTGCTGTAAATTCTTGAATTTTAAAGCTTTTACATTGCTTTATACGGTATTACTATTACATCCCTGAGGTTCCAGTTCTACTCTCGGTTCTCTCAAGAATGAGCAAAGTTTTGTAATAATGTTATTTCTTCTACAATTTTAGTCCAAGTTTTGTCAAGTTGCCCATTACCGACTACAATACAACTTTGTATGTCATTACTAGTCCATTATATTTATAGTTTTGCGGCGTCTTCACGCTCTTTTTTTGTTTTACTTTTTCCCATGCAAATTTTCGCAAGCCCGTAAGTTTTTGTTAATTTGATTTTGAGCTTTGGTTTCGGTTATTCGCGCAAAGTAGGTTAATTAGCAATATTTTATGATCTACGGGGATCTCATGAAGCAGGAATCAAGTTAGCCGGGGAGTCAATTAGTCTGAGAGTACTGTAAATTCTTTTTTAACATTTTTTTGAACCGTCATAGACTCTTTTCTCTTTGTTTTTAACCTACGAAATATTATTTCTTGGTGGTTTAACCCAAAAAAGTGTTAAAGCGGACAACGAAAAAGTTACAGTAACCTCCACTTTTTCCAAGTTTTTCATTTCTTCGAACTTCCTCAAATTTTTTATTTTCCTCAGATCCGCATTTTCCCTGCGCGCAGACACCTGTTCCCAAAGAGAAAAGGATCTGCAGAAAAGGGTTAATCACCTTCTCCTATCATTGTTGACAGTTTGACACAAAACTTTTCGCGAAAATATTTCTGGTTTTTCGAAGTTTTTTTTTGTAATTTTGTAATCGCGACTATTGCAAGTTCTCAGCGAAGTAATTTTGATTTACAAACACGTTACAGTAGCACAACCTTATTCGAGGAATTTTGCATCTTCCTGGGTTTGCATTATTTTTAAATTAAGAAAAAAGTAATGTCTGAAGCGAGTGCTATGTGGGGAGTTACCAAAAGGACCGTTTACTCTGTGTTCGCTGTTTTTGAAAAGTTTATTTTACAGCGAAAAAGGGAAATACGGTAATATTTTACAAGCATAGTAATGATCTTTACTTTACCCATCACAAAGTCAGTGATGGTAAAAAGAACTGTCAACAAGTCCGCTTTTTATCTTTACAAAATTTTGAAAATAATATAATTAAAAATGGTTTAACAGTAGCGTTAAAGTAGATGTTTTTGAAACTGTGTAACCGCGATATGTTCTACAAAACTATGTTTGATTGGGCCACCTTCTTTTGAAGAGTTCAAAAGTTTGTTTATTTCGATTTCTGTTATCTAAAGTTGAAATTATAATCTTCGGAACCTTGAAACTGCTTTGGGGTTGTACTGTTTTAGATATTTGCAAGTTCCAAATGTGATGTTTAGTAAAAATGATGTGAGTTATCGGAGTTTTGGCAAGGTTTATTTTGATGATAATGATGAAGGTTTTTTCTCCCGCGCCGTTCTTCTCTATGCCATTAATCACGCGGAAAAAGGTTGAAGCCTGAACAATTTTTTTACGATAGGCTGACGTTGAGAGTAGGCAAAGATTAGCCTTTACCTTCCTTTTATTCGGAACGTATTTGTTACATAATTTTAGCTTTTGTCACAACTCATCGTATTTTACTTAATTTAAGATCAAAAAAAAAACTATTGATAACCACCATCGCTATAACTGTACTTTGTTTTTCTTTACTATTGCCCCTTATATCCGCAGCATCTCCTTATTTTTTACCGTACTTTGGTCGCCTTCTCCATCAACTGACTCCAAGCTGAGCGAGATCGTTGGGGCCTTGTTATCGCTCTTGTTTTTCCGCCTTGTGACCGAAACTTAATTCCCTCAGATTGTAATCAATCACGTGTCCATTGTACATTACTTTCGAACATTCCGTTCTGCGGTAGCCTTTCTCTTATCAGTAAGTATTGGCATTGAAAACCTTAACTAAACAACTTTATGCATTGATAAGTAAGGGGCATGTGTTGATAATTGAGGGGTCCTACGAGCTTTAACTACCTTTATTTTTGCAGTGGGGGTTACTGTAATTTTGGCCTAATCAATTCTTACTGCGTTTATCATCTTGTGGGTACTGTATTTTAACGATGACTAGGTATTATCTTACCCATTGTCTTTGGTTTTGTTTTCCTTGACTATACTACCACCAGTCCCATTACTTCCTATTTACGACGGTTCAAATTTCGATATAACGGCCCAAACTTGACTGTCCGCGATAAAATGTTATTGCACGCCTAAACAAATAAACATGGAGACAATCCGGCTGTGACGCCCCTCGCAGCCGTTTTTTGTGACAAAATTAAGGATTTGGAAGAAGCTGACATTAAAAATATTAATGGTTCCGAGGACAAAGAGCCCTGGAAAAACTAAATTTGAATATTCTTTTCATGGCTAAGCCCTGGACTTGGCAATAATGGCCGCGGAAAGGAGCTTCTCCAAACCTGAAAACGGATACTGTAACGTTTGTTTTCCCCAAAATTTGAGAGTATTCGGATAAACAACACTTTTATTTTACCTTTGTTTGTTTGTTTTTTAATTTTGAAAATAATTGGGAGCTGCTCCAAAAATAAAATAGACGCCCAGTTTGGAGCCGAAAACAAGGAATTGAATGACTTGGCAAATAAAGGGGCCACAAAACATCAAATCCTTTTGTTTTTCGGATCGTTCTGTGGCCACATGCGGGAGTGTTGGGCCAGATATTCTTGGGTAATCTGGATGACTTTTGATGGTAAAAAACAAAGTAATCTTACTTTGTGCATCCCAAAACTTTCCGTTTTTGCAAAGTTCAGTCATCTTTAATATAATTTTCCGCCTATTCAAACGATTTCCTTTGGTAGCCGCGAATGAATCAGAAAAGGGATGCGCGAACTCGTCGCGCTTCTGTTTTTTGTTCTAAAATTATAATCAAAACATGGCCATTTGCTCAAAATTATTCATAATTTCATACTTTTTTCATTTTTAAACATTTTTTAAATCGGGTTACTGTAAGTTGGCTTGTAAGTTTGGGAGATAAGTCATGGCCTCCATTGAAGAGTCATTCTCCGAAATTCGGGATTCAGAATCCCACTTTTTCACTCTTCAGATTTTTTTACTTTTTTTCGAAGAAAATATTATGAAAAGATTTGTGGGACATTGATCCAAAGTGGTTCTTTAACCCTCGAATTGAATCGAATTTTGAGCCTCAGGCCAGGCCTTGTTATTGATGAAAAGAAGTTACAGTAACCGGCTTTAGAAAAATGTTGGTAAAGGTCAGAAAAAGTAATCAGAATTTGAGGGACGGGGCTTTGATTTCGATTATATTATTATTCATCAATTAATTAAGGCTTGCGGCAATTTATTACTAAAAATACAGGCCCCTTTAAAACTAGAAACATAGATCCCTTTATGGAAACTTTTTCTAAGTTATCCTCTGCCTGTGTTGGGCAAAGAATAATTCAGAAATAATAATTTATTATAATTGTCGCCTTTTATCCGTTATACAGAGGCTCCATTTCATTTGCATCCCATCAAAAACTTAAACCCGCGGTTCCCACAAACTTAAGGAACGCTACTTCTTTGGATTCAGCGTTCTTTTGTGGTCCCCATTTCTGCTACTCTTTCCCTTTCATGCAACACTTTTTTTGGCGATTACTGTTCTTTTCTTTTGTTGTTCGGTTTCTGGACCAGCGCGACTTTTTTCGCGAAACTTGAGGTTTGGGATAAATGGCATCTGGAAAGATTACTGTACTGTGTATGGGGAATCTGATGTATCTACGCTCGTGCGGGAGATAGATTTGATACTTGGACTTAAATTTTATTTTTAGAATCATATAAACGCTGGATTTTTGGTCACACGGTAAGTTTTGAAAAATATTTTTTTCTGGCAATAATCGCAACTTGTAAAATCGTGCAATTCCGATTGGAAGCTCTCTTTATGAGTCAGTTTGGAATTGTGTTAATGATGCTGAAACAATGTCATTTCACCGTGTCATCCCTTTCCAATTTTAAAACGCCCCATTCCTCCCTCCTTTTGCCCCATTTTTGATCCGAATTTACAAAATTTGATGCGATTTCCATCGGAATATTGTAGTAACATACGTTTCAATAGAAAAGGGAGGAGAGATCTGGAATAATAGGCTGGAAATTGGTCGGTGAGAGGAGAAGAGGAAGCATGGATTCTGAAAAGGATCCAATGGGAAAACAAGGTTTCTTTATGTGCTTTTCGGACATTCACAGAGGGCGATCGGAT